TATTAATAATGCCTGGGAAATTTTGCGGAAATTTCCATGAACCCATCAATTCATTAGTAAACGACAATCACCTGGACAGGATTTCATCGTTTTCATGTTTCTCTCGTTTTCTTTTACAATCAATTTGCACGGTCGACTTCTGCATTTCAACATCGGAGAGGAAAGGAAATTTCAAATGTTCGCTTAACATTTCGTTCTTTTTTTTCGTCCAGATTTTACAATCGCGCGAAATGCGAGAGAATTAAAGCTGTTGAATGGCACTTAATAGAATAACAATTGGAACGACCAGAGTGGTTCGAGCGGACAACCCATTCAAATCTGAGAGATTTCAAACGTTGAAATTTGAAAACTGTAGAATACATATTGTATAATATCGTACTGCAAAATTTTCCTCCCCTATTGTTCGAACTTCGATGTTCTTTAACACAAGTCTCACAAGTTCGATACGAGTTTTCCAGGAACTCGTGCATCCGAAATAAGAAATAAAATAGAAATAAAATAGAAGTACATAGAAGTGGGAATTGAACACGCCGAAACGAAAATATCTACCTCGACAATTCCATTAACGCTAAACGTAACCAACACCCGATCAAACTTCCTTTCTTTTTTTTATTATCCCAAAGTTGTTTCCTGCATTTCTTTTCGTGCCTTTCAAAAGAACCAGAGACTGAATGGAAATAGTACGTAAACGGTATGTTCAGCATCGAAGGTCCACGAAACTCCAGAGTCCGGTGAAAACAGAGTCCGCGTTATTTACACGAGAGGAAAGTGTTATCTCTATTAGAGATTCTCCTCGAGATCATCCCTCCCGGGGGATAATCAAACAGCTGGCGCGAGTTTCGGCAGAGAAATTCCGGCAGGGCGCGTCCTGGAACGCAAGGATAATAACGGTGCTGGATCCGCCGCGTACCGGAAGCGAGAGAAGTCCCGCAGGAACGCGCGTGGACCCGGCAGAGTTCTCTGTCACGGCAGATAGCTCGAAGCTGTCGCTCCTTGACCGCACGGTCGTTTGTCTAGATCACTCCACCTACCCGCCCCGTTTTGCAGCCCCCGAGATCCTCGTTACGGCCAGTCCCCGTTCGATTTTATCCCCCCCAGGGCTGAACCGCGCAGTCACCAAGTCGGGTCTGGAATTTCTGATAAGACTAAGACTGCCAGGCCAAGACAACGCTGCTCGCCGTGACTCGGCGAATTTTTGGAAGTCCGGCCTCTCAAACCGCCCCGTTCTAATTTCTTTGGGAATTTCCATCCGCCAGGTTCGTTGATTACCGGTGACGAGTACGATGCTTCCCCGTTTTACGCGTCTCGTCGAGGAAAATGTTTGTTTAACGCGTGAACGAGCAAGCGACGATCGTCGTGTTATTACACAGCGAAGAGCTGTAACGAATGATAGTGAAAAATTGTGAATTATTTCAGCTGATGTAATATTTGCGAAGAAAAGAAGAATCGTGTGAAAAGACTTGGTTGGAAGGGTTGGATCTTTGGCGTGGAATTTTTAATTCGCGGATTTTACTTTGCCGGTACGCGAAATTACTTCGAATTGGCAGCTGATTGCGGACCGTAACGAGTGACCGTTACACAACAATTCGTCGCTTTCATTTTGAACCCGTCGGTATGGTATCGCTGGATAGAAATTATTAAGAAGTAATAAATTTATTATTTTGCCCGAGTTGTATACTTAAATATACTGAGAACTGAGAAAATATCGCAATTTTGGGACAAATGATTCTCGACGTGCTTGGCACGTCATTCGAACGCAAGAGGTTAAGACGCACTATGGTTGCAGAAATACGCGCAGTAACTACGCTTCGTATAGTTGGGAAAAGTGTCTGTGACACAAAGCGAGAGAGTTTGAATAATTTCAAACGATCTTCGACCAATTGTTCGTCGTTTCATCAGTAAGTAGATGAAATAGCATATCATTTCATTGAAAGAAGCAAATAAAATCGACACCAATCTTTGGTCAGATTCTCTCTCTCTTTCTCTCAAATTTTCTTTCTCAATAAGCGCACCAACTCTAGCAGCTAATTTTCATACACACGGACCGGCCAGTTGAACTCGAGATTTCCGGAAGTAACGTTAAGGACACAAGAATGAAACTGAGAAGGCGCGGAAGGGAGGAAATTCTCGACGAAATGGGCGAAACGCGGCGGAACAACGACAGGAATCGGCGGAAAGGCGGGTAGAACGGGTGAGGCCACGAACCGATTTCAAGCGCAATATGTATGCACAGGCGACGCGAGACGATTTCCGAGAACACACGAGAGGGTCGCGCCGTAAAAAGTCGGTGCCGGCACAGCAGTCTTCTGAAGTAGGCATTCAAATAAACCATCTAGGCGCTGGCTTCCACTTTCTGTTATCCAGCAGCGTGGAAGCAACCCTCTTAGAATACTTCCGACGCGAGCAGTAAATTCCATCGAGGCACCGACGTTTCCACTCATCCCGCTTCTTCCTTTCGCCTGTCGTCTTTCGCCCGCTCTCTCTTTCCGCCTCCTCCACCTGCAATCCTGTCCCACTCTCGTCGCGCACGCCAGCCTACCTTCTCCTCCACCTATTTCCACCACCGCCCCCCGTGTCACGCCGATACTCCACGCTGTATTTTGTTTTGAAACGAGAAATGTCTCCTCGCCTCGACTAAGATTCGAGTGGTCGAATCGTTATCCAACAAACCCACCCCCTTCTCCATCTTTCTTCCATCCCTTCTGACCTTCTTTCTCTCCTCTCTCTCTTTCTCTCTTTTGTTATCGTTTCTTTTCTTCTCACCGCTTTGTGTGTGTCTCTCTCTCTATCTCTCTTTCTCTTTCTTTGTCTACGTTCATTCGTCCACCGACCGACCGTCGCCATAGTAACTTTCAGTTTGGCTTCGTTTTATTCGGTGAATTAAACCGTTCCCGCTGCGATTCCCTCGTCGTTTTATTTTGCTAAATTAAGTCGACTCGCTCTAAGAGCGCAGCTGCTACGCGATCCACCCCCTCCTCCCCCTCCCCCTCCCCCTCTTCGCATCGGGACGTAAGCTCGGTCATGGTCTTCTATCTGTTTTGTATTCGTTCGCTTTCTTTCTTTCTTTTTTTCTTTCTTTTTTTTTTTTTTTGTTCCTTTTCCTTTGTACCTTAACGCACTACAACATTTAGCACATTAGTTTATCGGTGGAAGTTGGACGTCACTAGTTCAAACGCACAATGGAACAAAGGTGTTATTAAAGCTAACCGGGGAAAGGGGTGGGGGGTTGGGAGGAAAGAGTTTTTTAACGATAAAAAGCGATGTAGAAATAGCGATGAGTCCAGTATCGTACGTTTTCTATCGTCGTCAAACGTTCTCCCTGAAAAAATCGCTCCGAGATCTTAGCGCTAATCCTTCCAGCGAGTCTTGAAAACCTCGAAACAGAGACTGATGTCGGCGGAACAACGTAACAATCGCCTGATCATTGATGACACCTGTGTTAAAAAAAAAAAAAAAAAAAAAAAAAACGTCACGAGTGTTGCTATGTTATCTATTTACTGTTATTTTGGAGGGCTTCGAATGGACCCGCAGTTTCGGGGCGTTCAAGACAACCGCAGCCATAGTCCCCAGTCATAGCCACAAGACAGTTCTTTACAAACATTTGAACGACTGAACACCCATCGTCGGATTACACAATACTAGATGTTCTGAGCTTTGGTACAGGCACGTAGAAACATCATTAAATACTATGCGTAATAATTTACACATCTCATTGATCAGTCAGTTCTCGAGCATCTCGAGCTGAACGCTGTTTGGAGACACGCGAGAAATAAGTCGTGTATAGTTCGAGGTTCGGGCTACTTTAACTTGTTGTACCCTGTGTTCGTATGTACGTGTGTGTGTGTGTGTGTGTGTGTGTGTGTGTGTGTGTGTGTGTGTGTGTGTGCGCGCGCGCGCGCGCGCGCGCGCGCGCGTGTGTGTGTGTGTTTCTTATACTGTTTTAGATCAGATGCAGCCTATCGTCGATCTGCAGATGCATCTTCGTGGTGTCTCCGTAACTTCACGATCGCTCGAGGGAAAATGCTCTTTTATGCTCAATCGACGCGGAGTTACGAGCGGCAACGATCGCGGCTGCCTGGCCTCCGGTCGAACGAAGAAAGGTACATAGCCGGTGCTGTCTTGCTAGCCAGGTCGTCGACAACGCTAGGTCACCAGAAGTGGGACTGCACGTAGCCGCCGCCCATGCCGATGGGATTGAAGCGATGCGGATGTATCTTTTCCATTCTCATGGCGCCGGGGCCGCTACTACTGCCGATGAAGCTGCCGTGTGGTCCGCCACGCGGCCCCCCGAAACCACTTCCTGCTCTTCCTATCATTCCCGGCCCACCGCCGCTGATGCCCATTCCCATTCCGGGTCCGCTGATCCCTCTGCCTCTTCCTCCGCCTCCCAGACCACCGCTGACACCTGAAAACAGCATCTCTGATGAGTATCGCTGACGACTCGTATATTTTTAGGAGAGACAGAAAAAAAAAAAGAAATGAACACTTTTCTTTTCTTAATTTTTAGGTTAAGAGTGGAACGGTTCGGAGGAAGCCGGTTAAAATATATATATATATATTACATATATATATATATACACACACACGTAAATAGGTGGATGGTGTAATAGAATAAAGTGGACAGATGCTGATTGTTCGTTTCTAATCATTTTAATCAAATTTAACGAGCGACTACAGAATCACGCAGACCCGTGTAGCAACGAGGAATAAGAAAAGTTTTACGAGATATACTTATGCGGGGAGCACATTGTCCGAGAAAATCTCGAGCAAAAAGAAAAATGTTTCTTGCGTTTTGTCCTGATGACAGCGAATGGTTCCCTCCGTTCATTCCCTTTTCGAGCGATTCCCTCGCTGTCGGGTTGGGTAACAATGATGCGACACGTCGGAACCAACAATGTCGAACAAGTCGAGATGTATCATCAGCACAAAAAGCCACGGTGCATCATTAGGCCGGTTTCTCGATACGACTTGATGCACGTATTTTCGTGCGTTGAACACACTTTTTCTTGGTTTCTTTTAATGGAAATGTTCATACAACAATTGTCGGTTTTTTTTTTTTTTTTGGTTTTTTCTTTTTTTTTTTTTTAGTCTACCCATATACCATGTACATAGTCGTAGCTCTCTACTATATCAATGTAACGTCTCCTGTATGTATTATGTATGCACGTGTCTCTTTACAGGCGAGCAGAGTGAACTGGAAATCAAAAAGATAACACTTAATTAGGTTATGTTGCTGATCACGTGTTTTCCTCGTTTCGAAACGAGGGGCATTTGCGAGAAGAGAAACAGCACAATTTCGTAATTACAATTAGTTTCAAATGGAAGAGAAATCGTTTTGTCTTCCGGGTGATCGTTCCACTTCCGGTTCACTCTGCATCTTGCAAACGTCGATCTTTTTTTTTTTTTTTTTTTTTTTTTTTATATACGCTAGAATTGGGTCTAGTTTCTCGCTAAAATGAGATCAATTCATTACAGTAAAATGTTAATCGTAAAATCGTCTCTTTTTTTTTTCGACTTTTTTCCCTTCTTTTCTTTAAATATTTCGGAAGAAAGGAAAAAAAATTACGATGAATGTATTATTGGGAATGTCGCAGGCATTTTCAACCGAGACTTAACTCTTCGCGTCTCCCCGATTTCATCGCTCTCATTGTGTGCAAATGTTCCTAAATAAATGATCAATTTTCACGACATGCCCCCCATCCCCCAAATTTTTACTTGAAATCCCACATTTGATTTGTTTCGAGGAACATCTTCAGGCAATTAAAATTCTTTAAGGTTTTAATGTAAACGATTGAATGATGAATTTTTGTAGTGATTTTTGTAGTGACTGAAGAAGAGAATGAGAGAGAAGAGAAGAGCAAGAGAGCGAGGAAAAGAGAAGCAAGTTTTCTATCCGTTGTATATCCCGGATACTCCACTTCTTTTTTGTTTCTTTTTTTCGTTCATTCTCTCGTTAGTTATTTCCTTATTCCATATCACAGCCATCGTTAGCACTACTGGACTTCGGGATTATAACCATTTCGCACAATCTTCGATCCGTTAGACCTTACAATTTACTACTTAACACGTTACAAGATAAAAATTAGAATTTCGATTTATTTACACCGAAAGACTCGCGTCGTTCTTTCTCCCACCAAACATAATCGGTTTTTTTTTTATTGCTCTTACTCAGTAATTGTTGCGTTAACGGAATGATCGTTTTCAAATACCGTCACCAAGGGAGTTTTCATAGCTTTGTGTAAAATAACTTCATTTTGATTTAATCTTTTTTTTTTTTTTTTTTTTATTCACCTCTGAATAAACTTTTATCTTGGAAAGAGCAACGCGAGTTCACTTCACAACACGAACATTCTAAAGGAATAGTTGAAAATCTTACTCATTAACTCGGTACTAACTTAAGTACTAATTAAATTCTCAGTTAATAATTTATCCAGTATTTTCGCTTTTCATCATGCTTTTTTTTTCCTTTTTTTGTTTTTCTTCTTTTTTTTCGCATCCCTATCGCGGCGATCGATCTATCCGATTACTCGTTTCTCTCAATTCGAATCTCGCGGCGATAGGAATTTTACAACAGACATTATTATTGTTTTGCAAAGGGCTCAAATACCGGCGCATTCGCAATATTAAATTCCTACAGAACTTCGATTTTCTAAGTTCCAACATCCTCCTCAATTGGGAACGCACAACCCCGAGAGGTCTTCGCTCTCGTTTCTCAAAATTTGAAACGCAACTTCCTTCCACATTTTTGAATCACCTCTTATCAATTGAAACATTTGAATTAGTTGGATATATTTATAGTTGAATGTGTAACTGTATATAAAACTGAAAAAAAGGAACTGAACGTTAGTCAACTCGGTCAAAATTAGGTCATCAATTGTAAACAGCTTATTTATTGCTAATCCAATTTCAATTCTTGTCAAACATATATATATATATATATATATATTGCTTTATTTAAATAAATTTTCATGGTTCAAGCGAAAAAAGAGTTGTGCATTCCCGTTCTTAATCATAATCTTAAGCACCTGAACGTATGGTTAAATATACGAGCGAGGTGGATCGTACCTCCTACTAAAATCTATTAATTCGTAATATCAATACGGACCATATCGAAAGCATCCACATCATAATTATACTTCGAACAGTCGCGAAAAATCGACTAAGAAAAAAGGAACGATTGTCAAGGTCGTAGGAGATACGTGTGTTTCTCATATATTCTAGCTAATTCGAAAGTCATCATTTTGTTTCGATCGATTCGTGTGATATATATATATATATATATATATATATATATATACACATATATATTCGTTTATACATATAATATATTCATATATATTTAGCATTAAAAGGACGAAAGTTAGTAACAGCGAAGATCGTTTAACTTGTTTTAATTTTCGAAAAAAATGACGATCGACCAAAAGGACGATTGCCATTTTTCTTTTCCTTTCTCAAATACTCCTGTTTTCGTAATGATCACTAAATAATGACGCTTCCTCTCAAGTCAGAGGCGCTTGTTTGCTATTCAAATTGCCTTCAGAAGGCAATCCTCATCGGCATATTTCATCCATCGATTTTAGAAGACGAGATAGAATTCGTTCAACAAGAATGGATAATCACGATCTATCATACAGGATGAATATACTCTATAGCACACTTTCGCTATCTATATAATCCACTGAGATGTCGATATCAGTGAACATGATGAACAGAATTAACGGACAGTCGTAAAAATTGTGCAACCTTTGCAAGGAAGGACTTCTCTATCTGTTGTAAGTTGTAAAACTGGATATAACTGGGTAGTTCTACCTAAGTAAAACTCAGAAACTCTCCCTTTGTTTCTTTCTTTCGTTCTTTTTCCTCACTCAACACACTGACCCCAAAGATATTGGAAATATTGGTGTTCACTTTTAACAACAGAAATCTTTTGTTAAACTTTTTGAGCAGTTTTCCTTGAAACAATATTAAGGTTAATTGTTCTTCTACATTTGGGGTCAAAGCGCCAAGTTGCACTCTGCAGTAAAACTGTATCGCAAAGCTCCAATTCATTGGAGAGCCTTCGAACCACAGACTGGTTGTCTGATAGATTACAAAGTACTTGTTTACATTCGTTGAGCAAATTGTGTGGTTGTTTATTGAATTACAAACAGTTCTGCTTTTTGAGTCAAAATCAGGTTTAAACCCTTACGCTGGACCTTACAACTTATCATATAATACAAAAGCAAAGTTGAATGAAGCTATGATCACACAGAAAAAAGGAATTAATTCTGAATCGAAAAGCAACAGTTGGTTTGTCTCTTTTATCTCTAAGAATCGAGGTTTCTCGAATTACAATTAACCATGGTAACAATTATGCTGGTATTAAGCGCACTTAATCATGCCAATCTCATCACATAAATAGAAATTTGTAATATCATAACTGCAAGGGTAACAACGAGTACCAAACAAGAAATTGCGTTCTTCTTTTAATAAAGGTAATGCGCATAACGCTGGTATTTATTCCTGGTTGGGTACAGACGTTCTCCTTTGTGGATTGGCGAGCATAGAAATGAAAATGATTCATGTTAAAGAGTTATACGTAACACTTGGAGACAAATGCAGTTGGACAAATAGTTTCGTCGATGTAGGTGGAGAGTGCAACGCTATGATCTAATTGTAAATATGAAAGTTCTTTACGTTCGTTTTGTATCATCCACCTGATAGATTGAACCTGGAACTTTAAACACGACGAGATGTCAGACACGAAGAAGAAACTATTTATCTAAATACATCTGTCCACTGTTGTATATGATAATCACTTGAAAGAGGAGACAGCCATGCACTGAACAAGTTTTCTGTTAAAGCCACACATTTTTTGCAAATGCAATCTGTTCAGAACTAACCATGGGTTAGCAACGACGCTCGCTAAATAATAATTATTCGCAGGCATACAACTTGTGTGTCAGGCGAGTTGCGTACTTCACACACTGCTCCAAAATTTTGTATAAGAGACAATGTACAACATAATGTATACAATTAATCCTTAAAAATTACTTTACATAAATCTTTTACGTTATTTCGAGGATATTGATATTTTGAGCAGTGTACAAGCAAATCGCAAAACATTGTGTTACAAAGAATCCTACTCAGAACATATACATATTTTTTCTGAACATAAACACTACAGGCGCTCGTTCATTATTTTGTGTATCAAAAAAACCTTAAACCCTAATTAATTATAATTAGAGAAAGAAAAAAAAGGAAAAAAAAACAAGTAAGTCGCACGCACGTTCATCATTGAAGGATCGTAAGAGGAATTAACAAATGTTTTCTTAAACAGAAAATGTATTTCCAAAGTCTTAAATAAGTAACAAAACATATATGTATATATATATATATATATGTAGTACGAAATGATATCTCTTACCAAAAAGAAAGTACAAAAAACAGCTTAAAGACGCACGTAATTATACAATAATTTTCTGACACAAAAATGTATAGAACTAGGATGATGCTCCACAGCGTGGTTTGAACAAATTTGAGAAACGATGAGGCAAAATCAACATAGTAACAGCAGCATCGGCAACTAGAAAAACAGAGTTACAATTTCGTTGACCAGGCAACGTCCAAAAAAACAAACTTCTAAAAAACCAGCCTTGTGTGCAGAATATACAACTTAACGAGTGTTTCTCATTTTCCTTTCAGTAATCACAAGCTGCCATTGTCTCTAACAGGATACGTGTTTCAGTTTTTTCTCTTTTCATTTCTTGCTTTCTGTCCACTAAAGATCACCACACACAAAAATATTTCTATCACGACACTACATGTTTGCATTCTTGTTCTGTCTCATTAATATTTTCTTTTGCGTCCGTCTGCAAGGAGATTTTTCTTTCTTTCATTGGCCAAACACTTTCATTGCCGGAAACAGGTCTTCTATGTTTCTTACATCTTTTTCTTTTTCTTTCTTTCTTTTTTTCTTTTTTTTTATTTTTCAATTGCAGATGAAACAATGTCAATCATGCGCACAACGTTGAGGGAATTTGTGAACAAAAATAGAAAGAACACAGGGAAACAAAACAGGAGCGACAAGAAACGTGTTTCCACAACATTCGCAGAGAATCTGCCTCATTATTCGTTGCGCGCATTAGAACGCAAACAGCATTTTCAATCTTCGCTGTACTTTGATTTAGATGCAGCCATATCTGGCAAACAATTCAAATGTTAGACATGTTCTCATATTTACACGCCGTCGATGATGCGAAAGCTCCTTCCAAGCAAAAATTTAAAAAATCGGAAGAGATCATTCGCATCCTGGACAACGTGTTTCAGGTATGTAGATATAGAAATTTTGTACACCTTGCAACTACGTTACAAAATTTTGTTAGAGTGACCATTACCCTGTTTTCGCAATTGCACGAGTATCATCACAAGAAAAAGTAAAGAAACGGAGAAAATTAACACGACAATTTGAAAAAAATCAGGAACTGAGAAGAGAAAGAGAAAGAGAGAGAGAGAGAGAGAGAAAGAGAGAGAGAGAGAGAGACAGGAATAAATAGAAATGCATTCTATCAAAAAAAGAAAAAAAAAAGAAAAAAGAAAAAAAAAGAAATGATTTCTCAAAATTTTAGTGCTTCTACGATTCAAACAATACGGCGATAATATGAAATAATGATTCTTTTTTTTTTTTACTGCGATTTTAGTAAGATTCATAGTAAGCCAAAATGCAGATCTGACCTGTCAGTAAAAATCGAATGTCACTTGCAAATCAATTTTTGTGATATATACGTTATATATATATATACGTATAATTTTTTTAAAGAAATTCGTATTTGCACAATCTGTTCATTAAGAAGATAATTTCTACTGTCAGGTAGAAAAAACGAAAAAAATTCGGGCAAGACTAATGTCTATCGAGAAAATCGAAATTACTTACCTCGACTCTGGTTGTAACCAGCCTGCCATCCAGCATAGTACGCCGCTTTCTGTTTCCCGTGTTCCTCCGCGATTTTTACGCTAAGTGGCTCTGATCCACCTTCTGGTATCGTGCCGTGTAGCCGAGCGATCGCTTCTTGTGCTTCTTCCCGCTTGTCGAATCTACAGTAACCGCAGGCAGAAATTAAAAATCGGCCAAAAAGTTCACAGTTGGCAATGGACGCGTTTAATCCCTGCCAGATTCTATGTATATGAAATTGGAGGTACGATCTAGAGCGTGTTATATGGAACAGGCCTTAACGAATGCTTAAAATCTGCCAAAAATTAAGAAATTTGTCAAACTAGTTCCGATTCTATTTCTAACTACTTGACACACTTCTCGGACTATTTTCCTGCAACAAACCGAGAAATCTAGTTGCATGTACAATTCGCGATAGGCTAACTAGGTCGGTGGTCAGTAAATCAAAATTATGCAAGTGAAACACGCGGCAGAAGAGTGATACAAAAATAATTTGGCAGCAAAGATCTCGGAAAATAAATACAGGTGTCTAATACGTCCGGATAACAGTTGCATAATGACTAGGCAATTTCCGCCCTGCCATCGATAGTTGCATCTGTCAATTCATAAGTGCTTCAATTTTCCAAGCATATTGCGTACACACAATGAAAATAACAAAAATGTCAATACCAAATACATTAAATACACATTTCAACAAATGTTTTTTTTATCATACTTTGTTATTAGCTTCAGATATGTTACTAATTATGACAGGAATGACACTGTGTCAAGAGATATAAGCTATTCTTTCTATTAGCATTACAATTTGCTATTTGACGCTAATATTCCTTTACAACATATCTTCGCAAGGTTAGGTAATAGTACATGATTTTAAGAATGAAAATGTTACAAAAATAGAAGAAACATACCTCACAAATGCTACACCTCTTGGTAATCCAGTGAGTTTATCTTTTAAAATGTTTTTTTGCACAATATTTCCATATTTGCTAAATATATCATCAATCTGACTTTCAGTTATATTTCTGAAATAAACATGATTTAATATCACTATACATTCTAATTTTTATCTACTAATGTATAAATTAACATTAATTATTGTAGTATACCTTGGCAAATTTGTTACATAAAGATTAGTTTCCTTAATCTCTTCGCCGGATGGTCGCGCAAAAGACACTTTTAACCTTTTGTTCTGGACTTGGAGTCCGTTTAATGTACTTATAGCTGTAGCTGCATCTTCAGCTTTTGCATAATTAACAAACCCAAAGCCATAACTATATCCTGTCTATAAAAGAGAATTACGAATGTAGATTTTATAGAAATATAAAAAGATTGCAGATATTTTTGTAACTGAACCTACTTTATAATCTTTCATAACACGACAAGATTCCACGGGTCCAATAGTTACAAACAAACTGTACAGATCTTTCTCTGTCATACTTTGTGGAAGGTAATTGATGATCAAGTTTGTTCTTGGTTCTTCATTTTTGATTTGCATTTGTTGTTGTTGCTGCACCTGTTGCTGCTGCTGTGGCTGTGACTGCTGCTCTTGTTGATCTGTCATTTTGGAAAATTCTTGTTCTATTTTCTGACTTGTCTGATTCTGCAGTTCTTGTTGATCTGTCGTTGGTGGCTGTGAGTTCAGTGGTTCTGGCTGCTGCGTATTCCAACTGATATGTCCCAGGATAATTGTTGGTGGGGTCAGCAAATACAAAAAATATAAACAAAATCATTACTACGTTTTCCCCGTGCAATGCCATGATCGTTGTTCTGTCTGCGCTTTTGAATGCTCTCACTTTCTTTAAGCGGTTGAAAATAAATAGAAAATAAATCTGCATATATACATATATGTATATGATGCCAGACCTGTGTGTCAGAAACAAACAAACAAAGGCAAGTAAGGACAAAACGGAACCAGCAAGAGTAGCCATGGATGAAACGAAACTAAATCAAAAACCAAATAATGTAGCACGTCAATTGTGTGAAATCAAACAGAAAAAATATCACATTGGCTAACAGGTAGCTACGAAAACGGCTACAGCATATGAAAATAACGCGTGCTAGTACAATTTCCAACGGGCAACAATGCAAAAACAAATATCCACCTATGAAAGCTCCATGGTATCATAACCTTCTTAACGTGAAACTGTAACGACGTGATAAAAACGTAATAACCGTGCGAATGGATGGATCGACAAAAATTCACGCCATCTCGGTGTATAATCTTAAAAATGAATACCCGTAAGAGTGGTCCTAGAGTCACGCTATTTTCCAAAATGCGGCAATGAGTTCCCTCTCAAAAGGCTCGTAAGCACGTTCATCGAAGGAAAAAAAAGGAGGGAGAAGAGCACGCTTCGTTGACGAGAACTTCCGCGTATTATTCGATCGCTCGTGTTTGGTTTTCGTTTATTGTTTACACACCCGTACGCTTAATTTTTATCGGCTGCTGGGAAATTGAGACGCGTTACTTCGCAATACGGTGTCGATTCCGTGTTGGTCGAACCCGGCTTCGACATGAATTTACCCGACGTCGTGCAACCGTCGAGAGCCGAACGATGAGTCAACGATAGAGGGAAAGAGACAGAAAACGAAAAAGAAAAGAAAAAAGAGAAGAGAGAAAAATATATATATATATATAACTAAGAAAAAGGGAAGGAGAATCGTTGATGGAAGTTGGTACAAAAAATGGTAACCTTTTGGCCTTATTTTGAAGAAGCCCGGGGAAATGGCCCGGCAGATTCGTGAATCGACCAAGCTGTCAGAGTAAAGGAGGGAGTGAGAGGAAAAGAGGGCACCAGAGCAGGCGGCGGAAAAGGATGGAGAAGGACCTGTAGGTGTATAAACCTTAAGTTTAACGTGCGGTGACACGGAAATAAAATACGTACGTACCGAAACGAGTAACACAGAGAGAGAGAGAGAGAGAGGTAATTGAATAAATCGGTGCGTAACAGCGGACGTGTAATATCGGCGGTAAAGAGCGGCGGTACACGCACTCTCACTCGTATCACTCGCGTATATATGCGACTTTCTGCCTGTATGTACGTCAATTATGTAAGTCCGTTACACCATTGCGTATAATGCACGCACTTGGTCATCACACATCGATAGCGCCTCGTGCGACTGGCTTGATATCACCGCCGAGAGGACTCGATACACAGAGGAATGGAGTAGTTAGCAAAAGCGAAGAATCGCGGAGGAACGTAACACGATGTAAACGGCACAGCGTACGCAAACGTACTGAGCCCCAGCCCTGACCTGCCTCGCGCGGCACCCTCTCGCGGCACGCTACCCCACTATCGCATCGGCGGGATGTACAGGGTGTTTCTGAAATCGCGGTAACTCCACCGACCAGGTGACGATTCTTTGCGAAAAAATATGTCGGAAAAGGAGGATAAATAAATTTTTTTGATTTAAAGGCTTCGTTTTCAAGAAAATCGAATTTGGAGATTTACTAATTCCAGACTAAACAACGTTGAATTTGACTAATAGAAAAGAATAATTAACAGAAGAGTATTTTATATTCAAAAATAAGTAAAAAAATGAAAGGAATAAAGTTTTTTCATTTATAGCTTCGTTTTTAAGAAGCTGAATTGAATATATTTCATTAGAAGTTGTCATGGTGCACTTGATAAATTTAATTTTCAAATGAAGCGTCTTACAAAGATATTTTATTCTACGTTTCTCACTTATCATACGTAGAATAATCTCCTCTTAATTATTCTTTTCTGTCACGTCTAAAACTTAAAAATTAAATTCAAGCCATATCTTGATAAATTTTCTCGAAAACGAAGCGTCATATGGGAAAATTTTTATTCTTAGTATCACTAATCAAACCATCTTTCACGGTAATTCGCCAATTAATGATATTAGTAAATATCATAATACAAAGTTGCAGACTGTCTCACATTACATCCTTCGAAAAATTTGCTACGATAATTAAAAAAGATTCGAGCTTTTATCTAATCGTTTGTCTTTTACAATTTGTCGATTCGTAATTTATAACGTGCGACTTCATTTATTTTACTGCTGTTGTATTAATTTTGATAACGTGCAAGCCGGTCTTGTACAAAAAAAAGCTATCGGAAAATTTTTCACTGAAAATAGAACTTAGAAGTACAAAATATTCTCCTGTTTCCAAGAGATAAGAGTTATTAATGGGAATTCGAGTTTCGAGTATACGTTCGATTAAAAATTTCTTAGTAATATTTCTTTTATAGAGAAGTATCTTGCACAATCAAGCCCGTGATGTTAACGAAACTTTACAAGTACACAGCATGCAGTGTATTGACCTTTCAACGAATGAAACGTCCTGTATAATGGGGATGCGCATGGGGCGGGACATCCCGCCGAAATTTCTGGCGTGCGTCTACACGAATTCGGGGCCTATGCCAATTTCTCGCAATTATCCTATTTCTCTCGATTTTTAAATAGATCAATCCCACGATCGCCCGTTTTCAAGATCATTTCGAGCTTAATGTTAGAAAATAACGATTGTCGTGTGCAAATGTTACCTACAAGCGAACGAACAAATTTCAAGTAAATGTTTGTTTCAAACGTACCTTGGCAATGCTTCCCAATAAGGAACGGCGAACATTGCAAATTATTTAACGCGCGACTTTACGCAGTTCAAGTGCGTTTACGTGATATAATATTGCCAACGAAAAGGAATACAGCTCTAGCCTAGCAGTAATATTCTAGCAGAGCCACAAACGACATACTTTGTTCCTGTTTGGATCGTATGATCGTCATTCTTTTACATCCTATTTTGTTTCAAAAAAACGAGGTTATTCTTTCGATCGTTGGAATTCGTCTGCATCACGCTAATCCCATTCGCGCGTACAACAAAAAGACGAAAATAGCCGATAACACGGCTAAAAATAAATATATAACGTATCTAATAATAATAATCTTAAATAACGAAGTTCCACTATACACTGTGTAGATATTTGTTCTGAAAATTGTTATCTCTCTCATAAGTTTGCGAAACACTGCATTGCGCTATTGCACGGTACCACCACAAGCCTGCTTCCGGTGAATTTAACATGCACCAATCCTCCCCCGTTTTACCTAAAATTCGAAAATTATTGCGCACTGAGCAAAAGTAAAGTTGCACAGTGCAACAAACATCGTAGAAATTTAAATATATTGAAAAATGTAGCATTAAGTTACATTAAAAGAAGCTTTATACATTGAAGTTACAATAATCACGATTTCTAACCTCGACCTACATCTTATGACTAATAAAACGTAATTGACCTAATTAATGAAACATAATTTTTTTTTTTTTTTTTTGTCAATTTAAAATGTTATTACCTGAAGAAATCAGATTTAGACAGGAAACTTACCCCGTTTGGGGATTCACGTCGCCTTGTGTGTATTCGTTTCGTTCGTACGTGGCCATTCCCGTGAGCGAGACATAACACTAAATGTTAGAGTATCTTTCGTCGTGGCGGAGGATTTTTCGTTTTCACATGTCGATCGTATCACGTTCATGCTGCTTTCGAAATGCAGAGCCGCATATTTGCGAAAATTTCTTTCTCCTTACAGCTGCGCTATCGGTATGCACGTGCGCACTGGCTGCAACGAAATGTATCGCAATTCCCGCTTCAAGATCACCTCGAACTTGTTTAATTTTTTTTTGAACTGATCTGGACGCTTCGTGAATAATTTTTTCTGCAAATTCATCGACACCTACGATCCCACGCGCTAGCGAGTCCAAGTCGTTCAAGTTACCGCCGTCTGCGATGTTCTGTAATATTGTAATATTATAATGACAAATGAAAGATGAATAACGAATACAGTAAATATTCGATTACGATTCTCTCCTTCTCGGTGTTGCGTTTTGTTTGGGATACGTGAAGAATTAAATGTGCGATTGGACGTAACGAATTGTGCAAAAATTGATAGTCTGTAATGATTGTTTATGGAGGTTAGGTTTCTTCTTCTTCTTCAAGTTACAGCTGAAAACGTTAAATACTTTCTTTTTTCTCTCAGATTAATTATCCGAGACATTTGACTTAAAGAGTTGCTTATGCCTCTCCTTTATTCGATATTGCAGCCATAATAATTATCCATGTAAATACGTATAAAAAAGTATAAATAGATTATACATTGCATATACATGTAAAGCAGCTTGATATTACAGATAATGCGCCAAAGGGCTATGAATATGTTAGGAGTAAATTACTACCTTAATTAAAATTGAATAAATAATTCAATTGTAAGTTGCACAAGGCACGCAATTCTGAATGCATTGCTTGAGAAGTAAAGAGATCATTTCAATAACATTTATAAAAAAAAAGAATGATGAGGAAGAGATTTTATCTCAACACAGAGAATCCTTTAGCCCTGGTGAAACAGAACGGTCTGCACTGGATATATTTTGCATTCATTGCCGGAGGAGTATGCACTGGTGTTTCGTTGTTCTCCTTATTCCATGCATGTCTTGGAGATTCTATGCCAAAAGGACTATAAAGCTTTGTTGGTGTTCTACCAAGAAGCTGGCGAGAGTGAGTCTGTGGAGTTTGCATTTTACAAATGCTGTTGGGAGATTGTTGCTCCTCCAGTCTTTGACGTCTGCGTGTAGAACTCTTGAACTTCTGTGAAAACAAATAAAAGAATAATTTTACATGTACGTGTAATTCAGCTGATCTGAAGCATTACTACCAGACTGTTGATGTTTATGCATTTGTGATAAGTTAATACACCTGAATTACATCTTTTTTTTTTTATGTTCCGAAAGATAAAACTTTGCCTAAACGTCTCCAGTCTGTTTGTCGTTACTACTTCATTTTTTTAACAAGCTATTTCACCTGTGAAATAGTTCCAAAAGTTGTGCGTACGGAAGATATGGTTTTGGATAATTTCTCGGCTCCACTTCGCAAAGCACGCCTCGAATCCGCCGACATATTCCCGAGGGACAAATTATTCCAGCTACGATCGCCTGTCTGCTTCTCCTTTGACACCTTCTCCTTACAGGTGTCCCCGGGTTTCTTCGTCTTTTCGAAACGATCCTGGAGGCGTCGTCTCAGCTTCTTCGTGATCTCCGGCGAGTTTTTGACGTTCAGAACTTCCCGGTGAAACGTGAACGAAACGCTGCGTGAATCCGGCCGCATGCTTCCTGAATTATTTCTCACTTATTTAATTGCTTAATCGGGGCTTCTCACGTGGATACGTTTTTTAAACGTCGATTAATATACTGTTGATAAATAATAGAAAAACCTGTGGTATTCGATTCATCCCTCGAAATACGTTGGACGCGTCGTTGCCAACCGCCAGTCCCGAAAACAAGAAAACGACCGCGGCCCATCAAAATCTGTTCAAGACCTGCCGAACATTCAATAATATCTTGACAAAGAACGCAGATAACTCCGTTTGTCCATCGTCTTCGAAATCAACTCACAAACTTATCGTCGTATACACAGGTCAAATTTCGATTCGCAGCCGCTACTGTTTGAAAACAGTAACCATTTGATTTCCCCTGCAAGAGGGAACTATCGATTTTTCAATTTGGAGAAAAAGTTATGTAACAAAAAAAACGCCGGCGTGTTTCGATGATATTCATTTCGTTACGGACGTCGGATCAAATATATCTGATCACTTAGTATTTCGAAAAAAACGAAAGAAACATTGCAAACATATCTAATGTAATTTTTTAAATGCTACGCTATAGATAAAACCACGTGACCACATCTAGGGGAAATTAGTTCGAAACATTTCTCTGCGGAAGGCAATAAAAAAACTGTCATAATGACGCGTGGAGATTGCTTGTTGCTATTCTGTGTACTTGTCGCAAGTGTTGTTGTTGTAATTTTCAAACTCGAAAATCATTTATTTGTCGCTTGTTGTTCAATGGGAATTGAAAGAAATTGAGCTTAATTCAGTATATTCTATCTTGACTGATGGATCCTTCTGCAGAAAAGATACGTGGTTATCATCAGATTACCGATAATTCTTATATTTATATACTTATACTCCATACTTCGTCTCGTTCGTAAAGATACTATAAATGTAATTCAACGACGAAAGATATTCCTTCATCTTGTATGGGCAAAAATTCGTACGTTAATTACGACAGTTAACCTCAAAATGAGTTACAACAAAAAGGTGTCGTATTTCTATAATCCGGACGTAGGGAACTTTCACTATGGGCCTGGGCATCCGATGAAACCTCACCGACTCGCTGTGATCCACAGTTTGGTGTTGAATTACGGATTGCACAAGAAGATGCAGATCTATCGTCCGTATCGCGCGAGTACTCACGACATGTGTCGCTTTCACTCAGACGAGTACGTCGAGTTTCTACAGAGGGTGACCCCGCAAAACTTGCAAGGATACACGAAGTATCTGAGCCACTTCAACGTAGGCGACGACTGCCCTGTCTTCGAAGGACTATTCGATTTCTGTTCTATGTATACAGGCGCCTCGTTGGAAGGTGCTACCAAGCTGAATAACAATTGCTGCGACATCGCTATTAATTGGAGCGGAGGGCTGCACCATGCGAAGAAGTTCGAAGCTTCTGGCTTTTGTTACATCAATGACATTGTCATAGCCATTTTAGAATTGTTGAAGTACCATGCCAGAGTATTATATATAGATATAGATGTCCACCATGGCGACGGAGTACAAGAAGCATTTTATCTCACGGATAGAGTAATGACCGTGTCTTTTCACAAATATGGAAATTATTTCTTTCCTGGTACAGGAGATATGTACGAAATTGGAGCAGAGAGTGGACGGTATTATTCCGTTAATGTACCATTGAAGGAAGGCATTGACGATACATCGTATGTTCAAGTATTCAAGCCCGTTATATCCCACGTAATGGAGTTCTTTCAACCGACTGCTATAGTCTTGCAATGTGGAGCAGACTCACTCGCGAATGATCGTCTTGGCTGCTTTAGTTTGAGCACAAAAGGTCATGGGGAATGTGTGAAATTCGTGAGAGACCTGAACATACCTTTGCTCACCGTTGGAGGAGGAGGATACACACTGCGCAATGTCGCGCGTTGCTGGACCTATGAAACTTCTTTGCTCGTTGATGAGCAGATTAGTAACGAGCTGCCTTATACGGAGTATCTGGAGTACTTCGCTCCAGACTTCACATTACATCCTGACGTTGTAACGAGACAGGACAATGCAAACAGTAAACAGTATTTAGAGGCAATTACGAGACACGTGTATGATAACTTAAAAATGATCCAACACTCTCCAAGTGTCCAGATGCAGGATGTGCCGTGCGATGCATTGCCACCAGAAGAAGAAAGGCAACCAGAACCTGATCCAGACTCCAGGCAAAATGCACAAGACGCTGACAAGTTAGTTGAACCGGCTAACGAGTATTATTCAGGAGAAAAAGATCAGGATAAGATGGATGTAAGTGACTCGTGATAAAGGACCGGATAGATTAGACAAAATTTGCAAAATAAAATAATTTGATAAGATATTGAATTATATGCACATGATTAAGTATAAAATGACTGAAAACTAATTTCTTCGGATGCGAATGACTGTAAATATTATATACAAAATTTGTAAATATTGTGTCAATCTTATTAAACAGAATTATTTCTTAACTTGTGTATCTGCCAACTTCCTGTCGTAAACAAAGATGAAACGGCCTCTTAAATGGTCATTAGGCAAGTTTATTGTTTTATGTCAGACAGCATATTGTCTACAATGGTACAACAATGACGATGAGGATGATATAATAGTAGCAATAGTATTAATAGTAGTAATAATAGTAATTATAATAATAATAAGAGCAATAACGATAACGCTTCTCTATCTCTGTTTCGGAGCTATTTTTCGCTATATCACAGAGAACACAATCTTCATGAATATTTTCGTTCGTTTCTTACTACATACGGAAAGTAGAACTTAAACGATGCTTCTCCATCTCTCTAGTAAATTTGCTGCTCGGCTTTTAATATATATACTAAAACATGACTAATGCAATAAATTAGGTCTTCTTTTTTTTTTTTTCTTCTTTTTAAATTAAGGCGCTTCGTTCTGTACATCCATTCGTAAAACTTTACAAAAGTTTCTCGAAAAATAATACAAGTACAAAAATACTCACAGTATGAGAGGAACGGAAATATTTACCTCGACACCTGTGTTAGTTACAAAAAATGCAAGGCTTACACGATCGATAGAAAAAACCCTCTTGCATGTAATAGAATTAATGCGTTGGCTTTGCCAAGGAGGCACTGAAACATACATATAATATACATTCTCACGCACAAGAAGACTCGATAAAGCTTGCATTTTTCTATATTCCTTTTCTTTTTCTCCTGCAGTAGCATGTCGCACTCTGGTTACTTTCTCTCTTTCTCTCTCTCTATAAATCCCTGCCTCTATTTCTTTGTCTCCAATTCTTAACATATATATATGTATATATAATATATGATGTATATTAAAAACATTCAGTCTCATAGTAAAAAGCAATTCCATTTGGTGTTAGGTTTATATGTCCCGTCGAAATCCACTCTCGCGGCATGCACAGGCATTAGGCATAGGCAGTGCTATATCCATTGATCCTTGAAAGTAAAAAACAAAGAAAGAAAAAGTCCTTGGAGAGAATTTTGTTCCTATAAAAAAATTTTTTTTTTAGTTGACTAGATGATCTTGTTGTCGATTCGTCCTCGGTTCAATGGTGAATTTTCAATAAAAAAAGGAACCGAAAATTACGTTTCGAAGTGTTTGTAAATACTGGTCACGTATGTCATAACTTGTTGCCAGTCAGGTCGCTCCAATTGACACATCTCTCCTATGTTCTATAAATGAAATGATCTCTTGGTAAACGTATTACTCGCGAGCAATTCAATAGTTACAAAATTTGTAAATTCTTACCAAGGTAGTAGGTATCCCGACGCTCTCTGCGGCGGAGAAAGCGATAGAAAAGTTTCTTCTCTTCTCCACTGGTGTCAAAGTGTCGTACGGTACCTTCTGTGGAAGATAGGAATGAAGGATGGCGCAGAAGGCCAGGCCGTCGTTCCACGAACTGCTGAAATTCGTAATATCGATATTTCGGTAGCCCATAGTCTTGTTTTGACACCATTTCAGCAATGCATTTCGTTTCGAGCCTCCGTTCTTTATTAGTCCACAGAGAGGATCTTTGCGTTCCGACAAATCTGTTACGCTGTTGCGACGGACAAAGTCGATTGCCTTGGCGTTCAGCGCGGCAGAGTCCAGCAATTCACCTGGGCTCAGCACTACCGGCACTGTTGACTTTGTTTCTGCATTAATCATTGAAAAGTTCTATAACGTTTGAATGCTCCCGCAGAAAATACATCAACTTTCAAAAGACTTTTAAAAGTATGAATCAAGTTAATTTACAAATATGAATTATACAAATTAAATATATTAAATATAATAAATACAAATTACTTATAAATAATCTTGCAAAATTCGTTTGAAAGCAAATCTCGTGTTGCTTGTTGGAGCAGCCAATATCACAACGTTCAAAAAAGAAAATTACCTGATAATGGTTTTCTAGTGATTGCAGTTTGTGTTTTGTTATTATTCGTTGAATTGGTCGTGCAAATTAAATTATTGATCTGTTGTTGATCACGAAGAGGAGCTTTTAATGTCATTATGTCGTTCGTTCCAATAGAGTTCAAGGAGGATGTAGAACTGCTACGACTTCCCGGTCCTGTACAACAAATCATTATATCACAATCATGTAAAAATATATTGGGTAGGAAATCCATCTCTGTATTTCATACCTGCTTTTGCTTGTTTCGTAGCATTCTCGATGCTTTCTATCAAACATTTCACAGACAACCTCGAATCCTGGCGAGAAATATTAGCTTTCCGACGTGCGGCGATCTCCTGTTGAACGCTCGTCAACACGCAGTGTTGAGTTTCCGTTGGTGTGCTCGCCGGCCTTTGTTGCGGTTGCTGAATCACTTTCTGGTTAGCTGGAAGACCATAGAAAGAAACTGAACTACAACTGCACCCAGGAAAAATTCGCGTAACAAAAACGAAAAAGCAATAAGCGCTATGTTTTTACACGTAAAAGAAAGCACAAGAATGACCAAAAAAAAAGAAGTATCTAAGGAAAAAAAAAGAAACTCCAATCACTTTCTTCATAGGTTCGTGAGGTTTTCGTAGTCGTGAGGCCACAAGTATATTTACATCTGTGTGTCATCAAATGATACATAAATGATACTTCAACGAGGGACAAAAAAAAACATAAAAGCGAAATTCTAGATCACAGACAAAGCTAGAGAACATAAATGAGATGTAATGCTTAATCCAAACAGTATAGAAGTTGAAAGAATTGAGAACCTAGGAGAAAATACGTCTGAATACTAGCAACGAAACAGGGCGTATTACAAGTGTTTGAACACATCTGTTTGCTAGAGTAAAAAACCAGGACAGACAACGGGGGTGGGGGGATTTGAATTCTGCAAATACAAGCAATCACGTTTCCACACTACTTTTGCGACTTACAGTCGCATATTATTGTACCTATTTGTCGGCCTGGTCTCAGTTCCACATCTTCTACGATCGTCTCAAATTTCTCTCTTAAAGAGGACGTCCTCCCTATCAGTAACTTATCCTTGAACATCGAATCGCTACTATTCTGACCTATTTTCGACTCGGAGATCGAGCTTGAGCTCTCATTTCTTGTCCTCCTCGTGATTACCGCACTGTTGCTCGTCTCATACCTTGTGGCTGGTTCGGATTGAGACAAATTCATGTTCAAGAATTTCATGCGTTTCAATCTGTTGGCTTCGCAAAGAGTTAGATTCTTTCCAATCTTCTGTGAATCACTGTCGAACTTCAATGCCCCGTTAACGGTCTTTTGCGTCGAAACGCAATCTAACCCTCTGGTGGTTTCTTTTGAGAAGGAAGTTGGAAATTCCTTTGATGCTACTCGAGAGGAGAACGACGCGAATGGAGTGTCCAAGGTAGATCTAGGTAAATTTTCCAACGAAGAAAGAATTGGGTATGTACTATTATATTTTTCTTTCTCTTTGTTTTTCACCTTTTTGATATTTGAAAGATCTATGTCATCTGGTGACTTACAGGGTAAGTAAGGTTCAATTGAAAAACTTCTTGGCCTTGCAGTTGCAACATCGTTGGTATCTCTGTAACGTATTCTACTGTCACAATCGTTATAGGGATTTGAATCTTCCTTTTGTCTTATTTTTCTTGTAACACTGTTACTCGGATTATCAGCAGAGTGAGTTCGTAAGTTCAGATTGTCTAAAGAGGTAGAGAAGATTCGATTTTTCAAGGCAGAATCAAAAATGTTTTGCTTGTGATTGGTATCTAAAAGGGAGTCGACAATTTCACTGCCAGATCTGGATTCGCTCTTCTTCAGGAATAACCTTGGCTTTTTGTTCGAAGAAGAATCGTTCTTGTACTCTTCCTTCGATTCTTTGAACTTTGACGTTTGCAAGAGCAAAGAGTTTTCTTTGTTCTTCGAATCGGACGAAAATATAGCTTTCGCTTTAGATTCGTTCGCGTGTGGAGATTCTTGAACATCGGTCATCACTTCAAAATTATCAATGTTTATCGAATTGTTATTTGTTTGGGTGCTTTCCTGCAACACTTTCCTCATTTCTGGATCCACCTCAAACTTCAAATCGTCCATTGCGTTCTCCACTCCGGAATACACGTAGTCTTTGGGAACGAAAAATCGGCTGTTGGAAATCTCAATACCATAAGAGTCCGTTCCAACGTTCTGAATGCCTTTTATATTTTTCAACAGGGACGATTTTGCAATCTCATTTTCCTCCAAAACTGATGTAGCGGATATGTATAGTTTTGGATAATCTAAGGTCTTGAAACTCTTGTTCGACCTTGTTCTTTGGAAGTCAGAAGCCTCTAACGATTTGTCGTCGGAATCGTCCATCTTTAGCGAAGATCGTTCTTCAAAATCGTCGACAGGCTCCGACAGACTGTTTTTTGACTCAAAAGAAGGACGAATCTCAACTTCCTCTCCAGAGATTAACTTGTCGTTTAGCTTAACGGGCTCTTTGGACTGTGAAACTTTGATACTACCATCGGATTCAGTATCTTCGTGAGAGATCGTTAAGTTCAACTCTTTCGAGTCGTCGATCTTCAAATCTTCCATGTCACTTGGATCTGATTCATCCATTATTTTCAATACGTTCGATCTCGGAACGCTCTTTTTTGTTGACTCGTGCCGCTTTTTTATAATAGTACGACCGCGTTTTAAAATATTGCTAGCGGGTTTGCGTGAGCTTCCAGCAGCGCTGCCTGACATCCAAACGAAATTGAAAAAAAAAGCAAAATAACATGCATTGTATTAATCACTGTACTTCCTCGGTCCTTGGACTTTTTTTGGTTAGAAACCGCCTCTAACGCGTTAAATATCAATCATCTGACCTAATATAGACTGATCGAATTTCGTTTCCCTACTGTATCGTGGTAATCAAGTTTAAGTGTGATTGTTTCTCTTTTCATGTTTAACAGTAGTAAAGTAAGAGATTCCGAGAGGCAGTCTACTTACCTTTATTCAGCTTATCGAGCTGAGCTTCTAGCGTTCTCAGTTTGTCCCTCTGCGCTTTATTCTCCATCATGACCCGCTCCAGCTCGCTCTGAGCCTCCGTTTTAAAGTCGTTCGCAACGCGAACAGTCATCAGGAGGTCCGTCTGAAACTGTTCCCACTCGGTGGCCTGCTCTTGTCTCAACTTACGTTCCTCGGCCAACGAACGCTCCAATTCGTACTGACGTGTTTGAGCATCGCGCTCCCTTCTCTGGGCCTCGTTCAACGCAGCCTTCAACTCTCTCTTATCTTCCAAGTGTCTCTGGCATTGCGCCTGCAACTCTGCAAGAGAATCTCTCACGAGTTGCAGTTCCGTACTCACGGATAACCTCTCGTCCTTCAGTTGGTTTAGCCTGTATTCCAGATCGTCTATCGCCGATTTCGCGTTGTTACGTGCTACCTGTAAAATATTCAATTAATTTCTTGCCAATTACATTGAATTGTGGTAATTAAATATCTCCGTCATTTATAATTTTGTAAAAAAATTCATTAAAACAAAGTTTATTCTACCATTACATACGCTTGTTGAAGTAATGCAACTTTTTAAAGACTTTTTTCATAAAGCTATTAATAATGGAGATATCTAAATATTCCCATTTGGTAATTGTGTACATAATGTGTTTATATATACACTGCGGATTTTTATGAAAATTTATTTCAAATGCACAAAAATCCACAGTCTAGTTATATGTATAACATATAACACATACACACATTCCTGTAATTCCCTTTGTTATACTAAACGTACTTTATATTCCTCTTGAAGTTGCGAGTACTGATCTCTAAGACGGTCGTGGTCGCAATGTGAACGCGCCAGCTGTTCCTGCAGAGCCGCCGCTTGTGTCTCCAAAGTATCCTTTTCTCTTCTGGCGGCATCCAGAAGTTCATCTGCCTCGCTTTTGTTCTCCACCTGCCTCGACTGCTCCAATTCTTCGATCTTCGCTCGCGCGTTCTCCAAGAGCGTAGCCAACCTACTGATCTCTATATTCCGATTTGCACCCTCCTGCCTGGCCTCTGCTAGTTCCATGTCCAGTTGTTTCCGCTCGATACTCGCCGTCTCCACCGACGACTCTAACAAATGTACACATTTTGTCAATCGCTCTGTTTCTGCGGCGCTGACCTCCGCGGCTGCTCGAAGATTCTTCACTTCGGACGTTAGCTCTTCTTGTTTCTGCAGCAAGGATTCTCGTTCCTCTTGTGCACTCTGCAATCAATTGATATAATTAGTTCATAGTTCATTTAATGCGAAAGTTATTACAGCTTGGTGATATGAAATTAAGCGTATTTACTTTTAAAAGATCTACTAATTTCTGTTCTCTTTCTGTGTTATAACCTTTGGAAGACTCTTGAGGCTGCTCCTCCCTCAACAATAAACCTTGCAGCGTATCAACCTTGGAACGAGAGTCTTCTAGCTTCTCCGTTTGTCTGCAGAGCGACTCCAACAACACGTCCTTCTCCTCTGTTAGTCTTTCATTGTCAGCTTGCAGTTCTGTAAGCTGCGCCTGCAAACGAGATAAACTATCATTTCGTATCAACCAACAGTTAACTGACTGCACGCACTTGTAGATCGCTTAGCTCCTGTATCGTCGCTTGCAACTCCTCGTTCGTAGAGTAATGCGTCTCTTCCATCTGCAAGATTCTATCCTGCAGACAAGCGACAGAGACCTCTGACACAGAACTAGAGGAGTGCTTGTCCCAGTCCGGGGTGGTGCACTGAGCACTGTCCTGAGGCATACCAGCGATAGGCGTGGATCCTTCATCCTGGGGGATTGCTATCGACGCTGGCGCCGAATTGTGCAGCCTCGACGCGTCCAGAAGCAACTGTTGCTTCTCAGAGTCTGACAGAGGAGAATGTGCCACGTCTCTGAGCTTCACGCGGAGAGCCTCGTTCTCTTCGGTAAGACGTTCCAACTCTAAAGTGTGTTGTTCCTGCAATTGAGAAACATTATTGATCATGAACATTCAAAGAAACGTAACATCAGATTTTCCTCTTATAGAGTAATCATATCGTTGTCACGTTATAACATTTCTTTCTTTTTTTTGCTATTATTATACAACGTTCGCGTGTTTCATTACCAGTTTCATTTATATGAAAAACACGATGCCCAAGACGTACGCTTACGTAAACGAGAAGGAATATGGTGACCGATCGTGTTCTAATTACTCGGGCTGACTGGCACGAGGAAACGCAATACGCCGAGATATACCGTGACAATATACTGAGAAATCTAAGTTTCTGATTCAAGGTGAACGATGTTTATTCTCCTGTTGATCGCCTCTTGACCGAGGCGACGTTTTTAGGTTAGGTTTATCGAAGATCGACCGGACATCTCGCGAAACTGTCTAAACAGGCGATCGTTATCTGTTAACAACTCTCCGCAGAGAGCAAACAATTTACAGAGGAAAGTGTTTATCTGTCGTTTACCGTGGACGTGGAGAAACAACGTTTTTTCATAGCGTTCGCAGTCGTTTTTCACTTCGCTAGGTTTTCCTTCCTTCGTAAACATCCCTCTTCTTACGCCCTCTGGGATTCGTCCCTCGGGATACGTTTTAACCCCCTTCCGAAATTGGCGAAAAATCCGGAATTTCAATTACGAAACATTCCGAGCCTAATCCCTCATTTTCAATAAATCTTGTTTTTTATCATCCGGAACGATGGAGCATTATTTTCACTTTAACAAAATAAATTTTATTTTAACGTCGTCCCACGTGAGTAAATAAGCTCTTCCATTTCTGTTTGTATTTCACAATATATTGAAATTAAATACCTTTATCAACGTTGAAATTTTCGTATGAACAAATCTTTTGCATTGCGGCAAAAAGAAAAAGAAAGGAGAAATTGGCGGGAAAGATAATCCCAGCCCTCTACCGATAAGTAGACCAATTAGATTTATTAAAAAAAAAAAAAAGAAAAAGAAGAATTATACACACATTACTTTTCATGAATTATTCGTTTTTAATTATCTTGATATTACGTCTGTTCTTGAATTGTAAGATTAGCCTCGGTAATTACACAATTTCCGCTTCGCGTAATGTAAGCTGCCAGGGCGGAGAGGAGGGAAGGAAAAGGAAAAAAAGTGGGATTACCCACGTGCGTCTCGAATCGTTAATATCGATTAACTAACCAACTTCATCTCGGTAGAAATCGATCCCCTGGTGTTTCTGTTCCTTGTAAGGCGATGTTAAACGAGAACGAGGATCCAAAGTGGGAGAGGCAGATTTACGCGCGAGGTGGAAGAACGAAAAGATCGGAGGAGGTGGGAAGAAATCGAAAAGAAAGCAAACGACACAATAAACGGGGATATTGTTAAAATTCGAGTAAAATTCCAAAACCGCGACGACTTTCAATATTAATCGTCGTCGTTCGGTAAGTAACGAATTTGACAACGACTAGTAATAAATCGCATGTATTTGAACAAATTTTACCAATTTGCACATTCACGAAATAGATCTGCGTGCTTTTGGACACTGAGAAATTTCTAATGTCTCTTCCCGTTTGCTCGAGTACACCTGTATTTCGTTTTTTCGCAGAAATTTACGATAAAAATGCTACGAACTTCACGAGTTGTAAGTCGCAAAGGTAAATATTAACATCAAGCGCGAATATCCAAGATAAGAGACCACCTTACCTTGAGAGAAGCGAGCTCGGCACGCAATTCGCGAAGATTCTGAGCATGGCAGGTCGCCTCTCGCAGATTCGACTCGAGCCGTACGCGTTCCTTGCGCAACACCTCGATCTCGCGCTCGAGTTCTTGCATCCTGGACCCCTTGCCGGGTCCCTTGGGATTGTAGCTGCTCTTGGAGTTCCCCCTGGTCCCTTCCTTACCGAGGGAGCCCCAGTTGCCCACCGATGGATTCTCGTTCTTCGCCTCGAGCGAGGAGGCGCTTGGCGCCTGACGCAGCGGGATTTGTTGCTGTTGCTGCTGCTGTTGCTGTTGTTGCTGCTGCTGCTGCTGTTGCGACTGCGTCGGCGGTTGTTGTTGGCCTCTGCGAAACAGCGATCTGAACTTCATCATGGTCGCTCTTCACACTTCACTGATCACTCAACCAAAATTCCAAAACCATTATTCCCAAGAAAGCGAGCATTTATTATTTTCGGTCCCCTCGTGCCCGACAAACGACATTATCGAGCTTATCAATCAGAAATTCATTCGATCCGGCTACTACATTAGACGACAAGATCTCGTTGCACCGATGAAAAATTTGTTGGAAGTGCTCCATCGTTGTGTTGGATCTCGAAAGTAACCTGATCCCAATCGATAAGAATTTTCCATTTTCAGGATATGTACACAAAGGCAATCTAGATTCCCTACAATCAGCGCCTTTACACGTTGCACGCGATATCGGGGAAGTGGAAGGAACTTTTTTTTTTGTATCAGTTTTCTGTACCACTTTTCTTTCAGGATGCTACCGGGTGAAATTCTACGAAATTTCTTCGCAAAGAAAGCGTTCGTGCCACTTTCACGCCATCGAGTTTAACAACGTCGAGCTTCGAGTATCAACTAGAGAATACGTGGAGAAGAATTTCCATTTCAATCTCCTTCTGGGAGAACGGGCTTCTCTTGGTTTCTGAACGATGTCGCTCGAAGTTAAAGGTTACACGACAAGGGAGAGACGATCGGCTAGCAGCGTACGACGACACGATCCGAAAAAGGAATTCGAAGATTCGTACGTCGAGATGCGGCGGCCTCGAGCCACTTTTCGAGGCCTGCGTGTCTCTCACGAGCAGCGTCCACGAATTCCAGCCGAGCACGCACGGAGGACTCGCCTGGTTCTTAGCCTCCGACGGCGACCACTTGTTGCATCGACCGGCCGACCTCCGTGGCGCGAGTGTGTTTCCTCTCGATATCTGCCTAAGAGATACACTTGCATCCTTGAACGTCGAATTCGTTGGACAGTAAGCCTTTCCGAACGAATCCTGCCGGATGGAATCGAGCGCCCGAATATGTCGGTCAAACACGGATCGGTAATTCGAAAACTCTCACGAAATTCTGATCATCGTTTTACACCAGTTACTCGATGTACTCGTTGAAATTTTCTTAATCAAAAAATCTGGAGCCTAAAAATCGAAGTTTCTATATATTGTCGACGGCTGTCTTTTTTTTGTAGGATAACTCCAAGAACTTGTCCTCGAAGAACACAGAAAAACGACACACTCTCTACAACTGTACATCGAGCACTGAATACCGAGTCTCGATTCGTGTCCCCTCCAGAATGGCCTACCCCACCACGGACCATTTTACTGGACGAAGGGCTTGAGAACGCGTCTAGGCGTCGAATATACTTGGAAGTATTACCACTGAACGACGATGCTGTCGATCCTTCTCAGGACCAATTCACCGTATAGACATGAAAGGTGCTTTTTATGTGAAAAGCAAATATTCTCTTCGCTTTTATCTACGGTAAATCGTTATCTGGATATCGGGGAGACGTCACACGGATGAGATATACAAACTGTACTACAACAGCATGAAAAAGTGGAATTTTAGTTGCGCAAGATTCCTTCAAAATGAAAAATTCGTCACGAGAACAGAAACAGAAGCCAGTCAAGGAAGAAAATTGAGAAACAACTGTTGGAGAGAGCAGCATTGGTTGTTAAAGACACTGTACACGTTGCCTCTTATAATAGAGTGATCGAGAACTCTGTAGAGCCATCTACAAAGGTTGGAATTTACGCACTTTCAGGAAAAGCGCTGTTTAACCGATCGAGCCGCCGATCGGTTTGACTTCTTGTTCAATCCTTTTTTTTTTTTTTTTTTACGAACGAAGATCCCCGTAACCGCAACAGTAAAAGAAGATGAAAGAGAAACAGAGATAATTGGCGGGGAATCATGTGGTGGGGCTTAAGACAGTCTGTGCCAACTCTCTGGGAACGAGTACGTACACCGTCGAGGATGGTTAGGCGAGTACAGAGAGGCGAGGAAGAGGAGGTAGAAGCTGCTTAAGGAGGCCACGGAATCTGCAGACGTCTCAGCGTCGACCAGTTTTCTCATACGGTCGACATATGGTATATACTATACACGGTGGTCTAAACATTCCTGGAATGAATCTCTACCTGAGATGAACCCTTCATCTGTCTTTCAATGAAACATCAATTATTGCAATTAACTTTAGGCTTTAGCAACAACAGTAAAAATGCGTACTGTTCTTTAAATTGCTTTTAGATCCGTGCAGATTGCGAATTCTACGATGTAGAATGTAACATCGGTTTCTAAGTATTGTCGAGCCAAGTACGGCATGACTCAAGTATTGGCAAGGTCTGGGTTAAACCTGGCTAAGATTAGACCGGGTCTAGGTTGGATCTGCTTATATATATATAAATGTCATATTGAAATGAAATATTATATCTCTGCCAAATGTTTGTTACATTTGTTACGGTTATCTAGAACTGAAATAGAACAAGACTAGATTCGGTGGAAACACACAAAGAGAGAAGTCAGTCTGTTTCCATGGAACGACCGAATCGATGACTCGACTCTGACGATTGCAATCTGATAAGGGTCGGTTTCGTGGCGAGGTAAGTAACGTCTGCGGATACATCTGATCGTGTCATAAAGCCAACATGCTCACGAAGCACGCCTATTATGGACTTATCTTTGTAACGCTTTTGCAACGTGTGTATGTCATTTCATCGAGTTTAACACGGAAACATGGCGAACGTATAAATACCTTTGAGCTCATGATAAATGCCGAAGCCGTAGAAAAACGGCTCAAAAATGAGCAGAGATCCGTCTATATATGATCTTGGGTACGATGTTTGAAAGTATTCTAGCTGGCAACAACCGCCGTCCAGTTGAAAAAAAGAAAGAAAGAAGAATATACGATCGGCTGTTCACCATAATGAGTTCATTGTACGGGGTGTTACAAAAATTTCTTTCTACGAATAAACGACTATTTCTTCTCTTTCTACGTGTTCGAATCTGACCAATATAATAACGATAATCGTTCCTATCGGAGTGATAACAGAATTTCAAACAGTTTTAAAAAATTGCAAGTGCTCAACTATTTTTGTGGATCGTTACACGTTTCGTAACTCCGAAGAAAGTATTCAATTAGAATTCAATTAGTATTTCTCTTTTTCTTCAATTAGAATGGTATCCAAACCATTTTACTTTATCAACGCGTTGCTTCGCTCCGATCTAGATAACATTCACTAGGTTTATAAACGTACATGTACTTCTTTGCGAGACTGAGGAGCAGACGGGACAACGAAAAGAATCTGAATATCTCATCGGACGATCGAATGTTATGGCCCTCCCCCTTAATTGTGTCTGGAACAACGCGTAATTGCGTTTGGCATGGATTAACATTTCTCAGGCGTACGAAGGTGGACGCGTTGGTAATATCAATGAGAGAGAATGTCCGTCACGATGTAGGCACGTCGGCTTATCGATGCGCGTTAAATATTTGCGCGTTGTTCGTTCCTCGATTAATATTCCGTGTAACGTTCCCGATGCAACAGTCTACGTCACCGCGTTCCTCCAGACACGATCGGTCAGAAGGCTGATTATAAACATTCGTTATTCTCTAAATCCTTCGATTCTCTCTTCAAATGAAACGACTCTCGGTACAGCTAACCCTCGTTATTTCAGTCTAAAAAAAAAAAAGAAAAGAGAAAAAGGACAGCTTATATCCGATTCTCCGATTCGTTCTTTTTTTTTTTTGGAAGGGACCAACACATAATATAATACCAAAACATAGCGGGCTGTACGATAAACGAGATCAAGGCTGATGGAGCTGTGGTGCTTTCCCTGAATCGCTGCTGATGCCGAGTATCTAATTTGATTTAGCAGTCCCGAAGCAAGTAACGAGGTTATAAATTCAACACGTAAATTATCGTCAGGAATTGCTATCGGCTGACGACGCGGCCTTATCTGCGGCTCAAGGAGACGCAAGAAAGATATCGTTATCACCAGGTGTAGGAGGTTCATACATACTTCATGACCTGATCGGTTACCGTGCAATAGCACTCGGTCGGATAACTATTTCACAGAATTTCGATCTTCGGTGACTTGTGTGGAAGAAGGAGAAAGGAACTATGGTTTTCTTTGCGAAGACACTGAAAGATAAGGACAGATCATTGGTGAATTATGGGCGAGGATTGAATCTATCACATCCCAAATTTGTGGCATTTTTTTATAATAAATTATGACATCCTTTGTGTACGTTTTTCTCAAAAATTAAGAAAAATTCTTGAAAACGTGTTTCGTGACTTGTATTATAAAAAGACATCACAAATTCGATGCGTGTTATAAAATGAAGTTGGACTGTTAAAAATGTCGGTGATCAAATGACAAAATAAGCCACGGGAGGAAAACACGCGGGCGTATTTTTGTCACGCGGCCGCGATATCCTTGATACGAACATTTATACCCAAAACAAACAGCGATTGTTGCAGTCGGCTTGCGCAAATATTGAGCAGGCAACAATCACAAGCCTGGAATGTGGCACGTCTTCCATTTTGGATTCTTTTTTTGGAAGCGGTTGATAAACGACTACAGGGAATAGATAAAGACACGGGATTGATGCTGGTTCTTCGATCAGTTCTTTGCATATGACGTCACTCTATCCCTCGTTTTCTCCCAATTGACTATGTCCTTGTTCAAAGGTCTTTAGAAAGCATCCCGTTGCAAGCTTTTACATTCGTGATTTCACTCGTGAAAGTCTCTAGAAATGTTTAACATTTGTTATTCCGTGCGCAATAATTTGCCAATTAATGATATCAGTGATCTGACAATTACAAATTGTGAATTATAGATTTCTTTTTTTTTATATGTATATGATATTTTAATGATATAATATATTATATTAAATAATATTAAATAATATATATATATATTATACCTGCGCAAGTCGATAACTGTAATTTGCACTTGTTTTACTATCAAGCTGGTGTTGCACAGTATAATTTACTGATACCAATAACGATTTGCAACTTGCAGTTTATAAAATTTTTATTAGTAATAACTGAATAGTTAGTCATAAAAACGTTTGTGCAACATACAGATATTAAAATCAATGTTATCTATATTGCACAGAGTTCACGACGACTTAAAGCCATCGCTAAGCCATGTTCATTTAGCTGAACATCGTTCTACGATATATTGCCATAAATGTAAAGAAGTCACCGGATTGCAACGGAGAAGCTCATTGACTTTTGATTCACTGGGTATATAGGTCGTCAACCAAGTACATACATAGTACCGCTCTCATTGTCAGAGTGGGTCGTCGATCCATCGAGCGTCACACCACTTTAGAGGTCCCGTAAGAATCGGCCTATGCTTTTCTCTCTCTCTCTCTCTCTATGTCTGTTTCTTTTTTCTCTTTCTTTTTTCTCTGTTTCTTTTACTCGCGCAAAGAACCGACATTAATTAAGCGACAACGAGTAGACATCGTCGACAGGCGTTACGTTAAACAACTTTCAACGAGACGTTCTCATAAACTTCGATCTCACGATGAATATATGTAACTATCCTTGAATGTTTCAACAACTTTCTATTGATTTTTTAGCTGTAGCCAAGTGCCTTAATATTTATGAATGGGATTGTAACGATGGTTACAGAAAAAAATGAGCATGACTTATCTGATGTAACGGGGAAGCTGATTTATGATCACCTGGAACAGAATTGGACCAGTTAGTGGGTTAGAATGAGTCCTCTTACGTCAGACCAGCATGATTCAGAGGGAAACACTAGAAAGAAGAAATGCATACAAGTTAGTCAGGCTAACCAGATATCCCTGGAAGAACAACGAACTGATTAAATGAGCATAATGACCAGCACGTTGAAATACACACGTATTCACAAAAGTATTCCAACATTTGTAGAATATACTATATATGTTATATACTAGTCACACTGACGACTATAATGATTACATTGATAAAGTTCTCAAAGTGTTCTCATACTTTTGTAACGACATCTATTTAGACAGAATTAAAATGCCATCTTTCAACAAAAGTGATGAATCATGAATAGACGATAGAGAGAACTCACAATCAAACGTGACAACGCCTGTTCTCAAGCGGACATTCAGTGTTCAAATGAATATTTAATTCGACTAAGTAGTCAGTGAATGAAGTCACCAAATGACAGTTCAATCCGCTGGTTTATACATGATGATTTTTGAAGAGCCTTTTTCTGTTCGTTCGAGTGGAGGTGTCAGCGCTCACCGTTACCAGGAACAAGAAGACAAGAAGGAGAAAACTGCAGTCGGTGCAATAAAGAAACTAACTGAACTGCACTCACTGCGGACCAGAATTCGTCCGCCTGCAAAAGCATAAAGCTACTTGCACGCAATAATCAACCGGCGTATCTTGATAGTAAGAGAAAGTGCATTCTGTGTAGTACAAGCTGAGGACTCCCACTTTTCTAACTCACGCAAACGAAATCCTCTGGGAAAAGGAACAGGTGGTCCTCATGGTGAACTGTCCGACTTGCGTCAATTTTTATGGAGATGACAGAAGAGTCAGAAATATATATCGATAAAAAAAAAAAAAGAAATCGACGCTCTGTCATGATGTATATAAGGTGTCGAGAAACGATTGGAGATGAAGCGTGTGCGGGGTCGTTGAATTTTTCTTACGACGAGAACGATAAATTGTAAACGGTTCTGCTTCTTTTCGCATTTTTCTCATTTCGCAGAGGAGAAGAAGCCGCCACACGCGCCTAACTGGCGAAACGTGTCACATGGCTCGCATCATTGTGCGAGACGCGCGGTAACCCGATCTCGCCGGGGAGTCTCTATTCGACTTGAAAAGTTCCAGGCTGAAACTCACTTGTATCGCTGCTTTAGCTCCGCCTCGTGTCTGCCAAGACGCTCGACTTTTTTGCTCGTTGGCCTTTTCGGGCTGAAAAGCGACGTGACCACGTCCCGTTTTTTCCCCGTGCCAGCCGATGGCTTCGATTCGAACCTCGATCTGAAAGTTTCAATAAAAATACTATGACTATAAAACATGTCGAATATTCTCAAAGTTGAAGAGAATAAGTTACGAGTTTATGTATGTATATATATATATAATGTATTATATTATATATATGTATCATATGTATTATATATGTATATTATGTATGTATATACACACACATACATCTAAATTGAAAGTGTGTACACGTGTACATATTTTTTTTCTAAAACCCTGTATAATACATTAATATCTGAAGTTTCAATCATGTTATAAAGGCCACAGTTGATTGAGACTACGATATTGTAACTATGTTACAAGTGGAAAGCGCGTTGAATTTTCATGAGTGAAAGAGTGGGCAAAAAAGATGCACACGAAGTTGTTTTAAAACAGGCGAAGAACGATGGTAAGAATCAACGTTTCTGCAAAGAATGTGCAAATGAAAAAGGATCGTGCGACACGTAGGCGAGTTAACACTCCCACCTGCGCCCACAAAGAGCACGCCAACAGCGAACTCATTATCGAATTACAACGACGAAGCTTCTTTGCCTCTTTTTCAAATTCGTTCTTCGCATTTGGTTTTTACAGTTTCGCCCAGAGAGGATTAATTGGTTGAACTTTCCCAGAGACTTTCAAATTTTCTCCCATTGTTACCACTGCAATTCTGCCTCACTGAAATTAAACGAAGTTCATCCTTGGTCTATTTAATTGTCGAACGTTTAATAAATTGTATCGACTTAGCTGCTAGTTATTTATGTTTTCTTGAAAAAGAAGAAAAAAGAAAGGAAAGTGTAGAAGAGTTGAACGGGTTTAACGTCTTCAGCAATTATGACATGCATCGAGATGTGACCAGCTGGTGGGTCATTTCTATCACTGATCGCTGGTCAATGCCCTCGATCGTTTGATCCATTTACCAGGGACGAGGATCTAGTGAATCAGATCGATTTCATTTTGCATCTGCGCTTGGCTAATGTTCTTCCAACGTCTTATGTAAATTGCCAGTAACGTGGTCTTAACAAGGGGAAGAGGGGGAAAAAAAGGAGGAACTGTTACTGGTTTCTCCACCGCAGAATATTTTTTCTCCATGAAAATTCGTTTTACCTATTTTAATTATCATAGATTAATGATAAGTTTTATAGATTTTATATACTTACACATGTTATGCGCATTCTATGCAATAGAATTTTGCATATGTTACTTTTGTTTCTTGCAAAAATAACTTATTTACTTTTATGATATTTCAATATTGATAGAAAAAAAATATAATAAATAAACAGGGGACACCCGGATTTGAACCGGGGACCTCTCGATCTGCAGTCGAATGCTCTGCCACTGAGCTATATCCCCAATGTGAACGAAGCTTCCAAAATGGTGTTGAGCAACCTATTCATAAATTCCTTTAAATGACTCGAATTAACCATACAGATCATAAAGAGAGACTAATAGAGTAATAAAAAATTTGCATGATTCGATTAGGATCAAATAAAAATCACCAAGTGTAATTCAGTGATAGCGATTTGGTGGGAAGAAAGCGACGCCAATGGCTGCGACAAATAACGGAATCTCTGGAAGAAATGATGGCGCGACCGGTTTTTCGATGCGTGACAGACAAGGCAAAGCCTTCCTGCCAAAGGAAGCACATTACAATTGCGATAATGAGACAAACTACGATTTCTCGACTCTCAACTTTTGTTACATTAATCAGACAAGTTTACCGCCAACACAGTACGTCCCTCACCTCCTTTCGCGTCTTTGTCTACAGACTAACTACTGTCGCCATCTGCAGGTTAACTTTTCCCCTCTTTGTTATCGACTCACATCGGCTATGTAGAAACATATATTACCGGTCGTGTCTGCCAAACAGGAAAATCGTGAAATATTCCGACATAAACAAATGCACGTTCGTTTCACAACAAGTGGCAAAGTACAGAGTCGACTTATATAGTTGCCGAAGCAGAAAGAACGATACATATCATTTTTTAACCAGCTTTCACTCTAACGCAATGGAACGCAAAAAGAGAAGCTTGTTGCAGCGGAAACATCGCTTGGAAATCGTATTCAGTGACTGATTAAGTCTTGATTATTTCTACGGATCTGTTCTAGATGTTTCCTAGATATGTTACAAATATGAAACCATGATTATCATGTAATTCAAATTGAAAAGTGTTTAACTTGGTTATCGTGCAGTTTAACGTTAGAACTACCAAAATAGCCAATTTTTAATCTCAGTTAGAAATTTTAGAGATTTAAAATAGCGACTTAAGCTTTTATTATATATATTATATTTTAGTATATACATTAACTTCTAAAGTTATATATAATAAAAACTTGCGTACTCCATACTATAAAGTTATTCTATTTCTTTTACTTCAATGTCTCCAATGGAAGTTTCATGCTTTAATTGTCTATTAAGGTTGTTCTAGTGTTAACATTACAACGTTTCAAATAGGTTGTTTGCAATAATTATTGTAAATCTCATTTTTACAGAAACAATGACGACTCACCGGGTCTTTGGGGGCTTGTTCGTGATCGGTACAGAAGTGGCTGTTGCCCGTTTAAACGGTGCCCGATCTCCCGAACCCATGGACATTCCGCTTCGAGCCTGTCACAGACAAAAAGAACACAATTAGCGGGCGGAACACACATAGCAGAAGACTCGTCGAATCGGTAAAATGCGATCAAACGATACGTCGTTCACCCATTCGTCGTACGTCACTTTCGAGATACACGTCTCTCCCGGGTACAGGAAAACGCACGCGAACGTCTTTGGACTAATAGCACAGGTGCAGCGTTGAAACCGCAAGTGTGACATCCTTGACAAGGTATCTTCTCTTACGAGCATGAATTCGATCTGTTCGCGCCGTGTGGACACGCGCAAAACGGTAGCCGCTAACGAAACACGCGCTATAATAATTATAGAAACGAAGGACGCCGGTCGAAAACGCGCATCAAACATTTTCACCGCTATGACCTAGAAATACTTATATCGCGAGGAGGACGAACTGAACTAATAATCGCTGCGTCGGTTACAAAAAGTACTTGATCAATTTTTTAATTATTTTAAATTATTGAATAGTTTCGTACAATTTGATGAAACGCACGAGTATCAGACGTAAGTTCCCTTTGGGAAACGAAAGTAAATAATATACAAATACTTTTTGCAACTATTGCGCATGTATGTACTATCGCATATACGTGTACCGAGCTTCCTCCTAGAACCTCCAATATTTGCCGAAACATTTCGCCAAATTGTTGCGAATGCGCTATTGTATAGGGATATTGCTACGATGTTTAACGATCACGTCACAACTTTCACAGGAAAATTCACAAACGAGACGATCCTTTAACCTACGACGCACGCACAACATTTTCCATTGGGACTGCACCTCCCGAGCGCGCAGAGAGCTCGACGGAATTCGAAGTGAACCTGATAAGAGGTGGATCGGCTGTGATAAGTTGGCAAATGTCTACAGATATACACGGCACGTTAAATATTGTGATAGATAATATATTGTACAGGCTTGTTTGGAAACTTTACGAATATATTATATAATATATTATATACGTGTTCTTTTTCGCGTACGTGTACTCGTTATCATGCCGCGAAAATTAAAATTTCCACGAGTTTCACGTTTAGTTCGGTGAAACTTCTGGAGTTGCTAAAAAATAAATTTGAGTATATTGAAACTTGGCGCTCACTTTTCTACCATACGAAATATTTTGAAATTGAAACAAACGACCATCAGAGATCGTTCTGAAAACATCTGTTTTAGAAGCCACGACCTGATGCAATATTTGAGAATATCCGTTGGCCAATAGATAAAGCACCATAAAGCAGCGTGAACGAGCGAGTCGAAGAAGTTAGTTACAATGTGTTGAACAAGTACCGGTTCCCTTCCCCAGGAGAACTGGCGAGACCCAATGGATTTTCAGCGAATATACACTTGGGAGAGTTTCAATCAGAAGGGTACATGTCCGTATACATAGCTGTAAAGGTTCATCGAACCTTCGCCGCGCGTACGGGTTCTCGGCCAATAATAAAGATGCATGCCCGGTACGTAACTACGTTCTGCACATACGTACGTATTATCCTGCACCCGTGGCCGCTCGCTCCACGCGAAATACTCTCCCAGCGAACACGCTAAAACGATATATACGCGTTTTCAGGTTGTCCATCCTTCTACAGGATATTCCCACAACAAAACACCGCCAGAGCCTTTGCATTTTACCAAATCCATTCAATCAATTTTCACAAATTGTGGATATCAACCTCCATAGCCAAGCATACAGATAGTTACTAGACTGATTATTGGAATCTAAAATTATTAGAAATGTCTAAAATTTCATACTACACTATTTAATGCAGACAAGTCAAATTCTTTTAGTTTCACCAAGCAACAAAATTGTTTCTAGAAACTAATTTTATATGTGTGTGTGTATATATATATATATATAACTTAGAAGAAACTTATATCAGTCACATATAAATTTGTGTATGTATATATATATATATCTGCAGTCTAATAACTATGTATTAATAATTAATTCCTCATTAAAGCTCGTCTCTTCTTCCTTGCAACAGTATTGCGTAATCAAACTTCTACTTTTTAATTGAAAGGTTACAATCAACCGTTCCTGGGATACGAAGCACCGAACTAATCGGAACGAACGTGTGGAGGTAGTGTTCGGTTGGAGGAGCTCGATACATAGCGATACAAGATCCACTAGTACATAAGGCGCATGTGCATGACCGGTTAGTTGCTGCTAGCACCAAGTCGCGCGCGACTCTTGTCCATCGAAGGAATTGGAATCTTTACAGAGACAGATTGTTGCCCGGCGGTTCTCGCAGACTCTCCCGACCTCGCACAATTGGCAAATTGGCAGATATTTTGTTCGGCTGATCCGAATGTATCCGTGTAACCCGATAGGTCGATAATCTCTCGTCTATCGTTTACACGTTGATTGCAAACGATCAGGCTGATCGTGTTCTGCGGTTTGTTAGCGGGCTTGTACTGTATCTGCTCGACGTCAGGATCATCTTCAGGTTTTACGTTAACGGATCTATCTTTATCTAGAACAGGTAAAGACAGGACGGTTAGCAATTTAAGAGAGAGACAAATGAAAGGATAAAAATTAAATGGAACTAATTGAGAATTAGTTTTGGAACTTTGATAGATTGGTTCGAACGAATCAACCGGCATGAAACGCGTCGAGCAGAAGAGGAAGAGAGGATGTATATCATCGACAGATACAAGGCAAGGCTCCACCGGGTCTGAAGGTTTTTCACGTCTGTGCCGCCAGGGTGTGGCGATGATAGGCTTGTTTCTCCTACGGCCTACACTTTGTCAACGGGAGCAGCAACTCAGACGGGCACCGCCGTGCCGCCGGGAAACACCAAACGGCCCACGCACGCGACACCCGCGTAAACGATCCAACGGGTCGCGCGGTGAACTTTTATTATCTCTGTTGTCTTTCCTCTCGAACGCCCTCTGAATCGACTCCGATAAGTGTCTCGTGTACGTGACGTCTCCATTATATATCTCATATAACGTGGCTCTTTTTGTATACAGGTATACATCGGTTCGATCTCCACCAGAAACCCCACATCTTTTCGTACATGTACACATGCATGTATATTAAGGCGTGACATAATCTCGTCGTAACCGCACCTGCACATAGGTATCCAATTTTAGGGTCCGTTATCGACGGCAGTGGCTGGTAGCAGTGTCAACAGTAAACGGGCATCCAACGTGGCGAGGACGAACCGGTCGCGAGAGAGAGAGAGAGAGAGAGAGAGAGAGAGAGAGAGAGAGAGGGAGAGAGAGAGAGAGGAAAATCGAAACGACTCGCGCGATTCGGCAGTTCAATGCGAACTGGCTACGTCCATGCCATTCCAATCCACGTTATTCCGCTGCAATGACCTCTCCTGGCCCCCTCTCTCCCCCTCTTCCTTCGTCGGCTCGTCCCTTCGCTAAGTATCAGGCCTCTCCACGTCCATCACACTCGAAACAATCGGTCGCTCGATCGATGGTGTATTTTCCCTTTGTAATAATCGACTGTACAATCCGTGATAACGTAGGTGGTCTGTTTCAGGACTTCTGAAAGAGTTTCACGCTGTTGATACTGATCTTTTACGTAACTAAACACACTGGCAATGAGTATCTTGTTTTGAAATTGATCTCAAACTTTACCGATACAATTCTGACAGTTTTATTGAGAATGGTAATGAAATTTCAGAATGTTTTACGTATAAGATGCATAATATATCATGTACACAGTAAATGGTACCTGTGAACAGATGCTAGATCCAATTTTACTTGTCCATCCCGTGACTAGTCACAAAATGTATTCTAGTCATCTTCAGAAAGAGAGAGAGAGAGAGAGAGAGAGAGAGAGAGAGAGAGAAACAGATCTTCCAACATTCCACAGAATGGCAAAAAAAAAAAAAAAAAAAAAGGAGAAAAAAGGAAACACATTGCGCATGTGACATCGTCATGGTTTTTTCTACCGATTACAAGGTGCACACACGCGTACATACACGCATGTATACACGTACGACCCATCCAACTCAGCCGACCTTGGTACACGCGAACTGGGTGACCTTCTGACCTAATCGCCGCTAATTTCATTTGCCGTGCGCGTGCATTAGGTAACATGCAAATCCCCGCGCCCTGTGGTGGAAGCCAGCTGCAGAGAACATTCTCCTAGAGAGCTCCTGTCGCGCTCCAAATACCTGTCCGCTTCTACCCACCTGGCGTGATTACGTCTCGTGGCATCCCACGTAGATCTAACCACGGATCACGAAGCTGGGACCCTATCTCGTTGTCGTGAGAATCCATTTTTTTTCTTTCTTTTTCGCCTGTCAGTTCTTTCTTCTCCGCTGCCCTTGATTCGAATTTCAGCTCACCTGAAACCAATTCGTCACGTTTCTGTCATCTTTCTGTAGTCTTCAGACGCGTTTTCAGAGTTAGTTATCAACGACAACGAGATGTCGACGTTTAACCACTTGCGTTGGCAACTGATTGCGGACCATAACGAGCGACCAAACCGTACACAATAATTCGTCGCTTTTTTTTTCTTTTGAACTCGTCGGTATGATATCACTGGATAGAAATTATTGAGGAGTAATAAATTTATCATTTGTTTTGCCTGGGTTATACTTAAATATACTTAAAACTGAGAAAATATTGCACTTTTGGGACAAAAAATTCGAAACTGATAATCTCGATAATTAACGATACCAATGTACGATGTGTAAATGCGTTAGTATTAGGCTAATCCCGAATTCCTCTAATTTCAATCATTGCCCATTTCCACGATTTTTCAGCAGGAGAAGCAAAAACAAAATTGAGAAGCAAAGAGCATTATTATATCGCGACAATTCCTATCCCCTCAATTGAGAATTTATACCAAACTGTATATTGTTCTTCCGTTAATTAATGCTGTCAATCCAACAACTTTAAATGATTGCAAAGATTGGTTTCCCAATTCTAAGAACCATAGTTTACCACTGGCAAATGCCAGTCCGGGATCGTGTAACGGGTAAAATTGGCCGGTTAAAATTAACGATACAGGCAACAGGACGGTTAGATGCAACTAGAAGCAATTATGTTAACAGTTAGCATTGACTGGAGGGACCGTGACAATTAGAAAAATTACACGTTACTTACCGGATCCTGTTCTCAACGTTGTTACGTTGTTATTGCTGATCGAACGTCGTAAAATGTCGATCACAATTTCAGCATATTATTTTATTTTTTTTTTTATCTTCTATCCTTGGAGGCGCAGCACGCCGAGAGAAGGCGCGAACCGAATGAGAACGAACGCGGAACTGCATGCGCCGCGAACAACAGTCCGCGAGAGACTGCCGGTTGCAATGACGATGCATCGTCTTCGACTTGGATGGGCAAAATGGATGGATGGATAGACAACGTAGTAGCCCGACGGCTAATCACCATGGAGCACAAATACCAGCGCAACGTTACTGCGCGTGAATGTCAATCGCATAGACCTGGAACTTAGGTAGATGGTTAGAAAAAAAAATTTATAAAACTGTTCATAATTAAGCCTTCTTTTTATCCTACTGTGGTGGCTAACATATTCAACTTACCATAAACAAACTATTTTGAATAAGTAAGTATGATGTTTCAAGATCACTGTTTGAGAAAATTTTTAGATTCATTTTAAACTTTAGCAGTATAATCTCGTGATGATCTCGTTATAGTCCTAATGAAATTCCGTGTGATATACTTGTAAAATAAATATTGCTTCGAGCAGTCAAGACCATCCTAAATAAATTGATTAAAACGACGACATTAGGATTGACCCTCTACAGACAGGGTGGAATATTTCTTACGTAACCACGAGGGTGGGTCAATTTGTCCTTGGAACAATAGGTGGAGCAAACACACGTATATATATATATACTTTTCTGTTCTGAGTCAGTGTGTTTGCTCTACAATTGATATTCCAGGATCAACATCCCATTGAAACTAAAAATGTAAGACACTGTTGATAATGGCGTTAAATCAGAAGCTCCATTGAGGGCCAAACTATCTAAATTATATATTTCGACATATGGCAATCAGTTTGGCTAGATAAGATAGAGATGCGAGCAATAACTCATCGCTTGATCTATTTGACAAAAAATGAATCAAGCCATTTTGTTAATGCCACAAAAATATATATCCTAGCAAGTTAAGGGAAAACTGTTACAAGTGGCCCTATTACCGAGATGAAAATGTTTCGTGTTACGATGCAATAAAATACAATCAGGCTATTATCCGAGTTTGCATTGTGGGTCATCACGGAAGCGTAAAACGCGCTTAGAAAAAGATCTGAAAAACCCAAGGCTCGTGAGAAGAAGAAAACTGACTTTGTAACTTTAACTTTGCTTTAAGTCTTCTAAGTACTCCCAAGATATAATCCATGTGCTCTAAAAAAAAAGAACAAGAAATGTAAAATATTGGATTTTCCTCATAAGCAATGAAAGTTGTTACTATCAGAAAATATAATATAGAGAGAATAAAATATAGAAAAATTCGATCGATGATCAATCGTTGCCAATGGCAATAATTTTTTACCTTTATCTGATGCATGCGAAATCGACGACTGCATTACTCAAAAGGAACAAAGTCTGAATAACAGCGCAAGAAACCAAAGCATAATAGAGTCCATGAAGATGTCCTAATGTCTCTGCCAAGTCCTACAAAGTTAACCTAGACCCTGCTGGTAATTCGACCAGCGGAACCATGCTCGCAGAGATGCGAGCTGCAGCTGCAAGCGTGCACGCGTCACACGTCTGGCAAACGCATCATGGTGAACGCAAATTTTCCTGCCAAACTAGAGCGGCGTGTGCTAAAGATAGGTCGGGAATCGGCGTGTGTACCTACAACCGGTGCGGGAGACAAGGGCAACCTTGGCCTTAGAAGTTTATATAACGAGGAAGCGCGAGGATCGCGAGCTCAGTCGCGTCGTTTCATTTCGATCCATCGATTCGTCACCTGGCCGAGCTTCATCGTGACAGGCAGCCACGCTTCGCCGATCCGTAACAACGTTGACTCTTTCCGTTTCAATTCTCACTTCTAGTTCTAATCACTCGTTCATTAATTCAATTACAATCATGGAACAGTGATCCATTGGTAAAAAACTCGAGCCTCCAATTAGCTTCAATTGAAGTCTTAATCGTAGTCGTTTCACCATCGATATTCATGTACGCTCTGCTACGCTACCTGGAAAATAAGATCAGCGATTGTCAGAAATCGGAATTTATCAATGGCTCCATCAGGTATATCGTGAATTTCCAATGTTGATCGAGCAGGATGAGATCAGCTGACCAGTGAGGTGTGCGTTGGATCAAGGTACAGACAATTGGAAAGATAACACGCGTACAGAGTAGCAGTTAAAAGTGAAATCGTTTAGAAGAGATTGGGACGGTGGAGCGCGATTGAATCGTTTGAACGTGATCATGGTGAGTGGTGGCAAGTGGCGCTTCCGGTGTATGTATGGCGAAATAAAAATGCGCTTCCCTGGAAAATGTGACGCCGCGCTTCCTCCTCTCGAACGTTGTTAACTATCATGCTGAAATAAATTCGACAACGCGAAGCTTCAAAATTCAAACGTTCAATAGTTCCAAACTCACCAAACGTAACGAATGAACCTTCTTTAAGGATCGAACATTGTTGTTCCCCGAGAGAGCTATTTTCTAGTGTCCGAATCTCGCTCGCTGCACTGCTATTTCTGGAGAACGGCATTGAGGAGGCCAGATCGCAGAAAATATATGCTCAGGTGACGCGGCAAGCCTAGAATCGGAAAAAGGCAATGCATCTGCTGATTTTACTCTGGGCGTTGGTCGCCCTAATTGGCCAAGTGAAGTGCAAATGCAGCCTAGCGCCGATTCTGAATGACGAACGGTCGACCGCCTACGTTTGCACTCACGGCGACCTGAATGATCTCGACGAGATATCCAGCGACGCGGATTGGATAGAGTTCACGGTGTCCCGGTTCAACCTTATCCCAGACAACGCGTTCTGGCGTTTCAGAAACCTACGGAGACTCTCCTTTTACAACTGTCACGTCAATTTCATCAGTTCGGACGCTTTCGCGGGCCTGGGTAGCCTGGAGTGGCTCATATTCCATGGTACCAAGATTCACGTAGCAAGGGCCGTCTGGTTTCGTCCTCTGACAAACTTGCGGAGACTCATTTTGGACAGGTAAGATTCATTCCTTCAAAGCAATTAAAATTATTTTTAAAAACTGACAGAAGATATATATATATATATATATATATATATATATATATATACGTATGCTCTTCACATTGAGAGAGATGAAATAAAATTCAAAATAGAACGATCAAAATTACCCACGCTATTCTTGGGATCTATCCTAACTGCTTGACTCAAAACAGTACCGATTACATAAAAACAGCATAATGATCGACGATCCAGTTGTCAACAGGGAGCGCGTTTTGAAAACGCATGATGTCACAGCCTGAAAAGATTCCCAAGAGAGGCACCGTGGGTCGGGGTTATTTGCAAGAAAAAACGCGGAAGCGCGACATTTCCTTCTTTGCGAAACGCCAGCGCCCTCGTTCGCGTCATTGTAAATCGCGCACGTTGTTACGTAAAAATGATAATGGGCCTGGTAATAATCGTTGCGATGCACGTTCCGATTGTTTACAGATGCGGCCTGGTACACGTCGAGCCCGATCTGTTCCGCATGCTGCCCAACCTGCAAGTACTGGGCCTGCGCGACAACGATCTCAATTGCCTGCCGATCGACGAACTGCCCTACTTAAGGGCGCTAAGGACCGTGCGAGTCGACGGGAATCCCTGGCTCTGCGAGTGCCGGCGAAGACTCGATCAATACCTTCGCTCCCGCTCTATCGTCCAGGAAGTCGAATGTCTGCGGCAAATCAGCGTCTGCAAGAAGTATCAATGTATGACTCCCATTGGCTTTCCCGTTCTCCCTTCTGCTCTCACTACTCAACGATTGCACGACTTTGACAGAGTAAGCGTGCAGACGAATAAGCGTCTCACAATGTATATATTATAGAAAATTTTTATGATTTTCAAAAAAAAAGAAAAAAAAAAAAACGTCTGTCGCAGGAACGCACGCTCATTCGCGGAAACGAATTTCAAACGAACGTGTTCAACTCCCTGGACAGACTGCCAGACAAAACATCCTGGATCGAGGTCTCCGGCTTGAGGATAGACACGTTGCCGAGATACGCATTCTTCAGGTTTGGCAACAGTCTAAGGACGCTGGAGCTGATCGACTGTGGAATCACCGTGATCGAGAACGGGGCGTTCGCGGGTTTGCACAAGCTGGAGCGGCTCTCTTTGGTCGGCAATCGGTTGCCAGTCGTCGGTGCCAATTGGTTTCGAGATCTCGTCAGCCTTCAGCAGTTAATCTTGGAGAGAAATGGCATGGAGCAGATCGAGAGAACAGCGTTGTGGCACGTCGGTGACTCCCTGCGACACCTCGACGTCCAGTATAATCTGTTCCGATGCATACCCGTCGAGGAACTGGCCGATCTTAAAAAGTTGGAGAGGTTAGACGCGATGGGCAACCCGTGGTTCTGCACCTGCAGGGCGAATCTTCAAAATTTTCTCACCCAGAGGAACGTTGGATTCGAAATTAATGCGGGCCGGTGTTACGCGAACGAGAACGAGATTTCAAACGGCAGCACCGATTGGCGCCAGCAACAGGTACTACGTTGGTCGCTAGTCTGTCTAATTTGAAATGTTTACCTCGGAGACCAAGCTCTAGAAATATATTTATTAATATATATGTATATAATATAATATAATAATATTAATATATAATATAATATATATTAATATATTTATTAATAATTACTTTTAAACATTTTCACAAAAAGTGAAGAAGTACAAATTTCTCAAATAGAAACATTTTAGTAATGGAGATTTATTTTCTAGAAAACAAAAAATAACCAGAATCACTTAACCCAACTCTTACCAACTCTCGTGCTATAATTCCTTTTTTTTTTTTAAATTTGAATATAGTTGAATATAATATGATCTGTCATTCTTAAAACAACTGTTATTCTTTTTCTGTATGTAGACCATCGTCCAAAATGCTTCGCTCACGACTGGAAGAGTGCATTGGACTTCTTTCGAGGACAGCCTTAAGCAAACGAACGTCTCCACTCTAATCGGACCGCCACCGCCACCACCGCCGCCGGAAATTCATGTTGTCTCGTCGCCACCTCCTGTTTACACGGGTACCTGTTACCACGAGAAACCCGAAAAAGACTCGATCTACGTTTGTCGAGCCATCACGTCGATCGAGGAGTTAGGCTTGGTACCTTCGACGGCGCGCGAGATTCGAATTATCTTGTCGAACATCAAGAAGATCCCAGCGAACACTTTCGCGCGTTTCGACGGTTACTTATCGAGGCTGGAGTTCCGGGACTGTGGCATCGAGAGGATCGAACCGCGCGCTTTCTTAAACCTTCGTAACTTGGAATACTTATCGCTTCGTAGCAATCAACTGGAGTCCATTAGTTCAGAAATGGTCTACGGTCTTCATAACCTACGGCACTTGGATCTGTCTCATAACAACATACACAGAATTACGAACGACGTGTTCGATCATCTACCGTACCTTACCAATTTAGACGTGTCCGACAACGCCATGAACTGCATTGGGATAGAGTACATAGCCCGTCGACTGCATTACCTGTCGTTTCTCGATGTTTCTAACAATCCGTGGAGCTGCCTCTGTGGATCGAAGTTGGCTGAATTTCTGGACTCGCGAAATATGAAATACGACAAAGGTTCACTCCTCCTGAAGGAGGATTGTTACGCCTCCGCGGGAAGCCCAGAGGTCACTACCAGTCCACCAGTTCCGGTGACAACTGGCGCCACGCTGAGGAACGAGACTGTAGAAGGGACCTGCACTATCGACGAAGATACAGCAGAGCGCCGTTATCGATGCACCGATGGTAATCTGTTGTTGTTAGAGTCGATAACGTCGGAAGCAACCGCCATCGAATTCAACGAAGGCCATCTACCGAGGCTATCACCAGGATTTCTGGCGAAATTTGCAAACTTGCGAGAACTCGTAATAAGAAATTCTGGACTAACTACTGTAGAAGACGGTGCGTTTAACAATTTGAAGAAACTGGAGAATCTGACGATACAGGATAATCCTCTGGAAATGATCGGATCCTCCTGGTTCGTTTTGCCCAACTTGGACCGATTAGATCTCCGCGGCAACTCCATCAAGCACATCGAGCCCGGATCGTTCCGATATCTGAATCGACTCACTTATTTGAACCTCGAGGGTAACGATCTGAGGTGCATATTCACGAGCGACCTGAACGAGATGTCCAACGTGTATATCGTCGAATTCTCCGGAAACCCTCTGAAGTGGAGATGTAGAGTCGAGCTGGAGCAATTTCTAGAGGCTCGGAAAATCCGGTTCATAAAAATCGAGAACTCCTGCGAGGGTAAAAAATTGGTGAGGAATCTCCTATTGCAGAATAAAACGGATGGCTCGTTCGATTGCCCATCGGAGTGTTCGGTAGCCTCCACCGGGCAAAATTACTTCGTTTTGTTCATACTGTCATCGCTGATAATATTAGTTCACTAAGTGGTGGTTACATTTGATACTTAAGCATGCACCGTGTAGACCTAAAGGATAGGTGCCGGAAATAATTTATATTGTTGTCCTTAACGTACGCTGTTGCCATCTTTGTCTACCGCACAGATATCTCTGTCCTTTATCCACGCTAACATCCTCCTTGTCTACTACGCAAATATGTCTATCCCTATTGCACGCTGTTGCTTTCCTTGTCTACCGCACAGATAGGTCTATCCTTGTCCTACGCTATCGCCCTCTTTGTCTACCGCGCAAATATGTCTGTCCTTGTCGCACGCTGTTGCTTTCCTTGTCTACCGCACGGATATTTCTGTCCTTGTCCAACGCTATTGTTCTCTTTGTCTACCGAGCGAAAATGTCTGTCCTTGTCGCACGCTATCGCCCTCCTTGTCTATCGCGTATGTATGTCTGTCCTTGTCGCACGCTAGTGCGCTCCTTGTCTAATGACGCTAGACAAGGAAAGCAATAGTGTGCGACAAGGACATCCTTCGATCTATTGAAAAAAAAATTCAACTTTTTACACACACGTTTTTCTAGGACAAAACACACATAGAATGAAAGCGGGGAGCCTAATTTTAAGGAGGCATATAAAAAAGTTCGCAAATTATTCCTCTCAATTAGGTTTTTTTCGTAATTAGTGCGAACTGTCACAAAATCGACATGGTGGCGCCATCTAGCGGTACCTCGGTGGTACTAATTATTTATAAAAATACTTATTTCTGCATTTTACGGGTCAAATGGGGTATGAAAAGAAAGCTAAGAGTCTAATTAGGGTAATACAATCGCCAAAGTTCACAATTCGTTACGCTAAATTAGGTTTTTTCGCAAATGAAAATTTTTCTGTTTTACGGGGTAAGAAACACTAGCGCCGCGTTGTGGCAGACCGGTGGAACTAAACGCTCTATAACCATATAAGAAGAATAATTGATTTTAACTTTTGACGCCACAAATTTGCACTCTACGAGCATGTATTTCAAAGATAATGCTATCAATTACGTTCGCAAATAAATTTGAATCTAATATTCACTATAGTTTGCGAGAAATTACGCATTCACTACTGGCACTGCTCCTAACGTAAACGGAATTGAAACATTCTTTATGTACGTAAACTATACTTAAACAAAACATAAAACGCAAGCTTAGGGTCTCTAAAATCGAAGACGCAACCATAACAGTTCACAAATGATTCCTCTTCATTAATTTCTTCTCGTAATTTGTGGAAAATTTGTCACCTGTCAATGTTTAGAGGTAGTGGTGGCGCCATCTATTGATAACTCGGTGGTACTAAAAACAAAATTTTTCCACTTTTAGTACCACCGAGTTATCAATAGATGGCGCCACCATTACCTCTAAACATTGACAGGTGACANTTTGACCCGTAAAATGCAGAAATAAGTATTTTTATAAATAATTAGTACTACCGAGTTACCGCTAGATGGCGCCACCATGTCGATTTTGTGACAGTTCGCACTAATTACGAAAAAAACCTAATTGAGAGGAATAATTTGCGAACTTTTTTATATGCCTCCTTAAAATTAGGCTCCCCGCTTTCATTCTATGTGTGTTTTGTCCTAGAAAAACGTGTGTGTAAAAAGTTGAATTTTTTTTTCAATAGATCGAAGGATGTCCTTGTCGCACACTATTGCTTTCCTTGTCTAGCGTCATTAGACAAGGAGCGCACTAGCGTGCGACAAGGACAGACATACATGGCGATAGACAAGGAGGGCGATAGTGTGTGACAAGGACAGACGTGTTCGCGCGGTAGACGAAGAGAACAATAGCGTTGGACAAGGACAGAAATATCTGTGCGGTAGACAAGGAGAGCAACAGCGTGCGACAAGGACAGACATATTTGTGCGGTAGACAAAGAGGGCGATAGCATGGGACAAGGATAGACCTATCTGTGCGGTAGACAAGGAGACCAACAGTGTGCAATAGGGACAGACATATTTCCGCGTTAGTCAAAGAGGGTAATAATGTGTGACAAGGACAGAAATATTCGCGCCGTAGACAAGGAGAATTCAAATATGTTTCATTGCGTTTGTAGTATTTAACTATGGTACGACACATGTGTTCATTCGTTGCAAAATGCATTTTGCACACCTGCTCGAGTAATTGATGGAGAATCAAATACACGTTAGAATCACTTTTCCTTAGCTTGAGTTTGCCTTATGGCACATCCATTTCTTTGGTCGTACAATGGTGTTCGAGGAATGGTGTATCAAAATACACTTATGTTAGTTTTAGAATGCGAGGTAACTAATGAGGTAATTAACAGGATTAATTAGCATTGATTCGAGTCGAACTTGCGTCAGATTTAATTAGTATTATTAGAAAACAATTGATGGATAGAAGCAAGTTCGCAAATTCTAGCAAAAGATCAGATGGTGATTTACTTGGTGAAAGTCAAAGTTCAAGCGTGTACATAAGTTTTCAATGACTCTCACGCTTCAAAATTAGCATTTTTGGATCGTACTTGTCAAAAATTGTCACACGTTGTAAAAAAATGTCCCCGAAATATTAATTTTTCTTCGACAAAAGGAATACTTATGTTGAAAGAGCGTGACGAAATTCTGTAACCCAGTGCTTAATATAATGCACAAGGAGACTAACATATTTTTTGGAGGGGAAAGGGATGATAGCTGCCAAGATGGACCATCAAACATCGAGGATATATTCCATAATACAAATGTGTATATTTTTTAAACATATGATCTAAGTATCTATTTATTAGCCTTGCGTGCCATATTGTAATTTACGAATGAATATATTCTTGTAAACAGTTAGGTTTAATAGAGTAGAGTGATAAATATTTAGGTTTAATTGAATTAAAGCTAAATATCTATTGCGTTAAGTAACTTGAGAAGGAAAAATGAATGAAAGCAGCTATACAAGAAAGGTTTCGATCGGTGGAGAATTAATAGATGTATGCTTGAATAGTTGCAACCAGCGACTGCACAAATAAATAATTTATTGTAAGCAAACATGATTTTTTAATTTTTGATCGAAAATAGTTGACGTTTCATAGTAAAAAAACTTATCACCATTTTTTGTATAAGATCAAAGTACATTCCATCAGCCCGGCTAGCTCAGTCGGTAGAGCATGAGACTCTTAATCTCAGGGTCGTGGGTTCGAGCCCCACGTTGGGCGAATATATTTTTTTAATTTTTTTTACCATAAATAGCAATATTTTTTATAGAATAAAAAAAAAAATTTTAAATATATCATTAATAACTTCTAACATATTTATTTTATTTTGTGTTATATATTTACGTGTGGTAATCTACTTCAATAGATTATATACATACAATAACTCATAGTATTCGAACAAATATCATTACACTTGTTTAAAACTCTAATAATTAAAAATATAATTATCAAGTTTCATTACAATGTTAATGAAATTTTGTAAAACACATAACACATTTAGTCTTCATAAATGTTCGAACACTTATGAATTATTTAAATAAAATATATATGTTCAATTAGTTTAAAATTCAAAAATATTTCAATTTTTCTATTCAAATATATTTCCAGTTTAAAACAAAAAATGAAAGGAACTTGCCCCTTCCTTTCCTTATAGCAGAGCGTGGTTTCGATCCACGGACCTCTGGGTTATGGGCCCAGCACGCTTCCACTGCGCCACTCTGCTGTTGTACTTGATATTGTTAATTTGATAACCTATTTCTACATTAGTTTTATTCTAAAAAAATATTTTTTATTAATAATTATTTCTTAATAATAATATGAATAACTTTATCAAAACTTTTATTTTATCATATACTTAATAAAAGAGTAATAAAAGACGATTACTTCCATTAATTGAAACAATTTTGGAGCAAAAATGTGTAGATTCAGCAAAATAAAGGATTGCGTTTATGATTGATTCATATTTTGTAATTTGCAATTTTGCAAATATTTTGGGGAAATGAATACCTTAAAAAAAAGAAAGATTTATTATTACAAAAGACATATGATATATAGAATTATTCACAGTTAATTATATTTAAACAATTTATTGATATCTTTTGAGTAATACAATGATGATTTCTCCAAAATACATTCATACAAAGTACATATAAATATAACATAATTCCTCCACAGTACATTCATACAAAGTGCATATAAAGAAAAAGTATATTAAAATGTATTTCTATGTAAAGTACTGAACTGAATTATTTAATCATAAATTTAGTATATACTTATTTAATATATTTGCATCAATATAAATTTTAATTTTTAATTTAAGAAAGTTTAATAAATGAGAGAATATATAGACTTTAAATATTTTAAAAAAATAAATAAATAAATATTCAATTTAGATTTTTACTTTAACAAGAAAAATTATGTTCAAATTTTTATGACATACATTGTGATGAAAATATTCACAGTCAGCATTCTCAATAATATTGCATATCTGAAAGTTGCGTAGAACTCACTATTACAAAATCACGAGCTCAAGCAGAAATCATGCGTCATGGAAACCCTATAAAAATGAAATTCGATCAATTGATCGTTAATTAAAGCTTCAAAGTCACGAAGAAGGGAACAATGAATTTCAACGCGTGTTTCTTGCTTCTGTTAGCGAGTATCACTTTGATGCACGCTGGGCCAACGCACAAGACCATTGAGAAGAAATCGCTAGCAGAGGATACCAAGGAAGAGACCATTAAGCAAGATCTGAAAATTGAAGGAACTGGTAAACAGAAGGACAGAGCAAAGAAAGCTGCAGTCTGTCTTCAAATAGACCCTGCATCTCCACAAGTTGCTTTAAATGAGAACTTCGTTCAGAATGTTCCACTGATGGTGCAGGCTCAATTAGTTCCTCAACAAGTCCAAACCTTAAACTTTGTTCAACCTGTCCCACAAAGTTTATCTCAGGCGAGTATAGTGATTCCTCAACAAATGCTTCAACCAGCTTCTCAACCTTTATCTCAAGCCAATATAGTCCTTCCTCAGCAAATGCTCCAACCAATTCAAAACGTACAAATTGTCCAGCCTTCTTCCGAACCGCATTCCGCAAACCAGATTGTCCAACTGCCTGAAGAACTCGAGACAGATCCAGAACCAGAACCAACTCCATCGCCTGAAACAGAAATTGAAAGTGTTACAAATCATATGAACATTAAACAACCTTCACAACCTTTGCCAGCACGTCAAGAAGCCTTAACTATGGTGCCAGTTATCCCTAGATATCAAGAACTGATGTTCATATCCGAACCTGAACATGCTACTTTCGTTCAAGTTCCTTCAATCTCAGGTTGCAATCATTTTCATAATCCACTAACCAAGTGTACTTGTCAAAACATTGAACCAGTGGCTATGAATATGATGCCTTTTATGTCCTATCCATCGCCATATGAGGCTAGATCATCTTTAATAATGCCTCACGTTCATACAAGTGTAAGTAACAAACAGAAAAACAGGAAATGATTGTTTAATGTGATAATTAATGCTCGTTAATTATTTATAGGATGTAAAATCAGGACTACAAGAGAAACCAAGATCTCTTATCAATATGAATATTCCACATTATGGTCACAGACCTCATTATCATCCAACCGTAAGAGGAATGCACTATTTACATCCAGAAACTTCTCTGAAGAACAAATACAATCTTTTTAGCAGTCCGCTTATTCCTGAAGCGCATGATTTGACACAAACTAATAAGTCACCTCGTGAAACCGATTCCAGTCAATTGTCACTAGAGAAAGAAGCAGAGACCAAGCAGGTAGAAGGTAAGGCAACGTTGATCGATGGTCGACGCAATGCGAGAAGCAATAAAGAAAAAATAAAGGAAGAGGAGAAGCAAATAATTAAAGCCTAAAACATTCAAACAAGATATAATGAATACATTGTATTTTTTATTTTTGTATCTTTTAAGTTAGTCTACATGTGCAAAGAAACAATTAATAAAATGATGCTTTGAAATAGGGAGTTCTTGTTATTACGCTTTTATATTAAAATTATCTATTTTTATTTAGATGTTTGTATTTGATAAAGAAGTGTCAGTGCCAACACTTTTGCATACACTATTTAAGTAAATAGAGTTGTTTCTGGGTAAAATAATTACATCCTTTGAAGAAGATTCTTGCAAATATTTCTGCAATACAGACATGTTTAGCTCTACCCATGAACATTTGCATGAAACAGTTTCTTCCGTGTTTTCTTTTGCACTTGGATCTTAATATCAAATAAGAAATCATTATCAATTGTACGTAACTTGCCACTTACCAATCAGTTAATAGTGTAAATTTGTAATTTCATACCACCGATAAGTTTTAAATCCTCTTCTAAGATATCTTCATTGATATTAATCCATTTTAGAATATTTTGTTTGGTCATGGAATTTACTCGTTTCAAGATATATTCAATATTTTTTATAGAATCAGGGGGATGTGCAATTCTCCTCAAAACTGATTTATCGATAGACCAGTCACTGCTTTCATCTTCCTTCTTACATTTACAACAAGTGCAAGTACTTGGATGATCAACTTCTCTGCATTGTTCATCGAAATGGGGAGCTAAAAAAAATTCTTAATAAAAATTGTTTCTTATAGAAGAAAAAAAAACAACATTTACCATCGCATTTCATGCAATAACAACATCTACAATCTTTTATATGATCCGGGCCCATTATCGTAGAAATGAAAGTTACGGTCGACTAAAAAAGAATAATTTTTTACGAATCTATCACAAAAAATAATTACAAAGAAATCATACGTGTTGCAATTTCAACTCGGTTTCAGTCGAATATGTATATTTATAATATTTTCGAATAGAACGAGTTGTTGGAGGAGGAGTCCTTGGTGGCTGCGAGAAAAGATGATAGGGAACATCATGATATTCTTTCTTACAACGATCTCCCTCGTATTTTGCAAAGTACCATAAGTGATCCACTTTATATGGTCTGACATCTATATTTTCTTGATTTAACACTTCAGATATCAACATTCTTTTAATTATCTGTAAATGATTATGAGGAAATGATTGTGATTATAATTGTCCTAATTTTTATGTACTTTTACAAATACCTTCGCAGCTTGATTACCAATGCAATTGCCAAATATTCTTAGCTGTCTCAACAAAGGACTTTTCTTCAATGTATACAAAATATTCATCATTCCATCATCAGTGATTTTATTATGTGAAATATCAAGAGATAAAAGTTTTGAAAAAGGAATAACATTGCTCAAACTCCTAAAGATTGCTAATTAGCAGAAATACTTATTTTTAAAACAAAAAGCAGTTCTTTTATGGGATTTTCATTAGATACCTTGCACCATGATCAGTAATGATATTCTTATATAAAATTAGAATCTTTAAAGCTGGTCTTTTCGCTAACCATGCAGATATATGACTAATTCCATGATCACCAATATTATTACAACCTAAATCCAATAAATGCAATGTGTCATTGTATTTTGCATTAGACACCATGTTTTCAATATCATGGCAATTAAAATTGTATTTTTGCAAATGTAATGCTCTTAGGGTAGTATTATACTGCAAAAAATCATTGTTGAAACAAGGAAATTTAAAAAGTGTAAAAACATCAAATTACTCTAAGCATATGACCAATGATATCTGCAAAATGAGCAGAATCAAAATAATACATGCATCCTGGGTTTGGCCGGCTGATATCTAGGCTTTCTAAAGTTCTATTAGAAACTTCTTGATCCGAGCTTAAAACCATTATGAAATATATTAAACTGGAAGCTGTCTGATTTATGTCCGCAATATTTAAACTGCGTATACATTTATTCTCCAATAAGAAATATGCTACATTTTTTGAAGCCTGCAAGAATTGTTTAATTGAACTTTAATAAATAAGTTGGATTAATAAAATATTTAAAAAAGATACTCTTTACCTGATCACCAAATTTATTTGCTCTCAAATTTAGACTTCTTAGCTCTAAATTTTTTGCAAATTTAAGCAAGTAATCAACTCCATTGCTGGCAATATTATTATTCTGAATATCCAGTTCTTGAATATTTTTGTATAACTGATATTAAAAATTTCATATAACATGTTTGTTGCTAATAATTTTTTTTTTTTTAAGAATAATCAATCTTACAAGAAAATGATCAAGTACATTTATAAATCCAAAATCTGTGATATTATTGTTAGCCAAATTAAGATGAGTGATATCTTGGTTTTTCCTCAAGAAAACTAATAAAGCTGGGATGTCTATATCTTGAAGATTTCTCCTATAAATATTCATAAAAAATATGAAATTTAAATCTTGATAACAATCTGTATTTTTACTAACCCAATTTTTTTATATATAACAGGTCCACACATATCTAGTCTCTTTTCTGTACTGCAAATTGTTTTGCAAAAGCACTTGAAAAAACATTGGTTCAACCTTTGATGAGCATAAGGGGGTTTCACATTCTCCAATACATTAAATACATTGACTTTTTCGCAACTTGTACACGAGGATGGACATTGATAGTTACTAAATTTCATGATGAATCTAATTCCTTCTAATTGTCTGAAAAAATTTTTTTAAAATTATATCGAAATAAAAAATGATAGTTACACTGTTCATACTTCAAATGAAATCATTCAAATTCTTATTTAAAAAAAATTTTTTCACGCAAGTCATCAATACATTGTAATTTATAAAAAATGACGGACGATTTTTTCCTCAAGAAAAAAGATGAACCTGAAATTATTCCATTAAATGAAATGTTTAAGGGTAAATATAAGGAATTATATGATAATATGTAGCATTTGTAATCAGTACTCACATCAAATATAATGAAAAATTGTAATTGAAGCATGGATATTTGTTTTTTGATCAGCATATTGTGAAATGGACATAATTTCTTTTGAGCAAAATGTTGACCTATTACCATTATCGCAAAGTGATAAGTGGTTAATTTCTGCTCGTATACTCGACATGGTTACATTGACGACTACAGACACTGGTCTAGCATTTTTTAAATTTCGAAGGAGAGCCTTGTCCTTCGAAGAGTATTTGCAGTACTTAAAAGATCTGGCAGAATCTAGAAATATAGACTTTGAAGAAATGAAATACAAGATGCAAACATGCGGGAAGCCCAAGAAAGCTGCTTAATTATATGTCTAGAAATACTAAATACTTTATTCTTCAACAATAATTTACAATATTGAATCTTGCACCCATTATCTGTAAAATTAAGTTTATCTGGACTATTATTTTGTGATGAAAATTGATTTATTGAAAATCGTTTATAAAAAAAAATATTTCTGTCTTGATATTTGATTTCTTTTCGCGTGAAACTTTCAAACTTGGAAAGCAACGTGATTTATGAAACCTGAATATAATTGTAATATCACGCAATTAGCTTTTAGAGTAAGCCATCTTTGACACAAAGATTGCCTTCTATGCACGTAAAGTTATTTCATAGAGTTTTGATAAATAAGATGAATAAAAGTGCCGAAAATAAATATGTTTTACAATACTTTCTTGTATCGATTAATTACAAGGCACATGAATCACAAAAGAATCACTGTCTTCTCGATCAATGACATGCCATAGTCATTTACACGGCGAAAAAAAAATCTGTACAATCACAAGGATGACTCTTTTGTGCTTCTCAGAGTATCAAAAATAAATTAATATAAAGGAAAATAATTGAGAAACGCGTTAACGACAGTTGCGATAAAGTCGGATATACAAAAATATTCCAATAATCTTCACTTCATGTGGATAAATAACACAGAACGGTTGTATTCCTCAATATGCAAGAGATAAAATACTTTCTTCTTATTATTCTTCTTCTTTTTTTCGCGAAAAAATACGTTATACGTTCTGCTGCATCCACTTTAAAGCAGCTCTAATGTTACCAAGCGTTACTCTACCAAGGAAACTGGCGATTAATTGATATTCTGGCATAGTACGTCTTCCGCAGGATCTTGTAGAAAGTGACCTATTATAAGAATTTCGTTGCCCATCTTCTTGAATGTTCTCATCTTCCAATACTTCTGCTGGTTCCAACATGGAATTTCGTCCTTCACAAAGTACTTTTGTAGTTAAGCACAGAAGCCATTGCATAACCTATGAAAAATATAAAAACGTAAGAGTTTATATAAATTTAGAAATTAAAAAAGCGGTACCTCATTGGTTGAAGGTAATTTCCACTCGCTCCTGAACCAATTGCTTGGTGCCCACAAGTGCAATTGTATTACAGTTGCTGCAGTTTCCACGTCGAGTCTCTGAAATTCAAATTTTACATTGAAAATTCAATAATCCTTACATTAAAAGATATCGGATATCTATTTCAGAAGTAACAACTTAAATAAATTTTTCAGGAAAGCTATTTAATTGCTTGTAAAAATATTTTTTGTTAGCTTTTATAATTTTCCTTTCCTATATCTTGGGACTGAAGTTAGCCCACAATACTAAATTATTTCAAGTTATTTTAAAATACATACATGCGTAATCTGTCACAAAATACCTTGTACAAGTTTCTTGACAAGAGGTTCTTAATCAATGCAGAAATGACGGTTGGTACGTGATTAGGTAGAGGTTGAATATCTGTTTCTTTATAATTATGATTTTTAAGAGAAATTCCTTCCTTGTCGTTGTGAAACGGATTCTTCATGCCAAATATTTCGTACGCTATGGTTCCAACTGTCCAAAGATCAGCCTTCGTGTAATTGATACTGGTAAACGGACCAGGCTCTGCTGTAATTATTTCTGGTGCCATTAGTGCTACATTGCCGCCTTTGTCAATATCGTGAGTGTTGTAAGGCAGGTACAATCCATGACGTTTGTCCGCCAAACAACATCCAAAATCCGTGATTACCAAAGATGGACAATTGTCTGTTTCTTCTGACAAATCCAGCAGAATATTATCACTCTTCAGATCCCTAAATTTTTAAAAACAACAGTATATTTGAAATATAATCTAACTGACACATGATACAATGATATTTCAATCAAACAAATAATATTGGTTTACCGGTGTGCAATGCCATGTGCATTCAAGTGAGTTACACCTTCTAGTAATTGAGCCAATAGTAGTATCGATTCCCTCGTGCTCAAATTGCGATTGCTCAAGTATTGTTTCAAAGTAGTGTCATATCTGCGATTAGAAATTTTATTTATAGGATACTATAAAACTGAATGATCACTTCTTAGAACATCAGGTACCGTTTCATCACTAAAAACAGACTCATGTTTCTTCCAGAGCCATGAGGGTTGATACGTGCGGGTAATGCATCTGGATACATTCCCCATGAACCAGGTAACGCAGGCACTCTGTCAGCAAAAACGTAGTACATCGCTACAATATTTGGATGTGGCGGTAGCTTGGTTTTTCTCTCAGCCATTCTTATTTCCCAGTCGGCCAATTCTTCGTTTTGCAAGTGTTTTCTAGCTGGTACGGTTTCCCGGTACATGGACCTTAGAATGGATAACGCGTTCGATTCGGTGTCGTAATTGAACATCATCTTCAACGCTAACGGAAATGCGCTTATATCTTTCGTTTTATCGTCGACGTTTATTTGATTCTGGCCTTCAGTGCTTGGAGAATCGTTGAATTTTGCTGAGTAAACCACCGCAGAGCATCCTTTTGCGATTGCAGGGCCAATTACGAAATTCTTCAAAGTAACGATTCCCTCCTCCTCTTTGACTACTTCATAATTTCTGTCATTTTGCGGAGTGTTCCACTGTAATTTTGATACAGCCTCCTGTAAATCATTTTGTCATTAATGTTCAAAGTTCTTATTTTTGTCATCAATGTTCTAAATGTAGTAAAAAATAAAAATAATATACTATAAATAATGTAGTAGTCTACATATTAAAACAGACTACTACTTACCCGAATTTCCCAGCAAACACCTTCCAATTCATCCTCTTTCGTTAATATTCCAGTGCCAGATGCCAATGACACACCAACCAAAGCAAAGAAGGGAGCAGAATCTCCGCCAAAAACCAGTCGACTAGCAGCTTTCCTACGCAGATCAGCAGCTAAACTATTGGTAACTCGTTTCAAGATGTTGTCAACAAAGATTCGTCGAGCATGGGCTCCCAAATAGCCAAGGTGCTTTCCCGCATTGGATACATTGCTGTTACCCGGGGGCGCATAGCCCTGGGACTTGCCTATTTTAAAATTGAAAAATATTAATTTTTCGTTTCTTTAATTCAAGCATATTCAAACGTTTTGACACTTCATCCGATATTTTACCTGAGCATGTAACTCAGGTATATCATTCAACTCTCCAATGACAAATTGTTTTTCTGGACTACAGAACACTTCACCGAACTTTTCAATTCATGATGATTTTCAAATTATTGTACATATCAACAGAGAAATTTCATACAAAGCAGAGGCAACATAAATCTCTATTTATTTGTTCGCACAAAATATTTTCTAAAGTCACAAAAAAGATCATTCCAAGGATAAATACATTTACAACAACCTTAAAGCAACCTTAAAATTGGAAAAAGTACTGAAACGTAATTGACGTAATTAGAAATTCGAAGTACGATGATACATAAGATTCGTGAAGTTTCAAAAAGACAAAAAAAAAAAAAAACAGAGTAGAATCTGTTTTGGTGGTTAACTGTACCAAGGTCCCTTTGACAACGGAGATCCTAGGAGGAGAAACAGATCTTTCGAGGGACTTACCTACTTGCACAACGTGTATCTTGTCGTGGTAGCTCCTTTGATGGAAATTAGAGTAGAAACACTCAGTATTTCTGAAGGAATGTAGCCAAGCCCGACCATTTTGTACGAGACGATGGACTGCTGTCCGAATCGACATCTCTCCGCACTTTTGGGCTGAGAGAGCCCAGTGGGCTAGCCCTCCAAAAAAGTGAACCTTCACCGCCGAAGATAGATTCGTTGCTATCAATCCGATCGTTTTCTTCGAAGATTTTCGACTAACTGCGTAAATTAAAAGTGGAAAAACTGAAGCGAAACTACTACCCCCTCCGTGGTCGTTTTCATACTGCGCTGTCGGACTCTGTCGGACTGTCACGAAATCATATATTCGTATAGCACACTATATATGTATTCTTCGTATGTGTGCATACTTCGTTCAATTAAATTTAAGTAAAAATAATTGGAAGCAAAAGAGTCAGGATTTAACAAATTTAACATTTTCATGCGCAAATACGTTTATTTTTACGAAGACTGAATGTTATATGACATGTAAAATTACTCTCAGCTCTAATATATAATATACGGAAAGATAATGCTCGTTCATTATTGTATGCATGTGTGTATATATATATAATGATATAGAATTCAGTTTAAAATTACTTACATTTGAATTTGCGGTATTTTGTGTCGCGAAAGCAAACTGTGATAAGAATAATAAGCTTGATAATGTGTCACAGAGTCACATTTATTTTGCATAGTCAATTATATATATATATTTAGCTAAAGTAATTAATCATGTTAATAAATATATATTCTTTTGGAAGATAATCTTATACAGAAACACTACTCGTTACGTCGATCACGATTGAAGGATCACGATGATCGTGATCCTCAATAATAACGATATCGATAAGCTCGACTACGGTTGGACGCAATTCTACTCTCAATTGGGTCGCAATTATAAAGAGCGTCCCCGCGAGTTCCATCCGGACAGGTACACACTGCAATGTGACGTCTGGCTGCGCAAATAGCGGATGGCCCACATTCTTTCCCAGTACAAGGATTTTGACAAGAATAACCAATACACGCCTTGTTATCTGGACATTCGCTGTCGCTGAGGCATTCTCCACGTTGACAGCTAACCAGAGCGTTCCCTATGTATCCTGTAGGGCACGTGCACACTGGCCTTTCCCTTCCGGTGTTGTCGTGGCCAGGAGTGCAAATTGCATTGCTTCCGCAAGGATTAGGCTCGCACAAATCTCCTACGAATAAGTCCGAATGATCTTTGAATTCGTAATTAGATATAATTGGTGAAATTATAAGATATCAATCTCGACTTTTCAGAAAACACTTTGCATGCGGTCGCTTACGTGCTTCGAACAATCTGCAGCTGACAAATGGATTGCCAGTCATATGCTTCGGACAACTGCAAACTGGAGTTATGTCTCTGAGATTACAGTCTGCGTTCACACCACAAACTCCGTCGCAAGGATTTACGCATTTTTGATTCAAACAAGCTGGCTTGTTTCCTGGACACTCTGAGTGCGTGGTACATTCCGGACGACAGGCTACGAACGGATTTCCCAACCAGTTCTATAATAAATTATTGTTCTGATTAGGTAAGCGCGTTTTCAAATCAATTTTATATTAACTGTTCAGAAAAAAAAATCGTAGTACTTTTATTACGAAATGTTTGAATAAATTTTTTTCTTAGTTGAATATCAAAAGGAAATAGTATCCTCATTATTGTTCATCGCAGTCTTTACAAAATTTATTTGAAAGGCAAGAATAATACTCACGTTTGGACAACTACATTTCGCCTGATGATTGATAACGTGACATTCCGCATTTTCGCCGCATTTACACGGATTTTCACACCTGAAATTAGACGAGCAGGCAAGATGATTCGGGCATTCACTGTCGCTTTCGCACTCGTGACGACAACCAGTCAAAGGAGATCCTCTGTAACCCGGAAGGCAACTGCAAACGGGAACCTCATTCACTACTTCGCATTTGGTATTATCGCCACACGGACTCGGTTTACACGCAGCCTCTAAAAATGTTTCATTAATATTTCAGTCACTCTTATCTCGAAGGATATTTCGTTTTACGTATGCAAGGTACATAAAAAGTAGGATGAAAGATACATAAAAACTGAAACTAAACTCATACAAAACAATCTTTGAAACAGATATCGTCGAGAAACTATTTTTGCATTCCCATGTTTCGTTTTGTACATTACACAATGTTTCTATTTCTTTCCAAGAATTAACATAGGACAGTTTTATATGCAAAGAAGTATGTATACGAAAAATATGTATTACTTACGAGGGTCAGCTATACGGCAAGAAGTGAAAGGATCTCCCTTATACCCAGTAGGACAATAACATACCGGAACGTGATTTCTGACCTCACATAACGCGTTCACACCGCACAAACCATCGCAAGGATTTACACATCTGTTATTGGTGCATACTCTGCTTCCAATACAATCTCCATTGACTACGAATTAAACATACAATTAAAAAACCTTATCTAATATACTCAGAGCATACAAATCTTTTACACTGACTTAAACATTCCACTCTGGCGCAACGAGAAAGAGGATCTCCCATGTGCAAATTCATACAAGAACAGACCGGTCTGCCTTCGCTGAGTGTACATCTTGCATTGACTCCACAAGTATGAGTCTCGCAACCTAAAAATGATTATTACAATACTTCAATGAAGCGATTTTTGCATTATCTAAATTAACTTACCTATGTTGCTTAATGACAGAATTCTTGAATAATATCCAGCGTTGACAATTGCCAACAATGAGAGAAGTAGAATTGTAATTTGCGAGTATTCCATCTTTTCAATAAAAAAAAACGAAAGAACGTTCTCATTAACTTTTCAAAGCTACGATTAATTGTTGAAATCCATATATACCGTTTAAAAAGCCTTAACAAAGAATGGTCGTGTTCAAAGGCAGAACTAGATGGATCGAGAGATCTTCGCCGAATGCGGAGACGACTGTACAAGAAAATCTCCGCCTCTTGCAACCTTCACAGTTCCACTTTAAATTTTGCCTACACGTGTCCCTGACGATCCTTCCATGGGCCTCGCCTACGCTGTTCACTACACTGGACTCCCAATGTCAACTGTCCGAGAAAATCATTTATCCTCGAGCAAGTACAAAAAATATTCCAAGTACGAATATTTCAAGTTCATGCAACATAATCGAGCTAGCTATTTGCCTTGCTAATTAACAAGACGGAAGAAAAACAGTCAACGATGACTTAATTTTTGTCCCAATAAAAATGACGTATTTCTTGTTTATTTTTATTGGTATATAATATATGTATATATATATATATATATATATATATATATATATATATATATATATCTCGTTACAAAAATTTGTTCTAATTAAATATAAATATATCGATCGTATAAATTAATAAATAACATCCTAAGAAACCGTGATCGAGTTTGAGATGATATATACTTACATAGTGATAGAACTATTTTTTTTTATAGATTGACTCTTTTGCTGGTCGGAATGTAGACCTGATGACGGGATTTTCAAGTATATTTGGAAAAAGTACCGGTTACAAATTAAATACAGAAAGCGTGAGTAATCTATTATTCGATGGGCAATCATCCTTTCGCGCCAAAAATGGACCTGTCAGTGACGATGGTTTCATGTTATGATCATCGGCGGAATGGTCGTCCTATACGTAACTGTATTTAAAAATTAAGTAAAAATAGAAAGGATCGAATTCTCAAAATTAAAAATTACTTAAAATTTATAAAACTGCGAAAAATTTACAAAATTTGCTTGTACAACAAAGAGCATAATCAATCTGGCAAATTATGACACCTGCAAAAAAATTAATCAGAGGTATCAAAACTTTTCGATTCTTGACAATTGTAATAAACTTAACAATAATTGTAAAATGATGAAGAGACAACATATGATATTTTACCTTATTTGTTCGGCTGATTTATTACAATAATTTAAATAATTTAATAATAAATTTTCATATCATAGACAAATAGATCGTGTTGTTTTTCATTCTAGGAACAAACTTCTGTGATATTTCTTCATTATTAAATTTTTAAAACTATGTGCACGATGATAAAAGTAATATAAGAACTAGATTAAAACAAATTAGACATGGCTCCACGAAATTGTAATTTAAACGTAGCTGCTTTCTCAAATATATTTGTTAATTAACAACAGAAACTTATTTCATTGGATTATCTATTGTACAAATGCAAAAAACTTCCAGCATACCGTTCAATTTAGTCTGCGTTTCGTTTTACATTATAAAAATTTGCAAACGAAATTTAGGAAACCACTCTCATAGTTTCCAACTATGAGGCGAAATTACACGATATAGTAGGCAATCATTATGCACATCACCCGATTATTTCTGTGTCTGATTTTTAATTTGTTTCGGAATATTCTTTAAAAATTCTTCGTAAGCTGCATCTATGTCGTCGTCCTCTGACATCCATGTTTCTTCACCTTCATATCCCTGTTCCGATATACTGTAATAATATTCATATATATAAAAAGTGATTGTGAAACTATATCATGTATGTAGATCAAATTCGCATTGTATTGTAATACTCTTAATGTAATCATTAAATACATACATATGGTCCTCGATATTCGTTGTACTATCGGGAACTTGTTCCAAGAATTTATTTTCCTCCGGAGTTAATACTTTGCCGTCAGGACCATATAAAACTGGTTCATCGATAGCCTGATTGGGATCTAAGAGTTCTACTGCCGGTTCCACTGTCACAGAATTGTTAGAACTTTGTCCCCAATTTCCATTTCTTAACTCGTGAACACTATGAACCATGTAGCCTACATGTGAATCCACTCTACCTTCTGTCACAAGTTCCGTCAAAGCTCGCATCATATTTTCCATCTCCTTACGTCGACAATCACCCTTATCTTTTTCCAAAGTTTGTCCTGCCAACTGGAAATCATAATGAGAGATTAATGTGATGAATTCAAGAAAATCTTCAGATTTTAGAAAAACATTCAGGATTTTAAAGCATTTTATATACCTTAAGGGCTTGACAGATATTCTTGACAGAATTTGGCGCGGGTTTGTTCAGTACGATAATAATAAGCTGAATTAATAAATCTCCTAAAGTAAAAGCAGAAGTTTGTTCCATTTGAGTAACTAGTTCAGCTAAAAGTAATATCAAACCATGACATTTCTTCTGTTCTTCTTCTGTGTGATTCTCCTTTTGCTGCCAATTAGAAGCTTGACTGTCTGTTTCATTTTTACACCTGTTGCATATATTAAATCAAAGTGTTGACTATTTAAGATTAATTAAAATGAATCGCACTTGTATTTAATAACTCACAGAGTATACAGAGTCCATCTGAAAGATGTCTGTTCTATAGGAGTTAAACTGCTGTCTAAGGAGGCGCAAAGTCGAGCACCACTGTACCGGAAATTACCTTCGTTTATGGACTGGAAATAGTTTGACATGTAAACACAATACTTTTTGTAATTAATGAGAAATAAACAAGACTATACCTGCTGAATTATTATTTTTATAATTTCTCGAAACTGACTAGGAAATCCTAAATAAGGCCTAAGATTATTAATAAGTGGTGGCACGATTAAAGTAAAATGACCTGGATTTAATATCAATGAATGTATAACGCTCATTAAATTCTGCGTTATGTTTGCAAATTCGATTAAATAATTATCATCTTCTATGTTCTGATCCTGTCAACACATACAATAAATAAATTAAAAGATTAAAATTAATTTTCATTCATTTATATTTTTCAAAATATGAACCTGATGTTTGTCCTTGTAATCCCCTGAGCCTCCATCGAATTGTCCATAGTCTTGCATATTTGACAGCTGATCCTGTTGGTTTGCAAAAAATTATGAACTTGCTCTGTCTGCTGATAATACTAATAAGCATCATAATTACATACAGGATTTTGTTGCATCATCTGCACTTGGAGGGGTATTTCACGCGCCACTTGTAACCTATCTTGAACCGAGTGTTTTGGATATCTCTGATGATGTTGATGATGATGATGATGCTGTATCGTAAAGCAAATACAAACAATCTGTACTTTTATCGCTTCAACCACATGACCAACATAATTATTAAAAAAAAGAATTACTCACTGGTTGTTTAACAGTATATGATTTTGGAACAAATTCAGCTGCATGAACCGACAGTGTGGAATTCTGTATAATATCGTCAAACGATTTGTCGAATTTGTTTTGTTCTGTGTTTCTTTGATCCATTGATCCTAAAGTTACAAAATTACAAGCGTAAATGAATAAAGCATGAAATTCAACATAGGATTCACCTGCAGCACAGATGGCTACTTTATCAATAACTTCTTTATAAATCATAGCAACCTGTTTGCACTCCAAATGTAGAGTGATGAGGTCTCCTCAACATAGCATTTTCTTGCGGGTTGGAGGTCCAAGGTCCTCGGCCACGGCCACGTCCGACTCCGTGCCGTTCTGCGTTCGCGTCGCCGCTTCCGTCCCCACCCGAATTCATTCTTTCCTCGGCGAAAATTTCCTCGGCTTTACACGACTACTTTGAGGTTATGTGAAACAACAGTGACGATAATACCGATGGGGAACTGTCACCCGCGATGAAACTCGAGGTGCACGCTTAGTGGCTGTCCGTATTTCACCAACATAAGTTCAGTAATTCCGCTGAGTCCGTTAGGTCCGTTATTCACAATAAAACGCGCGCCGCCTCGCGAACAGAATACCAAAAGTTGACTTCGCAGACTCCACGGCAATCCCAACTGCTGCAATCGACTACGATCGATGGTAAACGCGAGAAGTTGGTCGTTAACTCGCCGTGTCCGCTCTTCAAATCGGAGTTACTAACAGAAACGAGACGATTAACCAGAAGCTGAATAACCTCAAAACGACGTCGTTTTCGATATCGAAAAAAAAAAAAAAAAAGAAGAAAACTTCTTTTGGTTTCTTGTCTCTTTTCGTTAATTGAAGTTAAACTTTCGATTTCATTAAATAATTTGTACAATCTGTTGGAGAGAAATTGTTCCGAGCCCGCTGTTTATCTCTCATTCTTGAAATTTTTTATCCGAAAAATCACCATTGATGTAACATACGTGAACAGTAATTGGAACAAATGCTAATGACATAACGGAAAGTTAAGAAAATTCGAGCTAAAATAATTCTTCGAAGGTTCTATTCAGCGACGAATTTCGATTCAGTATACCAATAAGTTCGGAATCTTCAAGTTTCGATAGATCTTCAAAGTTTTGGTAGACTTATGCAACATTACAACTGCAAGTAGTATATGTTTTGTACAGATTACAAATGTATTTGAACGATTATCCGTGCGCGTTGCAGGATTTTGAATTTACGAATCTTTACCACATAATGAAACAAATATATGCTCTTAGTCGAAAGCTTATCAATCCTTTTTTTCAACAAACTAACATCAAACTTTAGGCATCCAAATATATACTATATATTATAATATATATAATATACAATATATGTATATCATATATATAATACAATATATGTAAAATGCAATGTGCGTCATATACAGTACATATAATATATATATATAGAAGATAAATGATTAAATACTTTTGTGAGTCATCATCAAATCCTCCCCTTCCCCATTTACCGAGAGTGTAACTCCGTGATACAGAGCTCGATGGAAAAAGTCAGATCTGTCACTAATCATCAAGTAGAAACGGAAATTTACGACGCGGAAGGAGGCTTGAACTTCATTCGCGGTAAATTGCACTGAATCTGCTCGTTTCTCTCTCGTTCGACGTCTTCTCTTTGACAGACAGAATACTTAAGGCGCGGTGGTCATTATATGAGAAATTTATTCGTACGGAAAAAATTCGTGCATGTCGCACGGCGTACTCTTAGACGCCATAGATTTCGGTCGGTAAAGTCGCCACTGCAGTACCGATCTGTCTTGCGCATCCATTTCGAGGCGCGAATTCATTTCTCGTACCTATCCGACAATATTTTTATTGAAATAATAAAAACTCAAATCAAACTGGTATCAGTTCATTCTGTTAATTGAATCGCCAACATTGCAAGTCACTCGTACGTTCAGTTAATTAACCCGCAAGTTTTACATATATAAAACACATACAAATTTTTAAATATCTTTTGATAACTTTTGAATATCGATGATTTTTAAATATTGAAACACTAATAATATCGGTGATTGGATACGTTCGGTCGGTAAAAAAAATCAAGGAAAGAAGAAAAGCCGCAAATTTTACATGCCTCGAATTTTTGTTTCGAGGTTTGTTTGAAAAAAAAAAAAGAAAAAAATCTGCTCTCCTCTCTGGTTTTCCATTAGCCTCGGCGATCAGTCGAAAGAGGCGCCTTCGCCCAGCCCCCCGAGTTGTAAGGTTACGATCGTTGACACGGACGCAGAATCTTTATCGGGATGAACGTTCGCGGCCCTTATTAACGATGTCGTCGAGTAAAGGAAATCGCCTCGGAGTACTTTTGTGCGCGTTCGTCCCATTGCGTTTACCCGTGATTCAAGGCCTATGGACCTGCGTGGAAAGCCGGACGCGTGCATATGATTCATAAAATACGTCGTGTTAGGTTTGACCGTCTCAGGTACGTATGCTTGCAAATCGAACATTATCCAATTGTTATTTTTTTCTCTCTCTCTTTCTCTTTGAGTAGTAAAATAACTATAACTAATTCTGTTGCAAACACGCTTAGGCTCTTTCACGACCCGAGCAGAATCTTCCCATAGACACAAGAATAAACAAAAGTTAGTAACTTGCTCTTGAAAAAAATTTAAGTAGTGACATACACATACCACTTTGATGAGTTATGATAAGAGAATGTGAACTGGATTGTCAACAACAGTAAGCTCAAGTCGGTGCAACGTATCATGAGTAATTGGTCACTAATATAATGTGCCATTGAAGAGTCAGAATCTCATTGACATAGACTGAACATACAGAGATGTTAAATTCTTTGTCGTTTGATTTGTAATCTGTCGTGATAAAACAACTTACGATTGGTTTCTTTTCCAAAAGGTCACGACACAGCATCACGTGAAGTTGGAGATGTTGGAAGTTGGTTTGAGGGTAGTCCGTGGACAGGATTGGAAGTGGGATGATCAAGATGGTGGAGAGGGTCATGCAGGGACAGTCGTTGAAATTGGTAGACCTCCCTCATTTGGCAATTCGGCTTCCAGCCCAAATCCGTCTGACAGGACACCGGATAAAACTGCCATAGTCCAGTGGGACCATGGGTCTAGAAGTAACTATAGGATTGGATATCAAGGTGCTTACGACCTGCTAATATTTGATAACGCAGCTACTGGCGTCAAACATGCAAATATCATATGCGATGGATGCAAAAGACACGGAATAATTGGCATTAGATGGAAGTGTATGCAATGTTGCGACTATGACTTATGTACTCAGTGCTATATGGCCGATGTGCATGATCTGAATCATTGTTTCGAGAGATTTCAAACAGCCAACTCTGTAGGGTAAATTTATCAAGAATTACACTCTTTTGCTTGATGATTAGATTTATGAATCGTTTCAAAATCGTTTTTGACACGTAGGATTCAACTGACTCCGAGAGAAGGTTGCACTAAGATCCCTCTAAAAGGGATATTTATAGGGGCCAAAGTTATTCGCGGTCCTGATTGGGAATGGGGGAATCAAGATGGAGGAAGAGGTATCACATTTTAGTTCTGCTTGTAAGCTCACTGTGGATGTTCATGCATTTCTGGCAAATATGAAAGTATAAATAATATCTATAAATAAAATAATATATTTTATAAAGTTTGTAAAACATCAAAAGTATAATACTTGTAGTGAAATCAATTATCTACTTACATTCTATTTTTTAAACCCTCTTTGTTACAAATATGAATTTGCATAAATATCCATAACATACATATTTATATAACGCTGCAACGAGGAAATCTTGAGATTTGACAAATATGGCAAATATGATTTAACAACTTGATAAACATTTAGGATTTAACGTTCTAGGAAAAACTGGCAGAGTTATGGATATTCGTGGGTGGGATAATGAAAGTAGTCGGTCGGTGGCAACTGTATCATGGTCTAAGGGCAGTACAAACGTCTATCGTCTCGGGTACAAAGGTTGCGTGGATTTGTGTTACGTAGAGGAAGCTACGGCTGGCACATACTATAAGGAGCACCTTCCGCTTCTTGGACAACCGATAATGACTGTACCGGATAACGGAGCCAATGTAACTCCAACCAGAAGTGGTGTTCCTTTCGCTGTATCTAGTCCTCGTCACACAACATTGAACGTTGGCGATAAGATAAAGGTGTTGGTCGATGTAGAGACATTAAAAGAAATGCAAGAAGGTCACGGTGGTTGGAATCCACGTATGGCCGACTATATAGGGAAAATCGGCAGAGTTCATCGTATCACGGATAAGGGAGATATCCGTGTGCAGTTTGAGGGATGCAACAACAGATGGACATTTCATCCGGGTGCGTTAACAAAAGTCATTAGCAAAGACACTTTCTCCTTGGGGGACATAGTTAGAGTGAAGACTGACTTATCAACGGTCAAAATCTATCAGCGGGGTCACGGAGAGTGGATAGATGTAATGAAAGACGTAAGTGTTGTTAATCCTTCGATTATTATATACTTAATTATACTTAAGCTTACGGTAAAAATAATTGTAGGCCTTAGGAAAAACCGGCAAAGTAATTAAAATATACTCTGATGGAGATCTGAGAGTAGCACTAGATGGTCATACTTGGACGTTCAATCCTTTGAGCGTCACGCCTGTTCCTCCTGGAACTGAAACTGCTGCTCTGCAGGATGAAGCAAACAGAAGTCGTGATTGGACAAGTACATTTCTGTTAATCTCACAGATGATTTATATAGTACGTGTAAGTGCTATAAGTTTATTCTTACTCGCACAGCCGAAGGTGTCGACACAGAGGTTGAAAAGCTGTTGAGAGACGCAGCCAGAGGTGAGGCTGGAGTCTTGGCAGTTCAAGAATTTTTGAAAAAATATCCTGGCAGAGTAGATGCAAGAGCTGGCGGTCCAGGGGGCGGTAAAAAGACTTGCCTGCAAGTAGCGGCGCATCAGGGACAAAAGGATCTTTGTACTCTTCTTCTGGATGCTGGAGCATCTTTACGAGCCATAGATGAGGATGGAGACACGCCTCTTCACTACGCTGCTTTCGGGTTTGTTGCAAAATCTGATCAATTTTACGAGAGTTATGTTCAGAATTATATTCAAAATTAAATTTTTAAGTATCTTTTCATTTCATGCAGCAATCAACCAGAAATAATGGAGTTGCTTTTGTCACGTGGCGCGGCAATCAATGCCGTGAACAACGGCAAATGCAGCGCGTTGCACGTTGCTGTGAACAAACAACACGCTCAGTGTGTCAGAGTGTTGTTACGTCACCATTGCGACGTCAATCTCCAAGACTCGTACGGAGACACAGCATTGCACGATGCCATCGGGAAAGACGCTCTGGACATAATTGACGCCCTCTGCGCCTGTGATAAAGTGGACTTCACTCTGAGGAACAAGCGAGGCTTCAATGTGCTACATCACGCTGCCTTGAAGGGCAATGCTCAGTAAGTACTCTCGATTCTCCGCTAGTGAATCGTACGGAGATTTAATTGCCATGATACACGTGTATTTAATGCAGCGCAACGGAAAGATTAGTGGCACGAGCGAGGCATCTGATAGATGTTAAAAAAGAAGACGGTTTCGCAGCACTGCACCTTGCAGCATTGAACGGTCACAAAGACGTAGCCGCGATTCTTCTCTCGCCAACCGGTGGAAATGCAAAGGTTGATCTGCGGAACAACCGTCGACAGACTCCCTTGCATCTAGCCACTTCTCAAGGACACTGGGCTTTGGTGGAGTTTCTTGTGCATCACAACGCTGATATTGCTAGCACGGACGCGGACGGTGACACGGTGCTGCATATCGCTATAGTAAAGAGTCCTAATCAGAGCAACGTGGTTCCTACGCCTGAAAGTTGTCAGGATTCTCCCCTTATTTATGCGGTATGTTTCTTCTTTTTTTAATATTCTCATTTTATCTTCTTCGTCGGTTACGTTATTCGAGCAATGTTTGTCGCAGATATGGCAAAATTTAACCAGGCAAGGCGCGAAAACAGAACTCGCGTTAGCTTGTTTCCTAGTGAGCGTCGACAGGAGTTGTACACTTCTGGAACACGCGAAAAACTCAAAGAATAAAACGCCGTTGGATCTTCTCGAAGCTGATCCTCAGCTCACTCCGTATGCTGATTTGCTACGGTGTTATCAGTACCAAAGTCAAAGTCAATTAGAGTATGTAACTTGAAAATTGATGTTGTATAATTGTGTCATATTGTTCAGAAAACTTGTCTGAAAAATTCGAATTTGATCTTGAAAATTGATTTTTATACGGGCTTGTTACAGGATAGAAAATACTACTCCTGCTTCTCAACCTTCTATATATCACATAGACACAGCACTGCAATCAGAACTGATGCACGGAACAAGAAAATGTATTCCGGGCTCCGGTGACGCGTCTGAATGTCACGGTTGTTTGGGTATAGTGACAAGTACAATTAAAGATGGAAATAGATTTAATCCGGGCAGCAGTGTTGTCATCAACTGTACACACTGTGGTCGTGGAATTGCCAAAACGAAAACTAACCAAGGTATTCTTAATATTATTCTTAATGCATTAAAAGACATTCATTAAGATTATGGGTATTCTTGATCTACCAAATCAGAGATTCCCAAAGTGTTGGTTGCAACCCACAGAACGTTGAATATACCATAAGTAATAGTCCTAATTTTATGAAAGATATTTACCATTTTGCGATTTATTGTAGATGGCCAAGTGGCAACGGGTGAAATTCCTCTCACAAAACAGGAAGAAAAGGTGAAAGATAATGCACTGGATGACAAGAAAAAGGAGGAAGATCATGAGAGTAAAGAGAGAGAGAAAGATAAGGATTTAGAACGCTTACGTTATTTGGAAACAAGAGTAGCTGACTTGGAGGAAGCAAATATGTGCAGCATCTGCATGGAACGTCGCCGAAATGTCGCTTTCTTATGCGGCCATGGAGCTTGCGAGCACTGTGCAGCTCCCTTGAAAACCTGTCATATGTGTCGCAAAGTTATCACAAAGAAGATTAACTTGTATTAGACAATCAAGTTGAGAATGCTATATGCCCTCTATGTAGATGCTGTTTTAATTTCCTAATATTCGTACGCCAACCACGCAATATCGGTTGGCATGTAAAATGAAATGCTGAATCGCAACTGCCAAAATATACAATGTACTTTTTTTAAAACAAAAAATGTTCAATGAATGTCTTCACAGCCGCACCAACGTCGTGCCATAAATGAAAATAAAATTCAGAAGAGTTACGCGGGCGAACTTTTTTTTCTCGACAAATTCAGTCGTTCGAGCGGAACAATCGCGTGCTTCTCTTTCTCGAAACTGTAAACGATACTTTGCCCGTTACCATCCCGTCCATTTTTTATCATTAAAAACAAGCATCTTGTAAGTGTTGTGTTGAAGCTATTGACTCGAAACGTTATCGAGCACTTCAAAATGTTCATGAAAATAAAGCAAAAAGATTCATTTTTAATGAACATTCTGAAGTTCTCTTTTTTTTGTTAATAATACATGTCTGACTGAATAACGACACCACAACATTAAGTATAATAAGGATTCATACAAACGAACTTGCAAGTTTTCATACATATCGTAAATAACTTTCTATAATATATATTGTATATTATTGTCATTTGTAGAGAGTACCATTTCTATTATTTTGTATGTAATGTTGATGTGACATTAGTAGCATTATAAAGATTTAGTATGTACGTACACATATATACATACATGTATATATCAAATAAGGATATCAAAGGATATCGCTTCTAGCCAAAATTAATATAAAAAATTATACTTATTGAATAATTTATAAAGTCTTTTTGTGATTATATAAATAATAAAATGAGAATGATAAAGATTAATCGTTAAGAATAGCTTACTATTGCAAAACATGTGCCACCAATAAACTAAATCAAACAAATTGTTTTGTAGTAGAGATGTCTGTATATTGAGAATATTTATATATATATATGGGTAAGATTTTTCTCGAAAAAAAAAAAACGTGCAATACTCTTCGACAAGTTGGCATGTCATTATTTCCGATTAAAGTATAGTGGTCCAAGCGTAGACCCTTTTTTAGATACGTAACAATAAAAATATATGCTATCGTACCGATTATACATTTTACAGATTCTTTCAAAGAAACTGCACAGTTTTGATATTATCGTTGAATTTTTAATTCGGGACTTTACACCTGACATGACATTTGTGATAAATCAAGTTACTAACAGAACAATAATTTCCAATAATTTTCCATTTCTTTTTCTTTATATATATATATATATATATATATATATATATATAATAACGGTTGTATTGTCACGAAGTCTGTTGGGTGTAACTACAATTCGTTATATTGTATAAACTATGATAATGTAGTTTTTTAAGCGTCAATAATAAATTTCTACCCTTTCAAGATTCAAAACATAATTTAAATAAACGATTTGGAAATGGATATAATTTCAATCATTTTTATACTTTTTTCTTTTTCCGAAGTTTATCTTAAATCATATTTATATTTATATAATCCTTACAAATGAAAACGAATCGTATAATTTCAAGACAAAAAAAAAAAGAACACATCGTGTTAACTTAAAAATTAATAATAATCAATATAATAAAACGTAGAACAAAACAGCATCGGGGACAGTTTTCCTCTTTACATAAGCAATAAACAGCGATAACAATAATAACAAACACTCAACAGATGATGTCATTCAAACAAGACTTGAAGATAGACTCCATTCATTTTTTTTTTTTTTTTTCTTAGCTTAGCAAGCAATCTTATTTATTTTGGTACTCGATAAAATTCGATAATCATATGTTACAATATTGAGCCAGTTTCGTAAAACTGTAGCGATAGTAATGATAATAATATATAATAATAGTAATAATATTTTTTTCTTCACCTAAGTAACTTAAACACAATATGCTATTCTTTATCAGATAATGTTATATTATTTAGTACCTAGTGAAACTTAAATGAATTCTGGCATCGGAGCCATGCGATATTATGTAATTCTAACTATAGGACCATTTTTATATCCACATGCTTCCTGTTCCTCTCTTTTCCTTTTCTGCACTCTTTTTTTTTTTTTACTCGTCTCGAAAGCGATGATACTACAATCAAGCTTACGAATCAATATTTCCAAGTTAAAAATCTAGTCTGTTCTCATCTTTTTTTTTTTTCTGGTGGTTACATCCGTCAGAACTGATATGAGGATTATCGATGCGTGAACTGATTGATCATATGTCATGTGTTAAATTTTATCGATACGTTAAGCGATGTCACTGTCCAAAGATAACTTTTCTACAGATAAATCAAAGAAAGACAATTTTTTCATCGCGTGTTGAATCAACTTCGTCTCGCTATTCGTCGACAGGGAAAACGTTTATACGAATATACCGGGTGACTATATCGTACAAAGTGCACTTCTTGCATAGAGGTTTTGCATTCTGATACAATTTCAATCAGCTCGTCGACAGGCGTGAATGTCCTGTCGGGAAAAAGAAAAGAAAATGAATTTTTCGTTCTCCTTGCACCAAGTTCCAAAGTTCTCGTGACTAAACGTCGCTTTCTCTTTTTTTTTTTTTGTAACAGTCTTTCCCTGCTATTCGGGAATAAATGTGAATTCAAAAGTATCTACTCGTGTCTACTAAATTTGAGTATACGGGCGATAGCAACAGGAATTAATTAATGATCAAAGTGATGATCTCTTTTTTTTTTCCCTTTACTCCTCTAGATCTATCGACAAAATTTTTCTAGCGTATTATTCATCTTTTTTTTTTCCTCTTCTTCAATATAAGGGATTACGTAGTTTTATTCGTCCGTCGTTTTTTTTCTTCTCTGTTCTGTATGTGCTGGTTACACTGATTCATTCATTGAGTGTAATTATTGTCAGCTATGATCAAGTCCTGAGTAATAGCCAAAACACAGTTCTTGGATGTACTATAATATCTAGGCTGCAAAAATCTTTTTTTCCCAAATTTGTGCTTTTGCAAATATTTTGGGTTGCTAGAAACGAAAATAATGGTCATTTTTCCTGGAAATGAACTTAATAGTAGTCCGTAAAAGTTTCATTTCAATATTTGTTCTCGTAGTTATTTTAGCTTGCTAAGGACAAAAATAAAGATCATTTTTGGCATGAATTTTAAAAAATCGGTCTATCCATACTTTTCTTTAAAAGAAGCTGCTCGTTTTTCAAAAACATTTATTTGTGTCATAAATGACCATCATTTCTGTGTTTAGCGATCCAAGATTACCTCCTCTTCCCAGTTTATCAGATTAAATTTTCAAAACCCTTCATTTTCGTTTCCAGCGACCTAAAATACCCCTGAAAATGCAAATAAGAAGAAAATTTCCGCAGCCCGGATACTACCACTGCAGCCAATTCTTGAATGCGATCAGTTTACATTTTACGTTAGAATCTTTCTTCTCTATTAAATATAGCATAGTTCTCCCAGCAAAGATGTACACGCGTTTCCTGTGAAACTTCTATTTAATAATTTCTATATCATGCCTAACATTGCACGCCGTTCCGTTATACAATATTGCTAAGTTTCTCCGCTTCGTTCAAGTTTCGCATTTTGCAGGACTCTTTTTCTAAAGTTCCGACAGTATATTTGGACTGAAGTATCATAGGCAATACTGAAGATCATGTGTGTAGAATGTCGCACACGTGCACAGCTACAGCATATACAACTTCCCAACAAGTCTCTCCTCCGTTTTCGTTGCAACATTTCAGCGCGAAGATGTGATGAAACAGCGCTACTTTCAATCCGCCGTTTTGTGAACGTATTTAAAATAACTCGGAGATATTTTATTTTTCCCAATTCCTTTCTCTCTTTCTTTCTCTAGTATAAACAAGAAGATTAAAATTCCGCTAGTTACGATACGCATGTCGAAACGAAAGACTCTTCCTGGCGACTCGAGGAAGGGAATATACAGTGAGAAGCGATAGTTTTGCCCACTTATCCTTGAATAAATCAGTGCACTAGTTAAAAACCGAGTTTGCATTATACAATTACTACTCTTCCTGCCGATTAATCGACCGGTTCAAGCTACGACTGGTTCAGGGCTGCAGGGTTGCAAGTCGGGCTCATTCTGAGGCTCCGTTGCGTTTGCGGTGCCGGTACCAGATGTATTCGGATCATGGTTTGGATCTGGATCCGGCGTCACCGCCGCCCACTGCGTGGTATATGGCGCAGCTCCTGCTTGTCTCCTAGCTTTTCTCTTTGCGCGTCGTTGTTCCATCACCAAACGCAGACGTCTCATCTTTCCTTTAGTTGCTTCGTTCTCCTTTGACAATTCCTCTGCAATGAAAAAGTAACGAGATTATTTTAGATCTCTTTTTCTTTAACGCATCGCGGTTGATCTACTTTATCCATCGAGAGTGCTGGCTAAAGTGACAGAATATACTAGGAAAAGTATGCAAATTCTTTGTAATTATTTAACGTAAGGAGATTATAAGATGGATTTCTAAAGAGGAGTACCGGTAGAATAACCAGGATTAGAAGTATCATGACAACCAATAACAGGTGTTGAGGCACCGTTCACAGTGGTTGTTGATCCACTTGAGGACGGAGAGGTTGAAGACTGCTGACGATTGCTAGAGTGCCTGTGATGATGCCTGTAATGACCAGCAGTGGCAGCTGGCGTGGCACATAGCAAATCATTAAGAATGTGAATGATGGTGCTTATATCTCGTTTAGGGCGACCGTGTCTGTCTTGTAGAGCTGGATTCAAGGTCCCGCTGAATGTACCGGAGTACACACCCTTCCCATGGTGATGCATACTCTCTATTATTGCACCTTGTCTGCGTCTTGCGTTTTCCTACGTTTCAAAAATTGCACGTTAGTTGTTTCGTTGTGCATTATCAATTCAATAAAGAAAATATTCATTCATATTAAAAAACTTTCGCCGTGTGTGTTTCTCGATTCGAATACAAACGTCACAGATATTGCTTAGAATTCATACTTTACATGCATTGATAATGATAGAATTATGAGGACAATCAATATTCTTTTAACAACAAAATAGAAAAAACACAAAACAAGAAGATATGTTTAAGAATCTAAGAGAGCGTTCGATAAATTTATAAAAGAACTCTTTTCATATATTAGTATTGTTAAAATAATCAAAGATATTTGACAAGTTTATTTTCTTTCACATCTCTTAGGGCCTTAACAGACACACGCAGCTCTATAAATGTATATACGAAACAATGATACACAGGGGGGAACTGGCATCGGTAACAATGTATACCTCTGCGAGGTCGACCCGAGAGGTGAGTACCTCAGAGGAGAGTTGCTTAAGTTTCTGCGTCAAGTTACGAGAAGCTTCAGCCAACGCCCTGGTGTCCAAGGTCGCGGCCTTGGAGTTCTGCTCGGCCAGCGTGGAGGTAGGACTTTGAGGGCTACTGTCGCCATCTATGCTGTTACTCCTGGTGGAGTCTGCACCATTGGCCGGCTGTTGGCCGTGGTGATGAGCGGTGCAGAGCTTTTTTCTCGGCGGGGTTACGTCGTAGGGCAACGACTCCGTGCATCCGTGCCCGGTAGAGGTAGATTGTTGTTGCAAGTGGTCCACAGAGGATGAAAAGGATGAAGATTGGGAACTATTGGACGAATTAGTAGATTTGTTTCTTGAGTGATGATGGTGGTGATGGTGGTGATGATGATGGTGGTGGTGACTGTGGTGATGGTGGTGGTGATGATGGTAGAGAAGGCAAGACTGACAGGCGTTGGAGTTCCCGTTGGGTGACACTGAGCCGTGGCTGCTGCTGCCAGTACGGGCGGATGACGACGTTTGGCTGGCGCAGAAGGACGAATGTGTCGGGCTAATCGGCGAGTAGGAGGGCGAGGAGGAGACAGAGGAGGAGGCAGTTGCGGCACGGCTTGAACATACTGGTGGACTGGTGGTCGTTGTCGCTGTTGAGAGGCTGGTGCTGCAGCTGGCCGCTGCGTGCAATGCCGAGGCCAGGCTACTTATCAAAGAGGATGTCCTCGCAGCCGCTCCATTTTGTAATTTCGCGGAGGCGCTGCTACTGGCCGAGCGTGCAGCCAGCACGGTGGACCGTCTACTTTGCAACGAAGTCGAAACATGGCTGGTGGGTAAATTAGATCCGTTCGAGCTATTCCCACCAATAGTCAGCCCCCCTGTGGTATTGTTGGCCGTTTGATTGGCCGTCGGCGAGGCTGGTGTCACAGTGGACAACTGCAGTTGTATCAGCATCATGTGATCCCCTAGTCGCATGGTGAGATTCAGGGGAGCCTTGCCGGATAGAAAATCATTCACCTGAGAATCGTTCAAGCTCTCCAGCGCCTGCATCACGCTCTGCTCCGGTCGTTGTGCCTGAAAATAAACAATTTGCATTGATCTTCATTCTTTTGTTTAAACCGAGACGAATTTTCGTCGTCGTGATATTGATGTTAACCCAGAAGGGAGAAAGGAACTGATTAGAAACGTAAGACTGCCGAGAAATATGCGTGACACGATTCGACCAAGTGTTTGCCGCTAAACGACGTTTAAATACTTTTACAGGATAAAAGGCAACAGTCGAGAAAGAAGCCGTAGAACCTATCGTGAACAATTCTCCACTCGACCAATTTTTTGTCATTTCAGTCACTCTTTCTACATTCTTTTGTGTATAAGTTCAAGAATTTTTCGTATACCAAATGCAGAAGATTAAGTATCTAAGATTATATATGCGGAAAATGAAGAATCTATTTTCTTTACTCCTATCGATATTCCTGTATACAATTTCAACCACTGAAAAATCGTGACAATATTGAGAGGTAGCTAGCTAATGCCTAATAACTCGATGGTTCTTTCTCTCCCATAATAATGCCGTGGTCTATTCATCCCGGCAAAAGATGAGGTTGAATCGACGGGGCCGCGACAAGAGATGGAAACGCGAGAAGACCTGCAGAAGAGAGGAAACCTCGCGGAACCGCGGCTCAGACCCTAGACGGCACAGCTAGGCATCCCTCGGTACACCTAACGGACTTCCTTTCACTGACGGTCATCGTATATTCGGTAATTCGATTTGCTTCAACGTTCGTTCCACGGGGAAGAATCTGGGCTTCCGATGAATGGACCCCGCTCGCAACGCCACATTCGAGCCACGTAACGCTTCGTTCTTTCTTCAAAACTTCCTCTTTCGTTGACTGAACGGAACAAAGTATATCAATTAACTTTCATTCGTTTAATTTCAACATAAAATTGAAATGTTCCTCTTTAACCTTTCCACTTCTTCTCATAGTAATTGTTCACGATTTTGTAAAGTTGGTGACTTGAATGTTCACTTGAGATAATCCAGAGGATCGCAGGGATTCCCACGGGCCAGAGAACCCCTGCCACAGTGAACTGTGAGTGCCGTAAAGCAAGCCATTGGGGCCACACTCGAAGCGCAACCTGCCATCAACGTACACCATGAATCGTAAATACTCGTGTATCTGACGTTCCTCCGCTGGAGTCTGGTTTTACCCTTCCACTAGTTGTTGCTGGAGCGCAGCACGTTCGTCTGTGGCGAGTCGCATTGCAGAACACACAGCAGAAAGAGAACTTTGAGTTGCAGTTACTTTGAGCGGTAGGGACCACCACGTGTCATTGGGAGGCACCAAAGAAAATATTGAGCGTGACATATGAATGACAAATTACGGCAATTAATCAACATCCCTAGGCTCTGATTGTTCGCATCTTACACAAGCAAATAGATCTTGAGCGTTTGAGATATCCTGAATGAGTATTCATGAGAAAAACAATGCAGAAAAGACGCAATTGTATCGATAAAATTTGAAAGCAACATGAAACAACATGTAACAGATATTCAGGTGTATATGTAACGTAGAAATCATAAAAGTATTTGAATGGTAAATAATCCATTATATTAGATTGTTCAAAAAAGTTCACAGGTTTCTTCTCTCAGTGAAGACAATGCTGAAGGGAATAATTTCTGATATTTTAAACAGCATCAAGGTAGAATACTTTCCCTCTTAATCTCAAGAACAGAAATAGGAACTCTCTCGTTTGGAATTACTTTCCAAAACACTTGCTACAATCCTTAACAAAAGACTGTTTAACAAAATTTCTGCCTTTGCGAGTATAATGCAAATCGGCGGTTGGACTATCGGTAATGACAGATAAAGACGCGTCGCGACACGACCTTTATGAACTTCTCCTTCGTATCGTGTTGAAAGGAACCGGAGAAAAAAAAACAGGCATGACATCACCGCATTCTTACGATTTTTGTTATTCAAAGCAGCGCGATTCGATTTGCTTCAAATACCGCGACAGCCTCTAATCAGCTGGGCTCCACCCCCGGTTTAACAACGTGGACGACAACTAATCCGGCCAGCTGCAGAAACGATACGTCACGACCAATCCTAGGTCCTAATATGCCATCCAATTATCCAAGAGCGTTTCTAGATACGTCCCCTTTGGAAATATCGGAGTAGGTCCCGTTTCGCAGAATTTCCATGAACAATCGATAGAAATGGCTATGCCTAATTAAACTTTCAACCTGTTTAAAGGAATCTCAGTAACACGACCCTGTAATATTACTACATCTCGATTTTGCCTTTCATTTTCCAATCCAGGAGTTCACACGCGTACATATTTAGTAAAATACGAATGTAGTCTGCTCCGTGGGTACCACGTTCTTCACCTTAAAGGTTGAGAACCCTCGACACACTCGACATCGGTATTTTCTCAAATAAAGGTCAAGAACCGTTGCTACGTGCTTATGAATGAACTGTTAACATACTATCTACGTTTTTTACAGACGTGAGTTCACATAGAACAATGTTCTTTTACATTGTTAAATAATGAAAGCTTACGAGCAAATACTATCCCTAGAAAGAGAGGAGAAAACATCCAGAATTCTGAGTACATTTTCAAATTGATTTTCAAAAACTTCACCAATTATAAGATACTAATGAAATTTCAAAATACATCGTACAAAAGTTCTCGTGCACAGTTGTGAAACTGTATATACCGAGAAGTTCAAATTCTGGGCAAGTTTCTCTTTGAACTTCCGTTCAAAGTAACTCGTTATACAAGGTGTGCGTGCGTCACAATCCAGAGGAGCGTTCTTGGCCACGGGAGAGCTGACCAAGCTGGCCAACTATACACGTTGTGCGAAACCGGCGTTGTTAGGGTCTCGCCCCGTTTCTTCGTAACCACCCACGAAAGAAAACAGGCGGGCGTGTGTATAGAAGCGGCATGCAGCGATGATCGTGGGCACGGAGCATAGTTATACACACATATACATGTACACGTCCTCTACAGACACACGGGCACGCTTTAAAATTGACTGCGGGTGACCGAGGACTCGGGCGGGCGGGCGGTCGGTCCCCTTGACAGCCATGCGAACGAGTCTCGGTCGCGATAAGGACTCCGTGTGCCGGCGCTGTTGCCAGTGCCTCGAACAGAGGCCCGGGGAGAGACTACATACTTCACACAACGAGAGAGAGAGGAGACAGACAGACAGACAGACAGACAGAGAGAGAGAGACAGAGAGAGAGAGAGACAGAGAGAGAGAGAGAGAGAGAGAGAGAGAGAGAGAGAGAGAGAGAGAGAGAGAGAGAGATTGTATATCCTTTGTGTATAAGCGTGTGCACTCATCATCAGCATGCACACGGACCAGTTTTCTGTCTATCGATTCGAATCGAATGTAGCCAGAGACGTTCAAGTTTAATTTTCCCGGCTTCGTTCCCATGGAAACACACTGACCAAAGAGATCTTAAACAACCTTCTCTTCCCCCTTTTTCATGGGATGTTGAGGATGGAAAGGTGGAACACACTGACCAAAGAGATCTTAAACATAACCTTCTCTTCCCCTTTTTTCATAGGATGCTGGGGATGGAAAGGTGCAACTGTAAGATAAATATACAATTAAAATACAAGATTGAAATTAAAGGATCAAACTAAAGGATAAATTGTAATAACAAAATAGAAACAGAAAGGTTACGTTTTACTTGATTATGATGAGAGATGGAAACTGATTGGAAGAAACTTTGCGTTGGCCAGTGAGATACCTTCAAGTGGCTGCGGTAGAGAGGATGATACACAGGAAACAAAGAAAATTGTGCAACAGCACTGGAAAAATAAAGTGCTGACGATACGGTGACCGAGAAACCAAGTGACCCAATGATATACGAATTGAGTTAACGGCGTTTATCCGGATCGTGATTCTCTTACATACTTTTTGCGATCTCTTCTTCCGTGAATGCTCCACAAAATGTGAAAAAAATAAGTGTTTCTCAAAAGGAATTTCGCAAAATCCGACGTCTAGACGAGAAACAACCTTGTAAACAGGTCACGACAGAAACTTACTTTCCCGTCGATGATTAATCATTTCATCGACCAATATTCAATTTATCTTGCACGAATCACGTTTTATTACGATCTTTCCATATGAAATCGCAATTATTCTTTCTACTAGAAAAAAGGAGAGGTTGAATTTACAATTGAGTAACAACAAGCTGATGTCCACGGATGTGTTGTCATTAGGATTTCATTGTCAGGAACACGCAACTGACTCACCAATAGGCCGGTTTCCACGCTCGGCAGCAACGTAAGCCTACTGCCATCTTGCAAACGATTTTCCTCGAGCGTGCCCTCGCGCAGTTGCCTGAAATACACCAAAAATTCTTAGTTAAATATCGTCATTCAAGCCTCACAGCGACGAAACAGCCTTCGCTGTGTTTACGAAAAATTACGAAAAACTGTTCTATGAATATTGTTCCGCGATAATTGGGGCTAATTCGAACACGGCGTTATCCCTTATCGCGCCAAGCACGTGTAAGATTACACGTACGTGGCGTAATTACATGTCGCACAATGGAAACCCGCCGGTCTACTTTTAACGCAAGATCCATGAATAAACGAATATGAAATTAATTATGATAATCTAGTGGAAACTTTAAATTACAGCGTACGATTGCATAATAAATTGTTAGAGTCAATGCATCGGAAGTCTCGGTGTGAGCCTTGCGTAGCCATGACGCTGGAGAGAGAGAGAGAGAGAGAGAGAGAGAGAGAGAGAGAGAGAGAGAGAGAGAGATGACGATAAGAGCGGCACGATCCAAAGAGATTAGTAGACAATGCGATAAGTCACACACTATCGCGACAACAGACATTGAACGAAGTCGCAAATAACGCGAGTTACGGAGAACTGCGATATCGACGCGCGATGTCGCGAGAATCATTGTGCAACTCCTTCCGTAGAATGTTTACTCTTTCATTTATTTCCCACAATTAAAATGTTTTACAATCATGTTTTTTTTTTTACGTATAATTTCACAATTGTACGGGATAGGCCAAAAATCACTTCCCACTGAAATAAATCCGCCATTTTTTTATTACATATGGCGCTTGAAAGAAATAATTTTTAAAACATAATGAGAAAATCATCTTTGAACTTGAATTTAATTTAAAATTAAATTATATATATTATATCAAATAAAATTGGTTTTTTCTTATTTAAAAAGAATAGGTGACAAGAAACTTTTGGCCCACCCTATATGTTCTTCGTAACTGTAGGTATTGTAGATATTATCAATGATCGACAGAGGAGCCATTCTACTTGAAAGAACAAGTCGGACGAATCGAGAATCCGGAATGAAAAATCATCTTTTTCGATCAATTTTAATTAAGTAAACAACCAGCTGGAATTTTACATACCAAAATGCGTCAAAAATAGAATATTTTCAACTGAAGATCTCGTTCACGGAAATGTAAAAACTTTCAACACTTTTGATTAAAGTAGGTGAACATTTGAAACTTGTGAATTTAACCTATACGAAAAGATTTGATTCTCATTCTCGCACTCTACTATCGATTATTCACTTCTTAACTAATGTAAGTTCAACTATACTTGACAAGGTATCAAAGAAAGATATAAAAAAATATCTTCAATGTTACCTTGTCCATTCATTAAAACATATCTTATGGCGTGTACGTGTTACTCTAAATTATATTTACATTTTTTCTCATTCAATTGAATTGAGATTAATTTATAACATACAGTTTTATTTGCAGACGAGAATAAGAGAGATTTGATGCTTGTTTAGGCTTGTGACGAGGACCAGGTCGACCATCACGCCATTGTTACGTCCGCAAGCGACACCGGGGATTATACAACGCCCGGGGTAACGCCCGATTGAAATTTATTAGCTACAACTTCCTCTAATAAAAGCAAGATAAATTGATCGCAAGATGTGTTTTCGAGCAACGTTCCTTATTATCGTCGTAACGATGGCGAAGCGTGCATACGCTCGAAAGCATTAACTAGCCGCTTAACGATTGCGAAAATACATTCCTTCGTCAGCGTTCGTATAATCGACCTCGGTTTTGCAAATGCGTATACATTCCGCGAATTCGTCCGGCATCACCTTCAGCGAGGAACTTCGCTGTCGATTATTTCGACAGAGAAACGAAACTTAAAACGAACCAAAGCGACTTCTTTTAAATACACTTCGAGGCTCTCGTTCATAGTAGTTCTTTTATACGCAAATTAGTAAGGATCATCTCAACGCATCGCAAACTGTAAGTTATTTCTTACTTAAGTTTTACAACTTTCCGTTTGTTTGTAGTTTGAAAAAGTTACTCGTAAAGTGTTGTGAAGTTCTATTTTATTAATAATAATGTTACGTGAAAGAAAAAGGTACGCGTTTTTGAGTAATTTCCTACCGATAAACTGATTTAGGGCGAAGACCGAATTGATCAGCATTGAAAGCAGAAACGCGAGGGTGGCGGATCTTCACGACCCTGGCGCCACTTGCACGGCAGTCCAACGGGTTTAACGGTTTTTCTGAAGATCCTGGTATAATCGAGTCTTCAACCTTTGTACGTTTCTACAATCACCTTTGACAAGTGTCACCTCTTCTTTAAAGAATATACCTATTAACAAAGCCTAACCTTGTCCCTTCGTGAAAACCAGGTTAGCAAACCTCTTGGATTTTTAATTCGAAGAACGCCATTGAATCGTGCGACACGTTTGGATCAATGAGCGTGTAGAGACGCGTCTTCTAGGATACTCGGAACTGTCGGTTTCGAAGCTGACGAAAAACAGAAACAAATGACTTGTTTGGAAGAAGGTTTAGTTACAACTCACGATAATGGCAAATGCAACATTTACAATGATATACACGCTGGGTATGAAGAAAAACGAAATTAAGCAAGAAGAAAGAAGTACAAAGTACACAAATAACGCCACGAATAAATTACGGTACGGTCAATTCCAAGCAAATATAAATACGCAATGTGTGATAACACTGAGAAACATTCTTGTCGCTAATGTGATAAATATTGTCTTCTCCTTGGTTATACCTAAGGTCATAAAGAAAAATCCAGTTGTACTAACATCATTATCCATTACAGTTATTCTTACTAATTACAAAATCTTAGAAAATTTTACAAAAATATATTTTTGTAGGAACGGCAAATTATTCTTAAATAAATGGTAAATCCATGACAAATATAGTTGAATGGACAACTACTTCATTCCCAACTATTTTGTATGTGCAACGAGAATAGCAGATATGAGACCCTCGATGACACATGCTTTAACCATGGCACAGCGGTTAAAGGTAAAACTGTACTACGTCTTAGTAGTTTTCACGTTTCCAAGTCGTAGTTGATCAGAAGACAAAGCCGTTTTAGATAGAGAGAACTTACCCTTTATCAACAGAAAAACAATTTTGTTTCTATAATATAAGTTATGACCCTTCAACGACCGTACAAAATTAAGAGAGAACATTTCCAGAATAACGGAACTAAAATTTATTTTGGAAACGGAAGAAGTCTTTCAACGCTGAATAATTGCAATCTGGCAGTTTTGCAAAAAGAGTACAACACCAACGAGCGGTAAATTAAAATCATCAGTCCGTTCTGCATTTAACGTGATACGCATGCGCTCAAGGAGCCGTAGAACGAAACAGAAAAAGACAAATAGGACGCACATGACGAACGGGCTTCCCATGCGCACGTGTCGTATTTACACCGACGGGCAAGACGGGAGAGCGCACACATTGAATACGCAGCGAAGAACCAACGTGTGCTACCTGCGCCTGAAACTGGCCTCTTGGCAGCGTAAAAAAACAAGTAGCAATGGACATTCGTTTCCCCTCAATGCAACTCTCGAAAAGAACGCGAGACTCCTGTTGAAAGTGCTCAATTTTTTCACACAAGATTACATAACTACATTTGATACTGCTGCTCTCCTCTCTTCATGTATCTTCTTCTTTTGTTCACAAAAAGGAATACACAAAAGGTGAATACTAAATTCAAATATTCAGAAGATATCTACATTTTAATATTTACTAAAATAGATCGAAATTAGAAAAGGAACAGGCTTAAGATTTTCAGAAAGTTACGTTTTAGGAAATAACCAATGACTAAACTTTCAAATATCATAAAACGCTCACTGAGGAGTTTTGTCTGGCTTGTCTGAAGACTTTGTCTAAAGTCGAAGATGCAACCGAAGATAAAGTTCAATGATAATCGCTCTGTAAGATCAGGGTGTAAAATGGAAAAAAGAAAAGAAATATGGAAGAGAAGATGAACAAGTAGAAAAGGAGAAAAATCCAGTGATGTGTTGCGTACCGGCGCACGGGAATAGCCAGCCCTATCTCGTCTTTTCTTCATCCGACTCTTTCTCTTTCTTTCTCTGCCTCTCACTGCGGAGGGCTGTCACCGTTCCACTTTACGAGAACGCGATTCCCGAGATATTCTACCTACTACACCACCTCCACCTCCTCCTACTTCGGGACTATGGTATGCCAACCTTCCTCTCCACCATGTTTCTCTCGCGTGCTTGCACGAAGGAGGAGGATCAGTCCGTGCGGCGGCCCCCACGACGCCTACAAGTATTATGCTCACTCTCTCTTTTTCTTTTCAGAGCATCAATGCTGTACTCGTTCTTTCTCTCGCACCTTTCAGCCAACGATATATCTCGCATGCACACGTTCACCTACCACGTTTTTTTTTTCCCTTCCAACGAGGGAATTTTGTCTACGATAAGTTGTGCCTTCGATAAATAGTCCTGAGAAAAATCACCCAAAATCAAATTATTGACCCCTATCGACTTGTCAGCGATTTAAAAACGCGCAATTTTCTTTGCACGATTACGATTTTTTATGGGTAATTACTGATTTCATTCTTCACATATTGTTTACGACAAACAAGATGGCAAAACGACTAGTTTGTGCAACTGACCACGCGTGGAGACCGAATCTGATCGGTTATCAAAGGACCAGTTTACATGACTAAAAGAATTCTATCTCAGCGTGAAATGGACAAAGAGAGGGAAACAAAGCAGCGATACCTGATTACGTACTTATCTCTCGAGATTCTTTCTTTCAGTTGTCCCCGCAATAAAAAAGTGGAAAAATCAGATTCGCCCAGTGCGCGAAAAGAACAAAATAAACACACAATATAATGCCGAAGCTCTGTTCACGAATTCGTACGCCGATCAAGAACTGATGATGATGGTAGTGGCCAATTATCAAACACAGACTTTCGGACAGTTAACGAAGTTGTACGTATTCCGTGTACGTCCCTACTTCTACAGAAGCCAAATCAATCGACTTTGATTAAGCCTGACCATTTACTTTCTAAGAAACAAAACACTGATCACATAAAATCCAAAATTGCAAAATCTTTTTTACAAACATCCTTGGTTTCTATGAGATTCATACATATACGTGTGTATATATATATATACATACATACACGTATATGCACACATATACCATTTTTAATCTACAAACCTTTCACGATGTAGTAAACAAATACGTTCCTTGGCGACCTTCAGCCTTTTCGAGATGATCTTCTTGAGATTTTCGACAGTATCCGTCCGATCGACCGTGAGGTCAAACTGTCCACCAGTGGTCGGCGTGATGCTGATGGTAATTTCGTCGGGCTCGAGGACGGTGGCAGCGACGCAGCCACACCCCGGCTGCGGTGGCGGTGGCGGCGTGGAGGAGGAGGAGGAAGAGGAAGAGGAGGAGGAGATGGAGGAGGAGGACGACGGCGACAATAACGACGATGACGAAGACGGCGAGGAGGAGCTCGTAGGGAGCGGTGAAGCGGAGCTAGCCCTTATTGAGCCTTGACCGCAATATTCCGATGGCTGGTCACTCTGCGTCGCCGTGGAATACGCGGAGGTGGTGGTGGTGTTGGCCGTCCCTGATGATGAACCACCACCGACGATGTCGTCTGTATCTCGTTGCACCTTCGATCTTTCGTCGTTCTCGCTGTTGCCCATCGCCGTCACGTCCGACGGCGAGCCCGTGCTACCGTCCATTCTGCCACGGTAACTAATGACACTGGCGGCGACCGTATCGTCAAAACTTGCGCACACCTATGCCGTTCCAGCCCACGTCCTCGCGTCCCGACTGCTACTACTACACTACCGCTATGTAGTAGCTGTGTGTATACAGTCCACGCACCCGCACCTGCACCTGTGTCTCCCGGCGTCCTAGCTGTCCGAGACACGCTTGTCCGCGTCGCACGACCGCAGTGTCGCCGAAGGTCCGGCCACGGTGTCTTCGGGAACGCGCACGCCACGAGGAACGTCGCGGCGAAACACCGACCAACACGGGGAGAGACCTCAGGAGGGGAAGGAAGAGGGGGAGAGACGAACAGAGGTGGAGACCAATCTAAGAAGAGAGAAAAAAAGAAAACGTACGAGATCCTTGAAATATATGTCGTACGTAGGACTCACTTGTAGTTATAAAGAGATTCCATGCGTGGATGCTAAGTATCGAAAAATATCGGTTTCCTTCGCGAGTCGTTTTTAGCACTTTGGCACTGGTCACATTGGATACCTTTGCGTACGTGTGACGTTCTTTGATTCCAGTCCGCTTTTGTCCGGATAGGTACAAAGGTGCTTGGTGCTGCTTCGCCTTTGTTCTCTGGTCACACTCTCCTTGCACACGCACAAACACACACGCGCACGTATATACACAATCATCAACGAAAAGTTCCAAGCGTACAAACCCACTGACCAGCCGCTAGCAACTGGATAGTCGAAAGCCCGGACCTTTTGCTAGCTTCCCAGATCCGGCCTAGCTTTTCCGACCAATCAACATGGCGGTGCCTCGTTCGACGGACGCAGCGACATCCATTTACGCGAGCGCGAAATTTAAATGGGGAAAAGATCGTTTTCAATTCGTTTGGATGCAAGTTTATTCTCTCATTGATTCAAAAGTCGTCATAATTAAACTACTAATAGCTCAATTTGTAAAAATATCTATATTTTATCAAAATAATTGGAAAAAATGAAATCTATTATAGAAATTTATTCCATTCGTTAAATGCTATTATAACACATTTTTTTTTAGATATTTTATATACTTTTTCATATTGTATATTTCATGCGAATTCTATTGAATTCGTATTACGAAAAGGAATTCAAAGAATCAGCTAAATATTCGTTTTATTACCATCTTTTCCTCCACCTAGATCCTATATAACGTTATGAAGAAATTGACATTTTACAGTATAATGATTATTTTTGTAAGATGTCTGTCGTTCTAATATATTTTTATACTTTTATACTATTTAATTATATACTTTATACTATTTAATTATTTCATTGCTTGACTCTTGATTTCTTGTCTAGTACCTAATGGATATTGAGATTACGATTAATATCAATATGATTTTCATCACCGAGTTTATTACACATTCTTATTGTCCAGCAATTCGATATAAGTTCTGGCAATGTTTATTCAATGTGGTCTACACATAACAAATCATGATAATTACTTTTAATCTGTAAAGTATAAAATGATTTAAACTATAACTTTGTATACGTACACATATACATTAGAGATTGCATTTAACGCGTATGTCGAATATATTAATATTTTACGATGTGATGTAAAATTGAGAAACTAAGTATCAAAAATATGTTATACCAATAATTAATGTTACACTAAAAGATATATTTCTCTTTCTTTCTTTTTCTTTTTTGCGAGCACTGGAACAATACACATACTGATATAGTCAACGTTTAAATTACACGTTATTGTTTTTTTTTTTTAACAAGTTAATAACATTAAGGCCTAAATTGCAGTGTACGCTAATATTATTTTATATTACTCTTCCCATTTTTTCTTCTTTGTTGTAAAAGACATTAATATAAAAATATACAGTATATAAAAATACGGTATATAAAAATATACAGTATACAGTAATAAAATATTCATGAATCTAAACGATTTTAACATAGAAATACATATAATACATACATACATGCGCTGTACACTGCACATTTATATTTATAATTATTCGAAATTAATCGAACATAAAACGACGGTCCCTTGCATAGTGGCAAGTATTCGATGCAAGGGACATGAAAATTCACGATCCAAATTCTTTTGTATCCGATTCAATAGCCTTGAACTCGTAATTTCCTCTCCCATCCATTTGTAAATAATACTGAAAATAAATGTAAATTTGAATCGAACGCAACGTTAAATGTATAATACATAATTTCTTTCCAAACCTCGTGATGTTTCCAAAGGGATCGTCGATGCGATACTGTGAATAACGTAATATTCGCCTGTCTACAGTACATGTACATCGAGTCCTCTACGTCGACGCTAACAGCGCTTGTACATTCATCCAAAATTGCAAATTGTGGCTTGTGGTAGAAAAGTCGAGCCATCTGCAAAAATGATTTGTAATTAATGTTATGAAGGTTGGATATGTATTTCGTTGATATAGTAAATAGAATATCGTACTGCTATACGCTGCTTTTCGCCGCCGGACAAAACGTCCATCCAGTCAGCTACAGCATCCCAAGCTTGTCCCACGCTATTTGTGAAATTTTCCCTTTCTAACAAATGGCCCAATTGAACTAGGTCTAGTAATTTTCTTAAATCATCGTCCGTCATCTGCCCGCGTCTCATCATCTCCGTCTTTGTATGAGGATAAATCACTTGATCCCTCAACGTGCCCAGAGTCATATAAGGACGCTGAGGAATGTAGAATAATTTTCCTCGCGGAGGTTTGGTAACTGTTCCATTCCAAATTGGCCATAACTATTTTAACCAATTTTATATAATTCGGAATGTGAGTAAACATGCAAAGTAAAATTAAACTGTTCAAAAAAAGAAAAAAAAAAATGAACTGTAAGGACTTACTTCTCCCAGTACTCTGAACAAAGAGCTTTTCCCACAGCCATTTGGGCCACAAACTAATACATTCATTCCCGATTTAACTTCGAACGATAGTTCTTTGATAAGAATATCCCCATTAGGAGTTACTAAAGGTACATGTTCGAATCGTATGATATTATCCTTGTTCACTATCTTCCCTTTGCCCGGACTTCCAATTGATTCGTCTTTGAAATCGCAAATCATCGTTCGTTCGTACTTCCCTGAATTTATATCGTCAAGAACGTTCTTTATTTCGGTAACCCTGGCAGTCAATCCTGCCAGTCTTGTCATTTCTCTTCCAGCTAGAACTAATCTACCAATGGCTTCTGCCAATTTTATTAACATACGACCATACGTGTAGTAACTATTAAAACGATAATTAGAAGCTTTCGAGAGCATATGGTTTTCCATGAAGAAAGGTAAGCTTACTGCATAAAAACCGACCACTGTCGCCATATCTGAAACAGACACATCAAACTGAAAATTACAGCCACAAGCAAATAACTATCAGATGCATGGAAAATATTTACGTACATTTGCCAACGAAATTATCAATTATTCCTATGAGAGTCTTAAATTCTTGACATTTGCGAAGATGTGTCATCTACAAAATAAATACTTTTGAAGTAGAGAGTTAATTTGTGCTTAACTAATTAATATTCAATATATATTTTTTTGTAACATACAAGTTTATGGAAACTGGTTAACAAAGTTAACTTTTCTCTGTTATTTCCTTGATAAAATGCTATTTCCTCGGAATTGGTAATTAACCTTGAATTAATATGACGGTATTCTCCCTCTAAACGTTGTTCTTTTACTGTCATTTGTCCAATAGGTTTGCGTAGATAAGTTACTATCATGCCAGCAAAGACGAGATATGACAGCATTACTATTGGCGTCTGTAACATAAATATATATTTTACCATTAAAATATTTATGTTATATAATATTAATTATTAATTACTGTTGTTTATATTAATAGGACTTCCATTTTACGTACTTCTTGACCAAGATTAATTGTAAGTTTGTACACGTAGAAGCCAATGTCCAATAAAGGTTTTGCAATATTGTTATACAGGTCCATGAAGCTTTCACAAAACTTGTCAACATCAGTAGTTAAGAGCTGATCTGGATTTGCTATACGGCTATCTAAATTGCTCATTTTATAGTAAGTAAAGCCTCTGCAAAAAGAATTTTAATCTATCTTTCCTTATTTCAAAACGTTATTATCAATCCTATAAACTATATTAACTTGTACATTAGAAGTGTGATAACAAAGTAAGAAGTTTGACTTACTTAAGGTACCGATCCAACAAATATCGTGTGACATTTGTACGTAACCTCAATTTTGTTTCATATGTACTGTATTTCAGTACGTTGTTCACAAGAGATATCTAAATAAATATAATCATGGAAGATTATATCAATAATTTCTTCCAATTGGTAAGAAAATAAAGCTGCTTGGCAGCCTGAATGAAAAGATTTCATTAGCAGCCTATGAAAGCAACTTTTAATTCTTCTACATAAAGTTTTTCCACTTACCATTGGTATTAGACATAAGAACTTAAATAGATTTCTTTTAAACGAAGGCTTGTTCATATTAAGGATCGACCTAAAAAGACAATGTACCAAAGCTTATCACATTTTTGTACTATATCCTCATAATTGAAGCAGGATTAACAAACAAATGTCATTACGTACGCATCCAATGCAGTGATGATATTTATCAACTGAAAATCACAGACAGATCTTACAACAAGCGTGCCTGCGATAAGCACAATAAAGCCCATTTCAAAAGACACCACCGATGGTATACCAATTTTGAGTAATTGATACAATTGTCTAAAGAATCTAGCATTTACATGAGCTTTCGGTACTTTAGGCTTCTCCTCCTGAAAAAAGGTCATTTCTACAGTAACTCATGAGAATATTCATTTCAACATTCGTTGTATTAAACTAAAACTTCCATGTTTTGATGTTATTAACACTGTAAGAAACTTATTTGATGAATCAGCAAAACTCAATTTAATTATAACAATTGTATCACACTGTATGTCGCAAAACGTTTTTTATACGACATACATATTATACATTTGAAAACAATTTTTACAATAATATTCTGTGTACTTGAACCACTATGTACATTTGATAATCAAAATATGTACGAATAATGATAAAAATCCCTCTCCATTTTTCTCTTACCTCTTTGATAACATACTGAATGTCATTAGTGGGCCAGGCATTTCTACGGGATAAAGTGAATATGTTTAATATCACAGCATCACAAATAAACTACTAATAAGCATTGCACAGAGATTTCACCTGTATTTCGCGGCTTGTTTCCGGTTTCTTCTTTTTAAAATCCATATCAAAGCACTTAAAGCACAAGCACCAGCCACGTTGCGTCTGGTCATAAATTTGCTGAACGTCGGTGCCATTCTTTTTTTTCACCGTGAGAGATTGTCTAAATAACACACAACCACCTTCCACGACGGTTACAGCACTTTTACGTCTACTTTAAACATAAAAGCGAACAGGTAGTGGGGTGATGAATCACACCGTCATGTACAACGTTGTGTTTATCTGTATCGAAGAACTGGTCAAAAGTCGATATGCAAAATTTTTCTTCCTCGAAAAGAGAGAGAGAGAGAAAATAAACATGTATTGTCAAGTTCCCCTTTTTTTCTAAGTGCAGAATTATTTTTTATTAAGACGATTAAGTAAGCTTATTTACCACTTAGATTAACGAGTAGTTAATGGTAAATTTAAAAAAGATAGTAAATATAAATCAATAACTGAAGATTTTTAATTTTTATACAAATATAACGCACGTACACTTTACAATTGCGCTATTTTTTTTTAAGCCTTTCCTTTGGTCCTCTACATCGAATCCTCTCGTCATTCTACGTAAGAAAATGTTAGGATGACATTCATGAATTTAAGAGAATATTTTACTTTAATTTTGTATGTTGTATGAAAAAAAATAAAGAAAATGATTTGATATATACAAGAGAAAAAGAATATTTACATAAAAAAAAATAGTGCGACTACAAAATGTACATGTACTATTGTATTATAAAAAAAATATGATCGTCAATATGTATATAACCCCTTTTCCTCACTCGGTCATCTTCTTCCTCTGACATTTTCTGAAAGCTTTAATAAAAAAAAAGCAGCCTGCTTATGATTAATACATTTCTATTTTATTATTAATTATATTTATCATTCAATATCAGATCAAGAAACAATTTTTTATTTTTCTTATGTACGGACGATGTAAGTAATAATTGCTTAACTGTGATTTTTTTTCTAATTTCCGTTTGTCTACGTAAAAATCTCTACATATTTTAAAATTTAATTGAATACCGTACGAACGTCATCATTATTCAGCGGAATAAAAATGAATTTTCTTTTGTATTTTTAATTTGTAACATTATTTTCGCGGTCTCGATTATGAAAACACAGAGCAAAACAATCTGCTTAATGTACTTTTTCTGCTAACAAAAAAACAAATAGCATTATCATTGTAATAAATTTTAATTGGGTTCCGCTGTTCGGAAAAGAACTTTCAGCAAAAAAACAATATTTGCCAGATGAATATGCAAAGAGAATAACCACTTTATTCTAATGTAACAATATCGTTTATCTATATAAAAATGCGTAAAATATAATCGTAAAACTTTTAAACTCACCTTCCTCAATATTTGTGCAATCGAATATTTCAAATTTTACCCCGGTTTTGCGCTAATAAATAATTTACTAAATATATATTAAGTATATTTACCTTTGGTAAAGGTGCGTTAAGAAAAAAAATATGGTGTGGAACGTTGAAATACTGCTTCTTTATTCACTGGTTCTTTAAATGCGGGTGTAAAGTATTGAAAATTTTTGTTTAATGAAAAACTAACGACGTTACTTCCTGCTCCGCGACTAACTTCATACTATTGCAAGGTCCAGCTAAATTTAACACTACACATTAGCTGCATATTGTATTCAAACTTTGAAGAAACAATCTACGGTATGATGTGTGCCCGATTCCACGTGCAAGTCCATAGTACATTTCTACTTAACACATTTTATTTATATTGCTTCTTCACTCGCGGCATTTATACTCCAGTAATCTATGTTAAACATATTTTAATGAATTCTTTATAATATACTATGCATGTGCAGCTCTTAACAGTCGATTGCTTTTATCATACTGTGCATGTGCAGTTTATGACAACCGATTACTTTTTATCAACAGCATTTTCAAATGATGCAGAAAAAGATATTATGATTTAGATATAGGAAAGGTAAATTATGTTTAGCTTTGAAGAACTATTGTACTTTATTGAAAATAATTCGTATTAGTGTATGTACGATCGAGAAGTGACACTACACTGCGCTAGTGATATCATTCCTGCGTTCATCCGCAAACAATTGCGGATATCGGATATGATTGAAAACCAATAATAAGTTGTGAAATCAAATCTAACTTCCTTGGATAATTTAAAAACAACGTTATTCTGCGAATGCAGCGGAGTACGGAAATGGCGATCATTGAGGATGCATTCTCGGAGGATCGCCGGAAGTGCATTTTGCGCTTCATCTTCCTTCTCTAATTGTTGATTCTTTTGTTGTTGAGTTTCTTCAATCTTTTATTATCAATTTTAAATCTTTGTAACTCTATAATATTTCCGATCCTCGACTCTATTGGAAGCAATGATATAACAACACAATCGTTATATTTCCAGATATTTTGATATTTTCCACTTTTTTAACGTTAGGATGTCTTCCTATATACAAACAACACTTATAAGTTTACATACTTTTTTTTACTTAAATATTATAACTACAATTAATAAATAAAAAATATAAACTTGAGCACCTGTTTACTTTCTCAGCTATGATTATGGTCACCAGTGAGCAAAGATTCAGCATACTTTAGAATTCTATCCTTGAAAGTCAGATTATTGTCATTAACTGGTCACTCAATGCTTAGTTTGATTTAGCCATGAATAACATCTGCAAATGAAAATATTAATTAATTAATATTTATTCCCGGTATAATTTGTCTTTAAAAAATAATTCACTGGATAGCTTACAAAAGAACATGAACTTTCGTTACATATCTTCAGGGTTGCGTTTTTTTGTTCCATGTCTGACACTTGTGTAACATTATACTGTTTCTCTTCCTTTATTCTTTCATGTACGAAGTACAATATATTAGTCCATCTGGTTTTATGCAGAAAAATTCATTCATCTAAACTGTCAGAGAAAAATATGTTGGAATTAGTACAAGTTTATAGGATAAAAAAAATTTGAAAAATATTTAGCGCCATTGGGTGTTATTTTGCACAGGTGATTTCTTAATTCAATGCTGGATTACCTTTCTTTAATTTGCCAATTATATTTGAGAACATAAAACATTAAACATCGAAATTGTGGTTTCATGATTTGCTCGATTATATATGAAAATAATAGTAGACTAAACACAATTTAATTTTTAAAATTCCAGATACATATACATGTGAGTTCAAGTGCAAGTTATGATTTTGCGATTGACTTTATAATTAATTAATTTAAGAAAAAAAAAAGTTAGAAAAAAAAGAAATATGTGCACAAGGAAATAGATATATAAGCAAGCAATATCTATAAAAATATTGGTCGATTGTACCATAAAATGTTAGATTATATAGATAAATATAACACATTACCTAATACAAGGAATTATCTGATAATTCGTCATAAATATTAAAAGTAGGAAATGTTATTCAGTGACAGAGACTTTAACCTCAAGTTAAATTTTTCAGTAATACAAAACCCAATATTATATAAGTAGTAAATTTCAATTCGTAATCACCTGTTCCGAAGTTTAGGTTCTCGTTTACTTCCCATCATTATCATCATCATCATCACCATCATTATCATAATCATCATCCTCATCATCACCATCATCATCCTCATCCTCAACCTCAACCTCATCACCATTATTATCATCATCTCAACATCCTCATCATCACTATCATCATATAATCACCACTATCAATTCTATCACTATCATCATCATCATCATTATCATCATCATCATAAAGTTCATTCATCAATTGGACGGTAACCTGTTATGTAACTCACAAAAATGCTTCCATTCATGGTGTGATTCCGTGCAATAGAACCACTCACACATTCTCTTCTCTCCTTTTCTTGTGCTTTGACAGAGTAGTATGTAAAATTAAGTATATATGTGTGTAGCCTGCTTTGAGAAGTCAGGATTGGAATCTGATGCAATATAAAAAGCTTTTTTATCTCTTGGCACTATCTTCAAGGTTTTATCTGATCACTAAAGGATAAAAATTTATAGTCTTTTTATTGCGTTAAAAGAATATACCAATGCAATGAAAATTTATAAAGTTTTTTAATAGATGGTATAAGACATAAATTTGTTTTAATGTTTATGTAAAAGCTACCAAAAACTTTTAAATTTCGTTTAGTCACTTCATACATTATTTATTAATTTATAGGCATAAATGCTCAATCATTGAATATAAATAAGATATATTATAACTACATGTACTCTATATTCATGACTTAGATAAAAGTTCATTTTGAAAACATTGAAAATCGTCAAGAGATACAACAAACTTTGGATAGCGCATTCCACACAGTTCTCCCAAATCTTGTGATTCTTATCTATCACATCTGCTAAAAATGTTTATGAAGTCACTTGAGTGGTTCCAGTAGTCTGGACCATCTTGTAACAAATAACAGTATACATTAGTCAAGTATGTAAATATAAAAAGTATCACAGGCCTGAAATAAATTCCTATAAAAGACTGCATGTGATTATAATCGTGGTTGATTCTAGATAAAAGAATGCTTGATGCACATTCTTCTTGAAAAAGAGAAAAAAAGTAGTTTGAAATAAAAAAAGAAAACAGGATTAATTAAAACATATCTTAATTCGAGCAATATCACATACAATAAACTACATAAAACATACTGAATTATTGTTGTATATTTTCAACTATGTTGTACCATAAATTTTGAAAAGGATGTGATATTGATTGAACACAGAAACAGATGGTTAACAAGTGGTCCAGCGAAGGATTTTGAAAAAGTGTATAAATAAACTACTGCCAGTGTATCAGTTTTTAATCATCCTGTAATGAACTTACGTAATAAGAATCAATCTCTGCCACCTATCAAAATAACATTCTCACATGACAAAATTTTGATGTTATTCGGTTGTCATCACTCTCAATAGTCTCATTTGAAACGCAATCTCGATTAATTTACAATAGAGAATTGTCTACAACAAAACTCGTAAACGTTCACGAATGACATTAATGCTTCTTACGTATTATTTACACACTCGTCGTAGATCATTTCCAAATCGTTTCGCAAGGCATCTTTGAGCAACAGTTGGTGTTAACTAATTCATGAATACACGGATGAAGTCGCGATGGCTTTTCCACAGAGAGAGAGAGAGAGAGAGAGAGAGAGAGAGAGAGAGAGAGAGAGAGAGAGAGAGAGAGAGAGAGAGAGAGAGAGAGNCACGTTGGCTTCCACTCACGAAGATCAATATACATGCACGATTAAATTTGCTTGATGTTCAAACAGAAGAGACATTAAATGAACATTTTTCTCATGATAAATAGCGAACGATTTGAAATAGATCGGCCGGCTATAATAATGAGCTAGAAACGGTTCTAATGTCTGTTAAAAGTTGTCTTAAACTACAGTCTTTGTATATCGATTATCATTTACAGCAGGACGTCAATAAATAAACTTCGACGCACTTTCCATCAATGTTCTCTTTACATTATGTATAAACATTCTGGATTTCAATAAAGATATATATATCTATATATGTATATATATATCTATATATATATATTTATCTATACAGTATATATTCAGGCATTCAATAAACGACTGTGTCCCATCCATAAAATATTAGTCTTTTTTTTATCTTTTTGTTTTTTCATAATTAATTACCGCTCGTCTCACAATTATCAATATATTCACTCATCATTATCAACATGTTGTTTACGTTTATCTCTTTTGCATCAGATACATATAGATATATTCTATATGCATTCATGATCATGAAACAGCAAAAAATCACTTCTCGATTAAACTTTCATGCCTGTAGTTCTTAGACGACCATTAACAAATACATTCGACCGCCATACACACACACACACACACAGAGAGACACATGAGGTAAAACAATCCAATCTAATTGTTGATTATAATAATAGTCTCCTTGATCCGTTTAAATTAATGTAAGAAAGAAACAATGATCTTTAATTGGATGGAAAAAATCATTTCGTATTTTCCTTGTAGTTTGTAAAAAAAAAGGAAAAAAAAAAAGAAAAAGAAAAACACGGAAAATCAGACTACTTCTTAAATATTTGATCAAATCATGCTGCTAATATGTACTGCTAATTGCAAGTGTGATAAAATGTTATACAACTGGAAGTTAGAGTATTTTAAAATAGCATACAAAGTCATAATTACAGGTGCCTCAAGATCATAAAGAAATAGACACTAAACATTTTTAGTATCCCCAAAACTTTCCAGAAGTTCCAACCTACAGAATTTATAAGTTCATATTCGTACAATATCTGTTTAATCTTATAATTAGAAGTACATATTCGTAGAGTTTTACTTAAATGGTTCAAAAAGATTCATGTGGTCTCGTAATGCATACGGTAATGCATACACCGATGAAACTCGCACTACTCACTGACAATTAATAAAATTGTATGCATGTCAAATAGGAAATATTCTAAAATTAATATCGTGCAGAAAAGAGATTTCACCTCTCGTGAAAATCCTTTGAATATCCTTTCAATAATATGTACTCATAATCGTTAGTCTGGAAATATTCCATCTACATTAAATTTCAATACAGCATATGATCAATGCCATAAAATAATTCAACTGCAGTTACATTTTTCTTCTTCGTCTTCGTTAGAAATTCATCTATGCAACAGTTTACTGACTACTATTCGTGCAATGTGAATGAATCGTTTTCCTCTGTTTTGCAATTAATTATAATCCTTGAAAAATAAATACCCTACTCTCAGCTTGCAAATCTACTCATTGCTTCGTATGATCAAAGAATTTTGTTCCTTCTTGCTTCTTCATTCGGGAAGAGTACACTAAAAGCTTGCAATATATATATAAAATGGGTTGAAAAAAGGAAAAGAAAACATGATAAGTTGAATAGATCAGAAATGCCACTTTTCACACGCAATCAATCAATGAAATATTTGTTACGCACTTATCATACCCAATGTAAAACACATTTCTCACATAAATCGTTCGTATGCACGCGCTAGAAACATTTTCTTTTTCCTTTTTTCCCTTTGTTCCTTCTCTTCTCTTTAAGGCGAAATGTTCAAAGAATTAATGGCAATTTTATATGTCGGGTAGCTACGATCAATCTGTATGCAACTGCAATTTCACACTTATTCCTTTTCATACATTCCTGTGATTCTTCATACAAAAGACGAACATTACACTTATCATAAATACACTGCTTCGTTTATCAAATAAACAAATGACTCTTTAAAATTGCTCAATTAAGAAGATAAATTCAACATTGGGAATATATATATATATATATTCACAATTTACTTGTAATAAAGAATAGAAGAAATCAAATTAAAAAGAAAAATAGAAAATAAAAAAAGTAATAAAAAAGTCAAGGGACACATGCTAAATTTAATTCAATATAACATAAAGTACATGTGCTGAAACGTTATTGGAAGAAATTTTCAATTAACTATACTATAGTTCTTCCAAAATTTTCTCAATTATGAAACGATTACTATTTCTTTTTGTTTCTTCGAAATTTCCTCTATTATGATTTTATATTTTTTCCATGCAAAATCTTAAATTCAAGTTGCTTGGAAACATATTATGCAATTATTATTTAAACGAAAGCAAAATATACATGCATTCAAGGAAAGAAAAAAAAAGCGATGTTTAAATTTATCTTTTGATTAAACTTTCTTATGGATCTCCCTTAATCTTATGGTCATAAGTATCTACTCCCAATATTAGATCATGTGAAATTTAAATAAATCTATAATCGTTGATAATTAAATTCAATTAAAAGTATAGTGACATAAACATAATATTGTATAATGCCACTAGTGCGCGAGTAAGAGGATCAAGATCAAAGCTGACGTTTTCCACTCAACGGAACCTTTAATCTCACGTTTTAAAAACTTTATTGCAGTACACTCTGTACGTGTACGCACTAAATTTTTGATCAATTCTCAATTACACATTTAAACACACGGCACGAAACTTTAAATAAACATAAGCACATATACGTACTCCGCTATAATAAATCTCGTTCTTCTTCTTCTACAACACATTCACAATCATATATTATATGTATGCATATATATATCACGATCATCATCATCATACTATAATCATCATCATCCTTATCATCATCCTCATCTTCATCATCATCATCATCATCATCCTTATCATCATCCTCATCTTTATCATCACCATCATCATCATCATCCTTATCATCATCCTCATCTTCATCATTATCATTTCAGTACATTAATTATCTTTGAAATGGTTAGACCGCACGCTTGAAATGAGATCATACAATTAGTATGCAATTTCAGATGATCGAAGCTATCCTTTCTAAAATACGCACTTCAGGCATATTGTGCTAATTTCTCAAGCCAGTAAGAAAGTGAGAAAGAGAAAGACAGATATAAAGTTAGAAATATGTGTCATTTCATTATGTAATGTGCTAAAAGACAAAAACAGTTATTTTTTTCCCACAGGGCGTACTATTTCGTATGTATATGTATGTATGTATATATATATATATATCATGATCAAATAAATTTGAATATATATATATATATATATATATATCATGATCAAATAAATTTGAATATATATATATATATATATATATATATATATATATATATATATATATATATATATATATATATATATATATATATATATA